AAAAATGCGACATTCAACAGGTTTCAAACCTGTTGCACTCCAATGGAAACAGATTTTGATTCTGTTATGATGACCACTTGGCTAAACACAACTCTGATGAGCTTTTAAGCGAACCAACCATGAGCATATATCAAGATGAATTTTTATAGAAAATGAAAATTATCCTTGGCAGGTTTTAAACCTGTGCAGTCTAAGAGAAACAGATTTTGACTCTGGCGATCACTTGGCTATTTAATATTTGGTAGGTTTTGAACCCACACAGACAAATTTAGATTCTGTTGCATTGACTGCTTGGCTAAGACCAGTGAGATGCCCTTCCAGTGAACTCATTCAGAAGTAAACCCTCAAGGCACAAAAGTTCAATGTATGACCAAAGTCTTGATGCAAAGTCGGAATGATAAGTACAAGAACAATTTGATTCTCTCCAAAGGTCTTGACTTGGTTGAAGAAAAAGAGCAGATTACACATCAAACTTTCCAGTTTGATTCTAATGACCTGAGGAAGTTCTGAGATAAAGCAGAAGTATTTAGACAATAGTGCGACATTCTGCGCTTAGATGCCTTCAAGTGCTCAGTGTCAAATAGCAGTTATAGCATATTTTGGACTTTGAGTCCCACAATATTAGGGCTGGCCACCATAGGCCATATTATGGGCATGTACGGTGGCATAATATGGTAACCGTACCCGTACCGTCGGCACTTCAGCCTTGGGGTATATGGTTATGGTGTACGGTTTCTCCATAACCGTATTTCGCCGTAAATGTACGGTTATTACAACTGTAAATACAGGACATATGGTTGACCATATGGTCGCGGCATTTTAAGTCCCACTTTCTGTAACGCGGTATGAGTTCTGTGTCAATTCTAAGCACCACTTGACAATACACGTTCTAATCTTAGAATACCAGAGCTCTTAGCTCACTCTGCTGCAAGCTCTGCAACATCTTTTGCTACCACCAGCATCTCAAATGTGTCTACAACTGGTGTTATCTGTGACTGCATTCCCTGCTGGCATTCCGGTAGCGTCCATGCAAGTCATCTTTGAGTTCACCAACTTTACATGTCTGATATCTATCACAGCTGGAATCGTGCTCTGATGCATGCTCGTGGCTTGGCTTTGGGTCAGGAGTTCAAGGGTAAGGCATCAACACCGCCCTTGGTCCTATGATGAACATGGGTCACCACAGGTTCGTGTCATATTTATGCATTACTTGCTCTAATTGTAGAGCATCTGTGATGCATTCATCCTACAGCTGTAGTGCCCCCGCATAGTAGCAATACTTGTATACCTGATGCATTACTCCTCCCACTCATCCCTAATGCATCACTTGTCTCCCTATAATGCTGATGCATTATCTGAAGCTGATGCACGCTCCCGCTGTTGTTCTGATGCATGACTCCTCCCAGCTGATGCACGCTCCCGCTGTTGTTCTGATGCATCCCTCGGTGTTCTCTGATGCATGACTCCTCCCAGCTGATGCACGCTCCCGCTGTTATTTTGATGCATCCCCCAATATTTTCTGATGCATGACTCCTTGTCGCTAATGCTCCCCCACTGTTCCCGCTGTTTATTTGATGCATCCCCCGACGTTCCCGCTGTTTGCTCCTGCTGTTTGTTTGATGCATGATATATATTGGTAGATGTACTACTAGCTACTGGCTATATAATACATTCTTCGGACCCATCCTGCACATTCAGATGAGATAGTGTCTGTGCCCAATTCACCTCAAACGAGGCTGCCAGTTGCATGCGCAAGTGCGCCTGACGATGTGCATACACTATGCACCCATCCTCATGCTCCACGTTAGTCGGTACAACCTCGTTGCGCCTTTCATCCCAATGCCTCGCTTCCCACCTCAGGAATGCTCCTATGTGATGCATTTCCTCTCAAAGGAGTGCTACTTCCTCCTCCCATCGCATTGCGCGAGCTCTCGCTTTGCACCATTCAATCCTCATGTCTGTAGGTAGCATCGTTAGAAAGAGAACTCATTCTTGGATAATGCTTACCTTCCAAAGCTCCATTATCATCTTTTTCGCTTCAACCAGCGCCCCGCATATTCCAGATCCACAAGAGCTTTCGTCTGCCTTCGGATTCTCCCCAAAGAATGTTGGACATTGAGCGTATGTCTTGGTGGCTTAAGGGATGTAGCGAAGATTGCCAGCCAGACTCGTTCAACAAATTACCTAGAACCACCAGTGCCTTATGCGCACTTTCATATCTCCTAGTAGCGGATTCGATCCTAATGTCAATCGCCTTGAGAGTGTTGTGAGCTCTGGTATTCGCCCCTTGTCCTCGAAGGTGTCGGTCTTTGTGCTTGAGAATGGCTGTTTGAGCGCGCAGGCAGGAGCGCAAAGAGTGAAGTGCGTCATGGCCTTGAGTGTATCGAAGTCGCCATTCTGTCCTCTGCAGGGATTGATCACAAGGTAGAGACCTCCCGATCTGCGAAGGTAACCATAACTTGAAGCTTTCAGCGGTGGAAGAGATGGAGGAAGGGTTTGCAGCGGTTGCATTGTTCGAGATCCGCATGGCCACGACGTTGGGCATATAGAGCTCTTGGATCTTGACCCAGGAATCGAGGCAACGCTGTAATGCATTACTACGCTTGACTAATTTACCTTCTTGATTGTCCGTGACATGTAAACCACGACCATCCTTGTCAGCTCTCAAGCGCCGTCTGGGAGAAAGTATGAGTCACCACACAAGTGAAAATGTACGAAAAGACGTACTGTTGCTCCTCAAGTTCCAGCGCCGAATTGATCAATATACTAGGGGAGCAATCCTCGTGAAGTGAGATACGGGCACCACTCTGCATGCTTTGTTCCTCTTCTTTGGCCAGCGCTAGCCAAACGGACACTAGTGTTATTACTGAAATGAAAACCAATGTGTCAGTACTTCGTAATGGTGAATGGGTCACATACCATCTGAGTTTCACTCGAAGGGATTAAGTTGACTTTGATCATTCTCCCAGGCCTCCACCTGCGATCTCCATTGCTCTAAAACCTCCCCATACTCCTCTTTAAGGCCTTCTTCAAGGTCGTTAAGGGCTGCTTGATGATCCACACATTGAGGCACAGCTTCTTTAAGCTTGCGCTGCATAGTATTACCTAAGAAAACAAATGAGCCCAACCCCCCAACACAAGAGACATATGAACCAAGACCGACAACTTTTTTCCAATTCCAGTCGCCAAAAAAATCATCTAAGGTATCCCGCCGTGCACCAGGTCCCATCTCCTTGGTGCTGGACGCAACGGGGTTGATGTTGGCCCACCCACGTTCTGGCGCTTCGCCATCCATGCAACCAACACCTCGTTTGAAGTTGAACAAAAAGGTAGTCTGGCATTTCTCGACATGCGCAGGTAAGTGAAACTTCGGCACGAAGAAAGAGATGGCCTTGGAAGTGTGATTGAACTGCATTGAAGTAGGGAATGCGCTCATACGCTGCCATAGCTTTTTATGCCACTGGCAGGCAATATCGTAGGAGATGTTGAGAGTCTTCAGGGATGAATGGCGAAGGGTCGAAAAGAATAAGTAGTCCATATTTATATACCTATTGGCCGTCAGTCAATGCATATCCCGAAGTTCAATAATACTTACTTTTCACCTTTTTGAAGGTCTCCAACTGCATTTGGCCGTTTCATATTGTGACGGGCGCAGTCGATGGTGCCCAGACCAGTAGCAGCCAGGCCCCAGTGTAGAAACAACAATACAGAGAGGAGCAAATGAAGCTCCTAACTGTATCTAAAAAATGTTGTAAGGTCGCGTGTTGCCTAGTCTGCGTTACCTGAGGAGACAAGTGCGTTCGACCCTAAAGGGGAAGCGAGTGCAGCAAAGATCTAGAGGTACACGCTGAAGCGAAGCGTGAGAAAGCACAGGTGCGCGCAAGGCACGAAGGCGCGGGAACACGCGCGCGTATTAGCGCGAAGCACGGGAAAGCGTGCGCGCGCATGCGGAAATGAGAAGGAGTAAGCTTAAGTGAGGATATGATGTAAGACAAGAGAAGAGAGATGTGAAGTATAGACAAAATGGATTTCTACTATGTTCTTCTAGGCAGATAGTGGGTGGAAAGTAAAGTAAGGTAAGGTAAGTGGTAAAAAATGGAAAGTGTGTAGTACTATGTACTGCTGGCGCTTATATAGCATGCCTAAGCGCGGTCATGCAGAGCCAAAGTGCTACCGAGTAGGTATGTAAGATATATATGGGTGAGAGTCCATGATAAAAATAAAGATGGAACAATATGCAGATGAGAGAAATAGAAATATACACACTAGAGGGCTTGGTGGACAGTGGATGGATGCTTCTGGATGGCTGGCGCTAAAGGGCGCTCAAGCGCGGGAACGCGCGCACGCATGCGCATATACATCGCGAAGCGCGGGAAGTGTGCGCGGGAAAGCTGCGCCTCGTATAGGGATAGCTGCAGACTGCACACAGAGTGGTGCTGCAAGTTGGTGCTATATACTCCCTAGTGGAAACTGCCATATCATGCCATGAGAGGCATGAGTCTCTACACCGGTTGGTCTTCGTATCTGCCATGTTGACTGCAGTATGACTGGAACAAGTAGATTTCTAAACACGATCAGCAGGTAACCAGCGCAGTACAGCGGACCAGAGACTTACCTCTTGAACAATGTCGATCTTCTCTGTGAGGAATTCCTTGTACCCTGCCTCCTCTACAAAATAAGTCCAGCCGCAACTTAAACTGGGGTCCATGATATTGTTGGAAACAACTTTCCGCTTGAGACGGAAGTTGGCGTCAATGGCGACAAACAATGCATACATCCAACTGACAAAACCGTTAAGTATCCACCTATATGATAGAGCCTCCGACTCACTGTTTCGCCTGAGGAGCATTCTTCCAATTGTCCGGTAAATTTTTACCAGGGTGCGGACAAGCTGGACACAACACGGCACATTCTCCTTCTACTGTAGCATCCAAGCCTTTGGGGTCATGCCCTCTGCTGGACCACTTAAGCATGGTTAAATGTCGCCATTCATGTAACATTCATATGAAACACTCATATCGAGACTTTGTGATCGCATTAGCTTTGTTGCGAGCGTGCTGATCAACATGCTTACTAACCTTCACAGGGGCCAGACCAGTGTTGTTGGTTCTCTGCATAAGAGCATTGTAAAATTCACAAGCCGATACCTTAGACTCAAAAGACAATATATGGAATTCCTCCAGGAGACAGAATGTTGCTGCCGTTTTAGGGTTGGCCGTCGTGGAAGGAAACCAAGAGATTCGAAGAAGTTGTTGTACGTGTGCGACTGCATTTGAACAACCGCAGAAGTCGAGTGATACCTCATGAATAGCATGAGAATCCATGACAACGAAATCATCATTGAAGGCGCGACGGGGTTTGGGGCACACCTGACCAGGTGCATGGCCCAATTGGATTCGGAGCCCAAGGGCTTTCAGGGTGATACGTTCAAAGAACATTCCATTCCATTTCTGCAGAGCTCAGTCAGAACATCTCATATTATCAAAACGGACAACTGACCTGCAATCTATGGAGTGGATGGAGTTGGTGTGCAGTTTTGATACAGGATGAACATTGGAGATTGACACCAAAACAGTCTTCACAACGATAGTTGGGGGAAAGATCACCGCACCCAGAACACGGCGCGTTCCTGAGGCTGCCCTTGCCTTCGAGATGCAATATCTCTTCAAGAAACAGAGGGCGATCCTTTAACCACACAAGTAATGGATGATCCTACACACTTTGAGCAATGAGAACACATGATCCGAATCTAAAACTTACTCCTGGTGCGCGACCTATTCTTACATCTTCATCGTCGAACGGCACAGTATCGACATCCCATGATTCAACAGTGTTATCAAATTGATCAGGGATAAGGGCTGATGTTGTCGACTTAGGCTGGGTTGTTGCCTGGGTGTTCTTAGGAGGCTCGAGATATGACCGCGTATAGCTAATAGATCCATCCCCGCGAACTTGATACTGAGTATGCTGACGATGCTGAATCCCTGACGGCTTGGAAGTGCGCAAGTAGGAATTCAGCTTGGGATTCTTCTTCCGCTTCTTGTTCGGCCGCAAGGCATGTAGAGTTCGTGATAGTTCTTCAGTGCAATGGATCACCTGGGATGATGTTGCCCCCGCAGAGGGCAAAGCAGCACTAGCAGAGATGCTCATGCTCGCGAAACATGCCAAGTACCACCCAGCGACAAACTCATCAGCTGTGAAATCATTAGTAAGCGATCTGACATTGATCTTCCACTTACCTAGATTCTTGGATGACAGTGGCAGTACCTTTGCCATTTGTGCGCGTGAACGGCTGTCAGTTTTGGTAAACAATGCAGCAGGAAATTCCTCTACCATGTATGCATACAGTTGTGAAAGTCGCTTATGTAATAATCCTAAACCGTCATACAGCACTGTACCTGATCATATTCCTTCTTGCTAACGGTCAACGATACATCCAACAAAGGTCATCTAAGTTGGAGACTCATGAGTTCATTCGTCTCTTCTTTGTCCTTACTGATTTTCATGGCGAACCACAACCGTCTGGACCGTGAAGGTCAAACTATCCTTGGTACGTTGTTTCATCATTGATCATTGATTCTCACTCATTATTGGCAGATGCTGTAATACAGCTTTTATCCTCGTCGATGCTCTCCCCGGATGACGCTCACAATCTCATTCGAGTTGTTGTTGACAGTACCGAGTTACAGTCACCTTCCACTTTGGAGACTCCTCAGCCCCCTGCTCCTCACCCCACTACCCAGATTCATCTCGCGACCTCTCCCATTGTAACTCCAGCTTCCACTTCGCAGACTCCAGTTCCCACTGCGCAGACTAAATCTCCCACCCCCCTTGTTGTGCAGACTCTTCAGCCTCCTGTGTCCCTCCCAGTTCTGTCTTCATCCATCCTCCCAACAACCACAACAACCTTCAACGGGGAGGAAAGGCGTCAGCAGCAATACAATGGCTTCACCTTTGATATTCCATCTGCTGACGCAAATGGACCATTCTACCTTGTCAACCGAGGTCGCCGTGTTGGCGTTTTTGATACATGGTGTGGTTTTTTCCTCACTCTAATTCCAGTATCTGATATTGAATCACAGGCCATGCACTTCCCCCCATGTGATTGGGGTGAAAACATCTTCGTATAGTCGTGCGCGGTCCTTGGATGATGGGATTTCGCGTATCATGGATGCCATAGACCTAGGAGAAGCAGTATGGCTTCCTTGAAGGGAAGATAGGCGACTCTTGATTCACATAGTTCAAATACAATTTTTGTAGTGAGGATCCGTACAATATAATGAGGATCTGTTGACTCTTCATGGCAATTACTCTGTGAATAAATGTAGATAATGCGCGAGGCGCGGAATACGTCTAAGTCAAGTGGGAAAGTGAAGCACTAGCATGTCCTGAAGGAGGAATGCATAATCTACAACGAGACAGATGTATATTGTAGACTCTACAACACAGCAAAATCAGGGGTCTTCTTATAGAGCAGCTCACCTCGCGCATGATGGTAAAGGAGGGAATGTATATCATCCATAGCGTGCATGAGAACATCCTCCAGTGCTTTGTTAACATCATCTACTCTTCCAGCAGTAAGCTCGACCTGACGCAGCTCCTTCCCCACACCAAGGTGTTGCAAAGTTGCGCGATGGCATTCCTGAACCTGTTGTTGGAGTTCCTCTACTTTTACCAGCAAAGTCGTGATAGCCTGGATGCAAGACTTGATGTCTGTGCTCACTTTGAAATTGTGGACTAAGTTGTCAAAAAGCTCAGTCGAGGAGCCGTTCATGAGGCGGTTGAGTGCAGCATCTACATTTGCTAGAGTCCCACTTGTAAAATAAGTAGTTAGTTTGAGGTAACCAAACGCTCTGGGATAGACTCACCTCCTGCCCGCGCATAATTTAACACGTTGTTTAGGAATTTTCTGAGAGTCCACATTGATGCTGCAATGACATGAAAGTGAATCAGACATTTGTGAAAGAAGATTAAGCTCACTGTGCTTGGAGTCAATACCTTGCTTTGTCCTTCAAACTGATGATAGCGTGATTCCTACACATTATAGTTAGTATTAGAATCTGCGTTGCTGTGTATACAACTCACCGGTCATAATATTTTTTGCAGGATCGTCTTGCTGCCTCCATTTTCTCTTCAGGAGTCCAGTGCAATCGAGGGCGAGTCATAGTGTGGTTATGAAGTAAGTGTGGGAGGTTAACAAATCGAAGATCGCAATGAGCCGGGAGTTCGTATGGTAGGTAATTTACACGAGAATTATAATATAACATGTCTCTGTAACCTACAGACGACCGATTGTAAAATAAAATATAGTGCAGCGTATGTATGGGTACTGTAGGCATCATTTGGTGAATGTGTGACTGCTATATTAAAGTAAGAACATGTCTAGTGAACATATTTTGAGGAATTTACACGAGATTTATAACATAACATGTCACTGTAGCCTACAGACAATTGAATTGTGAAGTTGAACATGGTGCAGCGTGTGTATGGATACCATAGGCATCATTGGTGAATATTTGACCATTAAATTAACCTTGAGGGAATGTCTAGCGAACATATTTTTGTCGCAACACCTTGATCTACTACTGCATGCCAATCAATCATTGCTAGTAGCAAGACTCCTATTAAACAAATTCACAAAGTTTTCCTCAACATCCGGAGTGCATATTTGCTTGCCATTATCAAAACCAGCTAATACATAGTGTATATATCTCTATGTACATATGTATACTTTTGCCAATATAAGAGACAGTGCCAGTAGCATGCAAGACCTAGGTGGAGGTCTAGAATTATGGCGCGGATACTTCCGGTAAGCTCAATCTCTCCCATATTCATGATGCTTCAACTCGGAGGACATTCTATTTGTAGGGCGCGATGTTTTGAAGGCAATCCAGCACTCTGCCACGGAGTCCAAAAATAGCATATATCAGTCTCATCTCAGACAATCAGTACGTGCAAACACCCACTAAAATCTGCTGAGGTATGCGATCTATTTTTCTTCTATATAATGACTACAGCTAATGTTTACAGTCTGCAAAACATATTTGCAGGAGAGAGTTTCAATGAACAGCTGCCAAATGTTTCACACTCAGGTACGTGACACTGAGGTATGTGAGCGGGTCCAGGCTAAGTATAAATTTCACAGTCAGCGACACCCAAGCCGCTGGTACCAGAATGGTCAAGCGATCAACTGAAGTGGTTAGAGGACCAGATGGCCTTGTACTCATTAGCCTGCCAATACGACGACCTCTTGGAATTCTGGCCATCGTTGTTTGACATTTTTTTTGCTTGTTGGCCGATCATTCCAGAGTCCGAGGTCCTCACCACTGAGCAGCAACACTCCCTTTTTCAGGCGGAAGAACAGCACAAACTCGTAAGTATTTTTATATAAATTATTAAGATACATTGTAGCTCTGACTACTCGACTGCAGTGCATTAAAGCTTGGTTCGAACACAAGCAGACCAACTCTATGGTACCACTTACCATAATGTCTGTGTCTGCAGATGGCCAGATGGTCTTGCATTTTGAGGAGCCGTTCGAGGAAGCATTCAACCATACCATAGTTGGAGGATAGCGAGGCAGATAGCAACAAAGAAGTGTAGTATATTTAGAAGTACCAAAGCCGCCAAATAAGAAGCATAGTATATTTAGAAGTACCAGAGCCGCCAAATTAAACTTTGTTTGATACCTAACTCTATAAACAAAGTCTCTGCGTTTGATTCTTGAGCCTCGAGTGCGCTCAAGGCAACAAATGAAAAAGTTTGACCAGCACACATGAAATCGCAAGTGTTGTTCTGAGGTACATAAGGCTTTTTTCTTTTGCTTTCATACATTACATTCAGCACGCTACGTGATATGTGACCTAATTCAATAATTAACAGTATGACATGCCGACATTTCATCATGCTGCTCTGTGGACTGACATGGTACTTACAGATGCCAGCAGCAAGGTGGACCACTGATGAACAGTATGTCTGGCTTCAAGATCGGTTAGTGACATATATGGTCCACACGAAGGAAAAGGATTACTCACGTTTCTGGGCTCCGTGTCGTATAGCCTGGTTCGCGCAGTTCCCAGAACGTGCGGTCATCTATCCTGACATCCCCAAGGATGTTGAGCTTACCTGTGAGCAGCAAAAGGTCATTGAGCTCGCAGAGGAGGCGCGTGAGGCGGTAAGCTCTTTGGCGTGTTACCTATGCTGCGTTCTCACAATCAGTACCTATCCACAACAGCAACTACACACTTGGTTTCGCTGGTGTGTAAATAAATCTAAGAAGAACCGCAGCCTAAAGAAGAAACTGACGGTCTTTGACAATACTCTGCAGCCGAAGAGATGTGCGAAGTCAGAGGCCAAAATTTATTCAGAGCTGTATTATGACGAGCGTATCAAGCCCTTGGTGATGGCTGAGCAAGATGCCGGAAATGTGGCAACGTCCGGCAAGCGTGTGGCCCTTGGTTGAAAATTCTCGAAGGAGTTACTGGAAGATGAGACTGAAGAGATCAAGGCAGAGATTCATGAAAAGTATGAGGAACAACTCACTCACAAGAAGCGCACCAAGCATGAGAAGAACATTCTTGACGATGACGCCGACAACAACGACAATGAAGAGTTAGATGCAGAGGCAATCATGCAGTACGTGTGATTCAGTTCTATCAGTGTATTCAATACTAATGCCATTCAAATTCTACAGAGGTATAGATGACTTACCTGTCATTTGTCAATGCTTCGCGAAGCTTGTCAAGCAGAAGACTCGCTTCATGGTCTCATTTATGTTTGCTGGTCCTGATCCCAGAAATGACTGGGACATGACGACATTATCGTAAGTTGCGAGGATTTGTCAGCTTGTACTGCCACTCACACAGAGAAGGTGTCATCCTTCAGAAACACCTCAAGGCGATTCCTTTGCCGAGCTATACCAGACGGCTGATAGCGACTTCTTGGCAGCCTTCCAGCTGTATGCAGAACAAATATTTCGTAAGTCTTCTTATCTCACATTAATAGTGGCAACACTCACTGAAAGTGCATGCAGCTGGCAACAAGTGGAAGCCCGACAACAAGGCCGAAAGCAGTGAGATTGGAGGCATTGCTGAGGAAGAGTCTGAGGAGCGTGAAGAGGATGGGGAGGAGTGTGAAGAGGATGGGGACAAAGACGAGCAAGGCGAAGAAGACGAGCCCAACGCGCAGTCTACAGACGTCGAGGAAGAATCTCAGCTAAATGTGGATGAGGGCGAGGCGAATCAGTACATGGAGTCTGGTGAGTTGCCCAGTCTTTATATACCTTTAGACAAGCAGCTGATGCATCGGTCTGATGCATCAGCAATCCCCATCCCTGGTGCATCCTTAGGTGATGCATCTGATGCATAAAGTCTTGGGGGATCACCTGTGATGCATGCATCGATGGAGACGACTGCCAGTTTACCGTCTGTAAGTGCTTCTTCGGTCTCGGCATCAACGCTCGCACCTGACTCTCGATATTTTAGTATGGCACGCCATTCTATGGCATGTCAATGTATGACATGCAGCCTCAGCCCATGTACGGTGCCCATGCCATGTATGGTGGACAGGATCAAATGTATGGCATGCAAGGACCAACATATGACACGCAGGGCACCAGCCATGCTTTACTCACCAGAAATTCCTGCCTCTCTGGGTCTGATGTGTCCCTTCACTCTCAAGGAACCGCATTTCCACTACAGACGACTAACCACTTCGATTTCGGCATCCCTCCTTCTAATTCATTCATGTCAGGCGCCATCACCCCCGAGTTTTCGTTTGATCAGGGATTTCAGGCTGCAAATTGGAACAACCAGGCCTGGAGCGTGAACAACAACAATCCAGGCTGGAATTTCGGTTCTGCTGAACAAAGCAGCCTGCAGGACTCACTCGACTCACTTCCTGCTCTGCCTCCTCCTGCCAGTGAGCCCAATGAGGACTCGCGACCTGTTCTACCTTCTCCCAACCCGATCCTGAGTATGGACGATACTTCTCTCCCTTCCATCGGCAAGGCTCGCATGACGACTGGCAGAAGGGTTGCCCAGAAGGCTACCAAAAAGGAAGACAGCCAGAAGCGTCCTAATACTAAGTCGACCAAACCCTCAGCTGAAACAGCAACACAGCCGTCTCCCATTGTGTGTGCCACCAAGAACAAGCAGCCGGCTAAATCCTCTTCCAAGAAGTCGTCTGTCGCTAAGCCATCGCCTGGTCAGGCTATACCCTCCATTGAAACGGTCGCTCAGCCCTCTGCCCCTTCTGCCCAGTGCACAACCAAAAAAAAGCAGCCACCTGCTGCTAAGCCATTGGCTGATGAGTCTGCTGCTACCACAAGGGAGCCCTCACCTGGTCCTTCACCCAACCCTATTGTCAATGTAACTGGTGGTGCCTCCAGCGCTTCATCATCAGATAGCTTGATGAATGTCGCTTTGGACACTGAAGTACGCAGAAAGTGCGTGCCAATCAAATCTAGATGCAACGACCTTGCAGATGCTATTGGGACTAACAGTGTTTCATTCTATGCTGGGAAGGAGAATTTATTGGAGGCCAAAGCACCTCACTTGTTGAAGCGGCCTGCACAAAGTGAGGCTTCCAGTGCTCCCATGTTTGATTTAGTTTTTGCATACTTTGCCTCACACGCTGACGTATTTTAGGAAAAAGCGGACCAAGGCGTGATTGGCTAGGCACTGCGTATTGATTTGTTGTACAATAGCATCTTGATAGCATCCTTTGATAATTTGTATTGACCGCTGTGACTTAATGAGATCATCTTGACATAGACCAACGACTTAGCGAATTTTGAGTGGAGAGATCACGTGATCTCTGTTGAACATTCGAACTATGACACGTAGGCACTTAGTGAATGCAGGTAGTAGTAAGTATATATGTCACAGACGGCGCAAGTTTGAAAACAAACAAGTTTCTATTTTATGATGCCATATGTTCAATTATCACACTAATACAGGCTATCTACCATATAGTAATAAATGGGTGATACATTCATTGGCAGCGGCAGGATTGCTAATGATACTGGTGGTAATATCGCATCGATGGTGCCAGGGGTGCATCAAGGAGCAGGCCATTGGAAGCGGTGGGATGGAAATGGCGGGATGTGCACAGCAGTACCCATTGGAAGTGGTGGGATGTGATATATATAGTACAAGAGCGCATTTGGTAGGGCATCAATGGTGGCCGTGGATGCATCAATGGTGGTGTTACAGTTCTATCTTTTCACTTTTCACATCGTCACTTCTTCACATTGACTCATTCCATAGTATTCTATTACATTCTATTGTACAATTCTCTTTCTCTTTTTCCTATTCGCTGTTCATATTCAAGCTCCACTTCAATACTCTTATATATACCTTACTCTTTACACTTTGTATCTTTAACTTGACCTACACAGACCAGGGCCTGCAATCTAGCTTCATCTTCATCAGAACATTGACTTTGACTTTGATCCTTGAAACGTTAAGACATCTAAACAATGCCGAGCGTAACAAAAGGTCAAGTTAACATCTCTAGGCACTGTTACTTGTAACAGGTGCACGAACCCAGAACCCACGATGTCTCACTTAGGATGGAACCCACCAGGTTTTACCTGGAGCGATTCTAGACAAGCCCTTGTGAAGACAGAAGATGACGACACTTGGACATGAGCTGAGTGGAGAACTTATTACGACGGATTAGCGCCCCAAGGACAGCGCTGGAACTTTTGGACTGAATCTTACGAAGATATACCAGCTCCTCCCCCACCAAACCCACCAAACCCAACCATCCAGAACACCGACTCAGACGATGACGAAGACATGCCTAAAGAAATCGGCTCTCTTCCCGAGGTCTTCAATGGAGATACTCGCAAGGCCACCGCTTGGTCTTTACAGATGGAAGTGTACTTCCTCCTCAATGAAGACATATATAATCAAGATAAGAAGAAAATCATCCTAACACTTAGTAGGATGACAAAAGGAGAAGCGGCTAAGTGGGCCGAAGGTGAATTGAAGAGGGCGACTATGGGCGCCACAGTCTTCAACTCTTACGAAGACTTCACTAAGAAGTTCAAAGCCACCTTCTATCCAAGAAACATAATCAAAACCGCCATGAGGCGTATTTCCACCATTAGACAAACCGGCAGCATCACTGCCTATGCCTCCCTATTCCGCACCATCCTGACCGACACCGGCATCGAAGAAGAAAACACGAAGATCTTGTTCTTCCACACCGGCCTAAAGCGTGAGTTAGTCTCCGCTATCCTAGGCCTCGAGAACATCCCAGACACCATCGACGGATGGCTTAGCAAAGCCCTCGACTTCGAGGTAAGGAGGACGCTCCTGAATCCACCAACCATGGGAAAGGCAAGAGACCCTTACGCAATGGACATTGATAAGATGGAGGCAGGAGAAGACGATGATGGTGAGAAAAGTACGAGGAAGACTTACCTCATGCCCCAAGAACATGACCGCAGGCGCAAGAACGGCCTCTGTTTCAAATGCGGCAAGAAAGGGCTCGCCAAAGATTGCCCGAACCATCCTATGGTAACTAGCGCCAGGAAGACCCAGACTAACTCCACATCTAGCTCCAAGAAGGATGATGCCAAATCCCAGGAGTTTCTGGAATGGAAGGCGTTTAAAACACGCCAGGTAAAGAAGTCAAAGAAGAAGGAAGAATCTGACGAAGAAGAGGATTTTTAGAACAGAGATCTGCACTGGTGTCAGATTCTCCTAGAGTAGGACTTTTAGTACAGAGCATTGGCGATCGTAATTCTATGCATATTCCACTCACCATTTACTCTTCTAAGGTCGAAAAAACCATCGAAGCAGCCGCACTGATCAACTCAGGCGCTGAAGGCGAGTTTATTGACTGGACATTCGTCCGTCGAAACTCTATCAAGAGTCACGAACTCAATAAGCCCATACCCGTATGAAACGTGGATGGCACACTTAACAAAAACGGAAAAATTACACGGTACTGTAATCTCTCTTTCCTCGTCTGCGGAATTCCCATGTGAACGTGCTTCCTCGTCACCTCCTTGGGAGGGGAAGACGCAATCCTGGGAATGGGATGGCTAAAGAAAGAAAACCCAGGTATTAATTGGACAAAGGAAGAAGTCCATCTCCGAGAACGAAGCATCAAACCGACTATACAAGAAGTCGAAGAAGAAGACGTCTTTTTTGACGCACAGGAAAGTTTAGATGAGGAATGGGATCCCGCTAGCCAAACCATTCCAGAATCCTTTTCTCATGAAATCCCTGACCTACTCCCCACCGAATACGACACTGATGAAACAGATGTTATAGATCCCGATGACGTCCTCATCGCCTACATCAAAGGCGAACACGTCATAGGAACATTCTCTACGGAAGTATCCAAACCTCCCCTTACTAATGAACACATTCCCTCAGACCACCAGTATTACTCAACTTACGGCACCCTAGTACGGAAAGCACAGAACATGTCCCAACTGCTCACTCAAGAATTTTCCAAAACCGTTAAAAAAATGTTCGAAGAACTCATCCCCGAGTCATTTCGAAAATATCAAGACGTATTCAGAGAAGTAGCAAACGGTATTCTACCTCCCGAACGAAAATTTGACCATAAAATCGAACTCAAGGACTCTTTCGAACCATGCAAGTGTAAGATTTATCCGCTTAACCCAGCGGAAGAGAAGGCCATGAACGATTTCATCGACGAACACCTCGCCAAAGGAACGATCATACCCTCCGAATCCCCCCAATCATCACCTTTCTTCTTCATAGGAAAGAAAGACGGTTCCCTCTGACCCTGCCAGGACTACAGATACCTAAATGATCACACGGTTAAGAATAACTTCCCATTACCGCTGATTTCTGATCTTATAGACAAACTCAAAGACGCCAAAATATTCACCAAATTCGACATCAGATGGGGATATAATAACGTACGTCTAAAGAAGTCCGATCAATGGAAAGCGGCATTTGCCACCGCACGCGGACTATTCGAACCAATGGTAATGTTCTTCGGCATGTGCAACTCTCCGGCAACCTTTCAGTCGATGATGAACGATATCTTCGGCGATATGCTTCAAGAAGGATGGGTAATTATTTACATGGACAATATTCTCATATTCTCGGACAATTATGAAACTCACCAGAAAAGAACACACAGAGTACTGGAACGACTCCGAGAACACCGCCTCTATCTAAAACCAGAGAAATGTACATTCAACGTCACAGAAATCGACTATCTCGGTATGATTATTCGCCCCGGCTCAGTAACTATGGATCCCGCCAAACTAAAAGGTATATCCGAATGGAAAACTCCCACGAAAGTGAAGGAAGTCCAATCATTCCTCGGATTCGCTAACTTTTATAGACGATTCATTGCCGACTATTCCACAGTGGCACGACCCTTAATTGATCTCACAAAGAAAGATGAACCCTTTTTATGGACCAAAGAACGCGAAAATGCCTTTGAAAGGCTGAAACAAATATTTACGACGGCACCTATCCTTCAAATCCCGGATAAAGCCACACCATTTGCTATCGCAACCGACGCTTCTCTTTATGCGACAGGAGCGGTGCTCCTTCAGAAAAATAATAACGGAGATTGGTTACCATGTTCTTTCCTTTCTCAACCCTTTAACCCGGCTGAACGAAATTATCAAATCTATGACAGAGAATTATTAGCAATCGTTCGTGCCTTAAAAGCATGGCGACATTATTTACTCGGCTCTCCTTTCCCTGTGACTGTACACACTGACCATAAAAACCTTCAATATTTCAGAGACGTACAAGACCTGAACAGACGCCAAGCATGATGGCAAACATTCCTTTCCCAATTCGAACTCCGTATCCAACATGTACCGGGTAAAGACTTATTCATTCCCGATTTATTATCTCATAGAACGGATCACCTTCCGGTCGATACCGACGAAAAGGACAATATTTCCATTCAACTTCTACCTGATTTGTTGTTTATTAACACCATTGACACTTCTCTTACGGACAGATTACGTATTTCATCCGCTATTGACCCGGTAGTACAGACAGCACTAAAAGCGCTTACGGACCCAGAAACCCCACCTCCACTCCGCTCGGCTCTTTCCGACTGGAAATTGAGCGACGGAATTCTCTTGTATAAAGGACTTACTTACGTACCCCCCGGCGATATTCGCCATGAACTCACTTCCCTTCATCACGATTCCCCCACCACAGGACACCCTGGACGTTTTAAAACCCAGGAACTCCTTTCTCGCGACTACTGGTGGCCAGGTCTAGCGACCTTCGTAAAGAACTTCGTAGAAGGATGCAGCATTTGCCAGCAGAACAAAGTAAACACACATCCATCTCATCCACCTCTCACTCCTATCCCCGCTCCTATTTGCAACCGACCCTTCGCTCATTGCTCGGTCGACCTTATTACCGACTTACCCCTATCTGACGGATTCGACTCTATCATGGTCGTGGTAGACCACGGACTTTCGAAGGGGGTAGTTTTCACTCCTTGTCTCAAAACAATCGACTCTGAAGGAGTCGCGAACATTTTCTTTTCCAAAGTTTTCTCTAGATATGGACTTTACGATAAACTTATATCAGACCGCGGACCCCAATTCACTTCCAGATTCCAGCTCGAACTCGGAAAACTCCTCGGATACAAGAACTCCCTTTCCACCGCCTTCCATCCTCAGAGTGACGGAGAAACTGAACGAGTTAATCAAGAACTTGAAGTTTACCTTCGGATCTTCTGCGCAAATGACCAAACCGGTTGGGCCACTATGCTCCCCCTTGCTGAATTTGTTCATAATTCTCGACACCATTCTGCATGCGGCACATCACCGTTCTACCTCATGATGGGCTATCACCCAAAACACCTTCCCGATTCACACCCTAAATACGACATCCCTAATATCGAACAATGCCTACTTATGCTAAATAAAGCACGCAATGAAGCGCTAGCCGCTCATGAACTCGCTCATAACACTATGCGTCAACGAATCACGTCCAAATTCGTATCATTCTCTCTAGGCGATAAGGTTTGGCTCGAAGCCAAAAATCTTCATCTTGGATATCCTAATTGGAAGCTCGCTCCGAAATGCAAAGGACCATTTACCATCATTCAAGTCCTTTCGCCCATCACATATAAATCAAAATTTCCCTCTCAATGGCGCATTCATCCCATATTTCACGCCGCCTTATTATCTCCCTATAAAGAAAACGACATACACGGTCCTAACTTTATTAACGCACCACCAGACATCATTGACAGAGAGGAAGAATACGAAGTAGAAGCCATCATCGGTCATCACGGTTCATCATCCAGACGGTCTTACCATGTTAAGTGGAAAGGGTTCCCTAGTTCCGAGAACGAGTGGTTGACAGAAAGGCAATTGGGTAACACTTCTGACATTCTTTCTTCTTATAAACGATCACATCGACTTTAACTTTTTGTAGTAATCTGGGCTTACTACCCTTAAAATGGGGGTAATGTTACAGTTCTATCTTTTCACTTTTCACATCATCACTTCTTCACATTGACTCATTCCATAGTATTCTATTACATTCTATCGTACGATTCTCTTTCACTTTTTCCTATTCGCTGTTCATATTCAAGCTCCGCTTCAATACTCTTATATATACCTTACTCTTTACACTTTGTATCTTTAACTTGACCTATGCAGACCAGGGCCTGCAATCTAGCTTCATCTTCATCAGAACATTGACTTTGACTTTGATCCTTGAAACGTTAAGACGTCTAAACAACGCCGAGCGTAACAGGTGGCGGGAATGCATCACAGAGTGGGGTGCTAATAGGGTGGTATATATAGTTCAATGAGGTATCGGGGATGCATCAAGGGGATGCATCAAGGAGCGGGTTACCTGCAGCGCCTTGATTAGTAAGGCTAAGGTGATGTCATAATCCATCAGGAATGCATATTCACAATGATGCAATAACGATGCATCATAATGCACCATACATTAGCAGCGCTAGCACTGTAGGATGAATGCATCACTATAACCTTACAGTCTCAATGCTTTGTTGCATCAATATGACAGGGACACCTGGGGTCGCGTCCCCCAAGGTGGCCGTAACTGGGAGGGTTTCGGTGCAGATCCTTTCCTAACTGGCGAATCCGCATACAAGACAATTTTAGGCCTACAAAATGGCGGAGTACAAGCCACTGCCGAGCACTTCATCAACTAGTTTGTGTTTTCTTGTGTTTGTTTGCTTTTCTGCTTATCCCACCAGTGAGCAGGAACACTTCCCCACATTAGAATCTTCAAATGTTGATGATCAGACTCAGTATGAGATTTACGCGCACCCATTCCTGCGCAGCATTATGGCCGTGGGTAGCGTTGGCACATGATGCATCCAGGAACCAGTCCAACTCGGGTCACTGCCTCTCTGAAGAACATCTAGTCTCTCATAGCAATCGATCTCCAGTGACCACTTACTCAACGAAAGACAGTTTTCCACAGCTGGGGATGAGACAGACACCAGTCACATGACGGGCCAATGTGCCTTGTTTCAGCGGAGCGTGCACAGTCTTGACTGGTCGTGATGGAGGAGCTGGAGTAGGTTCTTCGTCATCATCTGATGGATATGTGTCCAGGTTTGTGCGGCAGTGCCTGTCCCCATATCGTCTTCGGCTTCCTCATCAGCGTCAGCATACTCCTCGTCATCCTCGCTGGACTCATCTGCAAATATAAGTAAGCATCGAAATCAGATGAGCAAGTTAGTACTACTGTAATTTACTAATTCAACATTTTTTCATCTCCCGTACGACCGTATAGCCGGTCATATGACCGTATGATGACCCGTACCGTACTGTCGAACATTTTGAATGTATTGTACGACATACGGTACGGTACAGGTAGTACCCGTAAGCCCGCCGTAAATTGTACGGCTGTAACCGTATACGGTTACGGTGGCCAGCCCTAGTCCCAATCTTTGGATCACTGAGAGCAAGTATATTCGACACTGACCACAAATACCATGTGCCACACTGCATGGTCAATCCCACGGATCAAGTTCTTGTGCTGGACCGCGCCCTCGTTTGATTTCCGTGATACGGGCGATGCAGTGTGCAGTTCGCGAAGCGAGGAGCGCTCATGTGAAGTGTATATAACACCCGTCGGAATGATGAGTACTAGTCACTACCACTGAGGTAGCGCGGTTGTCGGTAGTTGACAGTTTGCCAAAGAGAAAACCAGCTTCCGTAGCGACCTTAGACTCGTTGGTCGGACAATGGTTATGTCGTACTAGTAGCGTCTGATGAGCGCACTGCTATGGGCACTAGTCCGAATGCAAAGTCCAACGATCAGCGGAAACGACCATATTAGGTCAATAGTTTATCCCTAGAGACAGCACAGCTATACTGTATTACATGCCCCCGTCCCTACAACCTATACAGATAAGTTACGAAATAAAAAGAAAGCAAATGAAATGTCGATCAATAAATCATTGTGATGTGAAAGTATATGCAAATTTTTGAAGACTAGAAAAATGGCAATTTAAAGGTGAATATACCTCGCAGAAGCGGTCGGAGAAAATTTTGGGCGCGAAGATAGCGCATGATCATGTGAGTATGCTCGTATTGAAGGAACCTAGGTGTGATGCAGTATATGGGTTGTCTGTAGGACATAAGGAAGCCCAAGTGTCTGGAAAGCTTAGTTAGCTTGTTCGGTTTAACTAACACGGCACCCATACCTGGAATACTCTCGCTGACGATGGGTAGTTGATTCCGAGCTTCGGCCATGACCGCTGCAAAGCCGCTAGAGAGAAGTCAGTGCATGGCCCAAATATTGCCACCGCATACATACTTGTTCAGATGGAAGTCAATATGACTGGCAAACACATCATGAGAGGCGTATCGTAGAATATAGCGAAAATACATGCTCACCAATGGAAGAACCATGGTCCAGCATTGTCCGTGACGAAACGGAAAGTAACATTATCCCCTATCGTCGTTCCCATACTTACGGTGTCTCTCCAGATTGGGTTAACGAAGTTCGGTGTACTATTGCCTGCAACTCTGACAACGGCAAATTTGTGCTGTCTGCTGTATTAGAATGGAGAACGACACAGAAAACGAAATGACACACTCCATGAAGGTGCATAGGATGCTAGAAAGATGATGAGCAACAGGAGTGAACAGTACCAGGATGGACTTACTGGACCGCCAAGAGCTGCACCCGTGTTGGGAATGGTGATCTCTACGACCTTGTTCGGGGGAAGCTCGTATACGCTTCCGCTTGGCAGCAAATCCGAGGGATGTTGAGCCCCGCTGAGCATTTGCAACAGAACCGGCGTCGGAGGGCTATGGTACGAAACGTTGTTGATCGTGAAGAGGCCATTGACGTTACCGGCAACTAAGTTGAGGTTGATGTCTGCCTTGCCAATCTCAGGCACACCGGGAGCCGGAATGTTCATCAAGGATGCAAGCTTTGCTTCGTTGAATGGCAAGATGGAGGGTCCAGGAGAGCTCGTAGGATCTTCCTCGGGCGCACCCTTGTACCTGAGGATGGCTTGGTTCAAGCCGCCTGCAAACGATTGATTTCCAAGGTTGGGTAGTACGCGAACCCAGTAATTAGCCACAGGTTGGTTCGCATGGACGATGACAGAGTAGCGCTGGCCAGGGAGCACCGGAAGCGAATCCACAGTCTCAGGGATAGTTTCGACGCCATCAGCTTCAATGATGGTCATGATATGGCCATCGATAGTGAGGTTATATGATGGGTCACAAGAAAGACCAAGGACGCGGAACCGGTAACGTTTGCCCTGCTCAACATTAATGACGGCAAGAGGTGACAAGGGTCCACCAGAGTAGCGCCCCAGACCATTGATGAGGGTGGAGTTGTTGGTGACGGGGCCGAGGATCTTATTTAACACAGTCGTAGGATCGTGGTACCTGAAGAAACTTGTAAAGACTTGTAATGCAAAAGGCTGACAAGCTAACTCATACCAGTCGGAAATCGTCAGTACTGTGCTCTCTGTGCCAACACTGGTGAATGGTAGGTCTAAGCACGAAAGCAATAATACGAACCATCATCTACATCATACAAATCTTTGTGTGGATCATCAGGGTCATATATGACAAGTGGTCCTCTAAGACCATCACCTGGACGTAAAGATGTGTAGCAAAGGTCGCAAAGATAATCAGGGGTACTCACAATACTGGGTGGAAAAATGCGAGTGATACCTATCGTACGAAATGCCTTAGCGAACCTCCTCTTTAAAAAATGGGGGACACGAACCAAAAAGTTCCCGTCTGGTTTGTGCTAAATTGGTGGAGGAAAGAGCGATTTGGAGGGATTGGACACTGAGTGATGAACGAAGTGCCATCTGCCCAGTTCGTCTTCTGTTGTTGAATGCCATGCCAGTGCTTTGAAGGGTATCAGAGACCTTACGGTGTCAGACAAAGTAAAGGACATACTACGCTCGTCGATAAAGGCATGTCTTTGTCCTGTAATTGGTTTACAACATTGATGCTAAAGTTGTCATTCTTCGAAATATTCAGTGTCAGACGTGAATAAAATGCTTGCACAAACCTTCTGCGCCTTGATGAGAGGACCAGGAAAGATTCCTCCTGCGAGTGTAGCCCTGTACGAGAGGAGGATGAAGAGGTATAGGGGAAGATATAGGCGCATTAACTCACGACCGTTTAAAGCCGTCAGGCGCGATTACTCTGTTGGCGATAGTAAGGTCAGTGACAGGTCCAATAGTGGACGGGTGTGCGCTAGGCGGCGAATGCTGCAAGGGCTCAGAGTTAGATCTTGAAGTTACCGACATTGCATGTGATGAGGCAAGAAGACAGCCAGCGAAGACAGTGTGGAGAAACATTGTGACCAGGGTAATATAAAATATGCTGCCTAACACTGGCAGCCGTAGACGTGGAGATCAACTCAAAGGTAACGGAATAGAAAAATCATATGCCGACTCCTTATATTTGTATCGGGCAACACTGCCAGTGAGCCTGTGGAAGTGGCATTTTAAGTCGAGAGACAATCGGAGCCAAAGTTTGGGTTGCTAGACCACTTTGGATCCACGCAAAGACAAGCAGTGCACGTTGTGAAGTGGGATGTCCGGTCTTTCGTATAGGTTGAATAGTGGCTCCAGTGAATCAAATTCTCGGGTCCAATTTGAGTTGACAACAGGCGAAAGCAAGGTGGGGTGCCGTGATTAAACCGACTGGAGAGTTTATGCGATGATCTTCTTCATAAGACAGATACTGTAGGATAAACATTATGGTCGACTAGCCTGAGACAGGCTAAATTTGCAACCTTAGCGGTTTGCCGTCCGCTTTTTGGACACAAAAATACATGCCGCGTATAAAATGAGGGGATGGACCTTCAAGTTTGAAAGCCTTGGCAGGCCCTCTGATGAAGTTCTCCGTGGCTCGAAGCCGTTAGCTCTGACATGGTTATTAGTTGACAAGACTCACTAGCGAGGACTATACTGCATAGTATTAGTAATGCCGATCTAACTACCATAATGGTCAGGTGACTCGGTTGCTCATCAGTCACTGCATCAATCATTTGGCAGTTTCAGGCTGACCGTGACAACCAATGATTCAAGTTCCTGGTTAGTAAGTCCAACTCAAACTATCAAGCAAAGAAAGGTCAAGGGGTACACTCGCATCATCCTTTTAGCAGGGCGCCCAAACTTGAAATATCACACACACCATTAGCGAGACTTTCCAGTTGTACTACATACTAGAACCACCACGTATATGGTGATAGGGGCCGCCTCTGCTGACGGGTTTGTATGGCCCTTTCACCGCACTGCTGTGCTTCAGGCCGACGGCGGCGCACTAAACTCGATTCAACGGTATGTAGCTACTGGAAGTTACCGTGTCGTAAACTTATCGCTTAACAAAGGTATTTTCTCTCGAGCTCCTGGACCTGGACGGACCCTCAGGCCTCAACGTTCAACGGGTATTGAAGAACCGGATCCTTGTTTTATACTGACGAACCAATGTTTTGATGATTGCACTTGTTCTAATCTCGAAAGTACTCTAGTGCAATTGCAACATATTAATATTGAAGTGCGCGGTGGATATCTAAATGGTTGGTCGGGCCGCGTCCAACATAGTTTGGCATCGCCTCGTTCCGACTTGCCACATCAAACACCACAGGTCATCGTGATCGATAGCGCTCAATCACTTCTCTGCCGTCGATCTCGAAAACGGACTGGTAGGATCTTCCTCGAGCATTGCCCCATGTGAGAAGACATGTGCGATCGAGCGTCCACGCGAGTGCGATGTTATATGACCCCTGGGCCTGACGCTTGGACTTTGCGGTGCATCCCCTAGGAGATCTAGCCTGGATTGTAAATTTCGATATTCGATATTGCGGTTTGTTGCAATTGCAAGTTGGCCAGACGGAGAATACCGAAGAAGGTCTACATTTCCTAGCAGCTTGAGTGCATCGCAGTATTGTAATCTCCATGATGACGGCGAACCAATGCCCGCCACTATTCCATTTAGAGAAAAGTCCAGCAAGAACACACCGAAAGTGACTGAACTTTGAAGTTGGCTTTGATGGGCTGAGTGCGGTGAACAGTTTTCCAGTTTCTCCGTGCCACTGGACGTCGATGAACCTCTCCCATCAGAACACCGCTTGCTATGAATTGCTCATCCCGTAATGCTACCGCCAAATGCCAATACCATACTGCTACTTCTTCAACATGACGCCTGCCTTCAAGACGAAACGGTGTTGTCCTCCGAGCCCGTAAACATTCGTCTTTGATCGGGTAACGAGGGCGGGCCATATTGCAACTGCATTCATACATTCTTCATGACCTTTAAACTCCCTTCGATTTGGTATTTGGAATGAGCCAAAACATTTTACTGGAGGTCGATGGCACTGCGCACACTCGAGGTAGATTTTGGACAATGGACGGGTGTGATTACTTATTGTTCTCTCTGACTTAGCTGCATGTATTATGTATTCTATACTGGCTCCGAGTTTCCATAGGAAACCAGGCGGTTCGCCACTGCGGCGTAATGTCACACCCACCTTCCTCGACAATATACCCTCCCGGCGCCTTTGAGTTTGCACCGTACACATGGGTCTGGCTTTTGTCTCCACAGCTTCAAAAACTGCATCCCTCTACCTATTCAATTGTGATCGTACAGCCACCATCCCCATGCGCTCGAATGTTATCCATCCTCGATGGCCGCATGAATATTGTTGTTTCTCATACCCAGCAGCTACTGTATATTGCCATGTGACGTGCCCGAATGCATTTAATGATGTCCCATCCACTCCGTCGACTCCCAAGATCTACGTGCGCGTCTCTCAGGCGTTTATACGTCACCTATGTCATGATGTTTTCCAAAGATGTCCGTAGCCTTGCTGCCAGCGCTCTGCTCGTCTTTCATCTGAGTCCCTGGCTCCGCCCACTTTCAGCCAACATGTTTCATCTTTCTGCTTCGCCATTCTGCTCCTAAAACGATCCTCATTGGAATCCTGCGGATACCGTAACATTGGTGCGACACGGTCATCATTGTCACTATCCTCGGTGAGCTCACCACAACCAAAGGTATACGAACCTTGCATGTAATTATTGACCTGTCATTGCAGGTGTTCAGGAACGATATGGATCATGCAATAAATGGAACCCAATCCTTGGACCCACGGACAACCAACTGCGTATCCCAACTTCGAAGTGGTTGTTTACAGTACATCGACCTCCTCTACCTAATACTCTGACCCAAATCACCATATGTCAGGTGCTGCGTTATCGATCAAATTTACTTGCGGCCAGTTGTTCTCAACACGCTATATATCTCCATCGTGAATTACAATTGGTGCATCCTCATGAGGACGAAACAATCCTTGACATTTCTATATCGTGAATGTAGAAAGTGGCCTACTACAAAGCATTTCAAGCGTCCAATTCTTGTCTTCGCAGCTTCCAGAATGTATCCCATCGCATCCAATGGAGCAGCTGGTGATTCCTTGTATGAGCGCATGAATTATCGTTGTTTCTCGTGTCGAGCAGCCACTCCAGCCCATCACCACGTCACTCGTTCGAACGCATACACATAGCTTATTACAATATCACCCCTTCGTCCCGTCGATTCCAAAGACCTGCTTGTGCACCGCATGCAGCCGATCGAAGTTCTTCCTTCTGGCATCTCAAACTCGTTACCAATTATATCAGGTAGGAGCGCTTTTTTCCAGCGCTCTACTCATGATTCATCTCTACTTCGAACATCGCCCACCCCGGTCCAACTAGTTTCATTTCTCTTGTTCGCCAATGCCACCAAGTCCATCATTGTAGAAATCCTGCACCACACAAGTACCGGTGCAACGTGGTCGCTATCCTGAGTGAGCCCTCACTATATATGTTACGCAAGCCCTGCGTTCAAAGGATTCTCATCGCAGGTGTTTGGGAATGTCATCTACCATGGGAGTCAATGGTCCCTAGCCTTACCTGGACCGCTGAGAGACCAACCGAGTTCACATCAGTTCTTTTACTAAAGCTTTCATCTCAATTATCGTGTATGATCTCCTTCGTGAATTAGTGCATGCTAAGGAGGATAAAATGATAGATGATCTGGCTGTAACGACGGAGCCCGTGCCAGAGCATGACATTGCTCGCATACACATTCTTGCTGTCCACAGCTCCATTCGAGCCGAGTCCTTGAGCCCGGTGTGACATACGTAGTGAAGCTAACTCGACGATCTTCGACGCGCAATACTAGCACTGAGCAGATCCCTTGAGGATTTCTCGACTATTTCTGGAGGGCCTGAGCCTTGTTAACATCATTTAGACCATTCAACGTTCAACGCTTAACAGTGACTCAAACTTAGCTTCAACGTCGACGGGGTCGATTCCATGTTTTCAGCCTGGGACGTGTAACTTGCAGCGTAAATTCCTATGGATTTCAACGTTTCAACTGTAGCCTATTTGGCGTGAGAGAATACCTGATCCCGTTCTACTTTCGTTCTGTACAGTGATTCCGCAATGGGTAGCAATGATGTCTTTCATTGATAACAATGCAGGGAGAAACATTGGGATCGCGGGTCAGTGTGCCATAATACTTAAAAAGCAGTTTAATGGGTAATATTCCAATGTCTAATTCTATTCCTACGTTTGTACCCTCACGACATTCAACAAAACTGTGACTGGCAAGCATACAACTGAAGTCACGCTAGAGTGGCTCACTCAATTGCAAAAACGTGATCGACTCTGATTCAGACGCCGACATCGCCCTCTGCAACCACGAGAGCACATCGTGCCTCTGGGCTTTATGTTAACTAGGTTCACAGGTGTGCCTCACTCACAGCATGTCAATTTCTGAGATTTTGTATTTGCGAGAAGTTGCAAAATCTTACTTACAAGGTATGTATGATGTGTGATACCATGAAAATGTGATCGTCAATGTACACACGCAAACTGCTCAGAGATCACTGTGTTTTAAAAACGTACAGTTACAATATGTCCAAGGTCTTGATGTTCATAATGTCAATCGAAACCGTGTCTTTGACCTGCGCGGTGATATTATAGTCCGACGCGATCCTCTTGTATTCTCCAACGCGTTGCTGCGCTAGCAAAAGTGCACTGAAAGCCTGTCCGAGGTGAACCATCAAGCGTAATGATCGCGAGTGGGATTCCGAGTCAACTGACGAGTCCTCTTCTCCAGGTGATTCGCTGGACGACTCGTCAGTGTCGCCTAATGCAGACTCAGACTCGGACAAATCCCCTACGCTCTCCGCTTCGTCTGCAAAGTCAGGCAGCTCAAGGAGACGACGATCCCATGGACGGATAAGAAAGAATGTCTGCCGAGTGCGCCTTGCGCGCGAGAACTGAATCAGTGTCTCGTCCGTGGTGATCAGCAAGTCCCGAAGCCCATCTGCTTTCACTCCATACGTGGAATGAGCAACATGACCAGGTCTCCGTTTGACTTCCGTGACACGGAATGCGATGCAAGGAAGACGGAGTCTACAGTTTGCGAAGAGGGGAGTATTCATGTCCTCGAGTAGGTTATACAATTTCGAAGCTGAATCCACAGCCACAATGTTTCGCAACGAGGAGACCGCTGTCTGAATCTCATCTTCAGACAATGATGGTAGGGAGCTTGGCGGGGTTGCATATGAGATAATGTCGGCTGGAAGGCAACTATTGAACTCGGACGATTGTCCGACCCAGTCCAGGGCGGTGATGTCGCCCGATCTAGCCACGATCTCCTGCAGGAGCCGCCCAAGCGCGTTTTGCTTCCTCTCACCATAGATTACAGGTAGATGGACACCGAAGATACCGAACAACGAGTACGCGATGTCTTCCTGCATGGTGGTGACACGTCTTGATGCCCATTGCAGTTTCTCTCGAGCACCTCTCATCCCTGGACGGAAGGAGGTCAGGGACCGTGCATCTATTCCCGTCGCACCCTCCAACTCCTCCATGATTGCTGGGGACTCTTTGTGGTTGGGAGAGCGATCGTCGAGATATAATGACCAATCCTTTTGATAAAATATGACGACTTTCGGAGCGACGAATTCTTGAAAGGTCCATCCTCGCTCGTTCCAAACACTCTTCGCCAGTGCACCAGGATGGGATGAAGGAGGGACATCGGATAGGTAGATTATGGTGAGCGCTGAGTGGCGGTACCAGACGAACATGGAGTTGACCGATTCTTGAAGCTCGACGTTGTTGCTCTTATCGATGCAGCATGTATCCATCCACGCCCAACAATATCCCGCATCACGAGCGACTTTGCAGAACGACTGCAGTTTCGTGATCCCACCAAGTTCATTCAGCTCGTACACGACTTTGTCCTTGATGTCGTGCAGCAGCGCCTCCGTCTCTTCCCACCTGTGTGATAGTAGGACGCAGCGGAAGTGCATCGCTACTACTTCCTTGATGCGCTCCATATCTGAATGTTTCGTTGTGAATGACAAAAGCTCCTTGTACTCTGGACTCGTTTCGAAGGAATTTAGCTGTGCTGCACGGTTGCATAAAAGCCCGGTAGAGGTGTTGAGCAGACGAAGGGGGGCGTTGCTGAGTTCAATCAAAACTGCTCTTCGAATAGCGTCTTCTACTTCTGATGGACAGACATATTGTTGACGCAGATCTACAGAACAAGATATGTGTTTTGAGATTATGCAGCAGTGTCCCATAGCTTACCTCGTATCTGCGCTTCGGGAGAATCCTCCAACTTAGACAACACAATTTTAAAGACCTCGATGGCCTCATCGTAACGTTGCGCGCCACGCAGAGCTACATGTGTCAATTGGTATCCAACATGAGACGAAGGATTGAGTTCGGTGACCTATGCATAGCCGAAGTCAACATGGTCTGCGAAAACGTAGATGTCATCGCACCTTTTGCGCGTCGAGAAGCGCATCCTCCCATAGCATTTTATTCAACTTTGCCTGGCTGCGATTTGCAAAGATGACATCGGATGTAGAATCCAGATCGACCGCCATTGAGTATAGGTCAATAGCCTTGTCGTAATCGCTTGAAGCGAGTGCGGCATGTCCATTGACAGCACAGAGTGTGCTGCATTGTTGCTTGAAATCTAAGAGAAATGCAGGTGAGGATTGTAGCATGCGTGACATTACGGATTCTAGACTTGCCGTTGGACCAGTCAAGGCAGTCAGCCTTGGTATTTTCGTCACTCAAAACCATCATGTATTGGTATGATCTCACAGCATCTTGAAATTTACCTGCCCAAAGGAGTGCATGACAACATTTCTGGTATGCAGTGAGCCACAACAATTTGAGATCCCAGCCGAAGAGCTGGACAAGAGTTGATTATGAGAATGGTTTCCAATGTGTATTAACGTACCACCACCAAATCCTCGTAGAATTCATGAATGACCAATTCCGATGACAAAGCACTGGAGTTGATAGCGGCAGTGAAATGGTCAGCGGCTTCGTTGTGACATGCATCATCCAAGGCTTTGATTCCGAGTTGAATACGTAAATATGCCTAACATGCAAGTTGCAAAGATTAGATGACCCCGCGTGGCTGCATGATACTTACTTCCACGATATGACATGCACAATTGTCGACATTCGGACAGCCAGTAGTTAGTTCTTTGAGGAGCAGGTTTGCCTCGTCATGTCGATTTGCGTTGAAAAGCGCGATGACCTGAAATACACAATGCAGGGGAGAGTATGCGAAGCAAATGTATCATACCTTGATCAAGAGCAAGGAATGGAGGATCTGTGAATCTTGGTCCGTGTACATTGATGCATCACCAAATACTGCACTTGCATCCGGGACGCGGCCTTGTCCACAGAGGGCAATACCCTTGGATACATAGCCGGTCAACGAGGGCTGGATGCTGATGGACTATGTCACTGTGGATTTAGCCATTCATAACGAGGAAATGACGGGCCAGTGAATCTCACCTTGACTGCATCCTGAAGGGCGAGGTCCCAGTCGTGTTTTCGCGCCATAACGAATGAGCGATGGGCGTAGGAAGTAAAGTTGTTCGAATTTGCATCGATCTCTTGCGTGAGTAGTTCTTCTGCGGCAGACAAGTCACCATCTATGCATGCATCGCGGGCTGTTGTGTTGGCTAGGACCTGCACGAAACATGCTCGAATTGTGGTATATGAGTCAAGGATGGATACATGCCTTTGAACTAATACCCTGAGGTACTGCCCACTCTAAGATTTTATAGCCATCATCGCCGAGGATGCGGCTGCCGTCCACGGAGAAAGTCACGCATGTCAGAAAGGATGAATGCTTAAAGATGGCAATGGTTCGTCGATCTGAGAGCCGCCAGAGACGGATATGGTTGTCATGAGATGTGGAGGCGACGAGTTTTCCAGCAGGATGAACGGCAATGGCATTGATATAGCCAAAGTGGCCCGCCCAAGGATCACCGACCTGCTTCCAGGTTGTTGTGTCCCATTTACATATGGTAGAATCAATATAACCGGCAGAGTGACTGCCCCGTCTGGTAAGATCAAGATAATTGGCACATGCGCATGTGAGAAAGCGTGTGCCATCGGGCGTCCATGCGCATGATGAAAGTGACCAATTCTGCGATCGCCAAGGCTTGCAATTGAAGGACGCGACGCGTTCCTTTGTGCCTGAATTATAAATTTGGATATTGTCTGAAACTGTTGCGATGGCAAGAAGTTCTCCAGAGGGCGAATACCGAACGCAGTAGACTCCACTATCATGCTCGATTGGACTTCCTTGCAGCTGCCAGGTATTGGTGTCCCACAGTTCCATTCCATTATATGAACCAGTGGCCAGCACTGCCCCATCGGGAGAAAAGTCCAGTGAGGTGATCCTTGAACGGGAGCAGCCACCGATTTTGGTGAGTAATTCGCCAGTTTTTGCGTGCTGGACGATGACCTCTCCATAGTGATCATTACTTGCTATCAATTGTTCATCTCGTGATACCGCCAAATCCCGCACCCCGCCGCTATGCCCCCTCATCTTCTTCAATACAACACCTGTCTCCATGTCCCACATATGAAGTGTCGTGTCTTCCGAGCCCGTAACCATCCGTCGTTTATCAGGGAACACTGCGACTGCGTTTACGTATCCCCGATGGCAGTTGAACTCTCGCAGGGGCGTGGTGATTGGAATGAGCTCCGACATTTTACTGGAAGTTGATGGTGTTGAGGACGGTGGAGATGGACTTTGGGAGGGATTGTGGATGTCTTCCTGTAGAGGTGCGTGTGTTGTGCTTTTTATGGTGCTTCACTGCGTCGATCTGCCTCGTTTCTATAGACGCCCAGGACAATTAAGGCTGTTTGCCTCCACGCTTCCATAACTGTTACAGTACTTAAGAATACTTCCTACTCGCGTTCTTCGACAGTATACCCTCCCAGCGCCTCAGTGCATACATGCACCCAGCTCTTGTCTATACAGCTTCCAGATTGTATTCCATCGCATCCAATTGTGTTTTCCAGCGCTCGAATCTGACTATCTATCCTGTATAACATCGTTGTTTTCGTGTCGAGCAGCTACTCCGGCACATCACCATGTCATTCCTTCGAACGCATGCATATAGCTTACTGCAATATCACTCCTTCATCCCGTTTCGACTCCCAATCCTGCTTGTGCATAGGATGCAACCGAATTTCGTAGTACAGGCTCGGAACTTCCTCACCATCACCATACCGCCAGTGCCCACACCTCATTGCGAATGCCTCTCCATCTTCAATACAATTCCCACAATTGCATCATCTTGTTACACGAGCCTGTTACCATATGTTGTCTATCAGGAAAAACTGCGACTGCGGTTACACCGCTCACAATTTGCAACAACTCGACGGAGTGCGGTGCTTGAAATGAGCTTCGACATCTTACTGGATGCCGGTGATGTGGAACACGGTCGAAATGGACTTTGGAGGGATTTTGTCTTTCTTTAGGCTGCAGAGATGCGTGTATTGTGCTGTTTCACCCCGTTTCCATAGACACCTTGGTAGGACATAGTCCCGTTCGCTTCCACACTTCCGTCAAGGTTACAAGCATGAATAATGTCTTTTTTCATATTATCGTACAACCTGTCCGAGCGGTCACTGTTTGTGTATATCATCCATTCTCTATCGAGCCTACTGCAATATCATTTTTCATGCAGTCGACTCCTCAGATCTACGTGTACATCGGATGCAGCAAAATCCCCGCCTCCCATGACTCAAACCCGCTACTACTAGTGCTACGACAGGAATTTCCGCCTTAGTTTCTGCCTTCCTAGTTTAATCTAAACGGGGACCCCACGTTCTCTTCAGCACGCTGCTTGTCGCTCATCTCAGTTCCCAGCTTCAAAAACTCTGGGCAAACTCGTTTATCGTCGTTCACTAACCCTTCTCCCACACCCATCTCATCGGAATCGTGCACACTGCAAGTATCGGTGCAAGACTTCTTTTAGTTTTACTAACCCTGCAGGCTCTCACTGCATTCCAATTACGTCTAATTATTGACTTATATCAGGAACTCCATCAATCATGCAACGGTCCAAATTCTCCGAGAAAAGTGAGTATCACTACATCTAAGGAATTCTTCACAGCACACTCTAATGTTCTGAGTTCAATGACCATGTGCCAGGGCTAGGACTAGATCAGTATTCCTCGAGGAAAGTGAGTACTATTTATAGTCTCAGCTCTGAGTCTCGCTGACCTAGACTGTCCAACAGTGACAAAACTTGAACGTCGACGGGGTTCCCTTCATGCTTGCAACAAGTGGTTTGCAGGATGTAACAGTAAGATACAAGACATTGAAATTGCATTTAAACAGTAAAAAATTGCAAGGAGAACCGCAACTGTTGCAGCCCGCCCTTGTCCTTGTCCCGTTCTCGGCTCCATGCATGACACAGCTGAGGATGCAACGAGAGAGGGACAAAAGCACTGGCAGGTAACTGCGGTGTCGCGAGGTGTGAATTGCGGATGTACCCGCCTTTCCCAGATTCATCTTGATTTTGATATTCCTCAGGCCAGGAGGGGACGGTACTTTGATGGGCTGATGTTTGACACAGCTTGAGCCTTGAGCCTCAGGGTCAGCACCAATCAGTCGAGGACAACACAATCGATCCCACGAAGTGATAGTACTGGGTCGTAAAGAGTAGTACTTGGCGTTACTACATCATATTGGATTGTCACTTGCATCCGAATCCATATGCTTCGGACTGAAGGCATGAACGAGGGAACACAAAGCACGTCAAATACGATTTCATGTTATAAAACAGAGGATGGGTACATCCGCCATACGATTCATTAACGTTGTGTGAGCCCAGCAGGAACCAGAAGATGGGCTGTAGGCTAGAGCAGTTTGATGTGAGGAGCGTAGATGGGTATAACGACACGAGCCCACACATAGTGGCTTGGGCGTTCTGGCACTGAAAGCGGCGGCGAATAATGCAGTCTTATGTTGTGGGTTAGTTGAAGGCCAGGCTGTCAGTGACGGCGTCGTCTATTCTGTGGTGTATATGAATGTGAGATTGTGTGTAAATGGGAAGCCAGTGTGTATACCTTTCTGGCTGATGTCTCACGTGGCACCTTGCGTATGGTTCGTTGCATCGCGAACTTGAGTGATCTCACTAGGATAGCATTGAGCTGTCATATCTCACAGAAATTTTAGAAGGTGTCATAGATCTCAGGGTAAAAGCAAGTGCACTTCGAACGGACCACTCTGAGTGTGGTTCTATTAGATTGCACGTGTTCCATACATACCGCAATCAATGGAACTTGTCATGCAACATTCAACGTTACAACGGTGACATAGAGGAGCATGTACCGGGTAGTATCCGACCAGAGCAAACGTTCTCCGAATAGTCCCGTCCCGGGTCGGATCTGCTGAGGTGGGCCCGGACATATTACTGATGGGAATTCATATATGTAAGTGGCACGGTCTTTGAGAATATTCGTTCTCGGCCTTGTACGACGTTGGCAAATGAGTCTTAGTTTTACGTCCTCTTCAATTGACTTGTTGAGCGCTGCCATCACGGCGGCGGCCTCCAGGCTGCAGCTGACCACCTCCGTCAAACTCAAAATTTCCCAAATTGATCGGTTGCCACCAGCTGTCACGTATCACCGAGGGTTCTGTGCACGTGACGATTAACTCCCTCCATTCCATCATGACTCGGAACTGTTAGCGCACGCCAGCTTGCCTGATAATCGAGGTGAGTAGCATGTAGGATGCATCCAAAGCGTTTCTCTTGGAACAACTCTTCACATTCACCCCAATGTTCATGGTAGCCTTTCGTTCGCAGGTTTATATAGCCTCGAGCTGAGCCTTATTGCCTGACCCACATCATCACGGGCACATCTATTTGCCACTTTGCCGAATCAAGCGTTTTCCTGGCTACTGATCCGAAAAAGTCAAACATGTTGTCTTTCGGACGAACGAGCCGGTATCTGCGTCCTTAATAGCCATCAGAGCGCTGTCTCCACTATCAGGAAACGTATAGGAATGCCTTGAAATGTCGATTTGATTCCTGTCCGATGACCCCCATTTATAATCCATATCAACGTTCACACACAGGGTCATGCTTTCTTGGGCTAGGGCCGCTAGGATGGCTCGAGATTAGTTCCAAGCTAACTATGCACTCTGACAAGGCTTCGGCCAATTGGCAATGCCTTATCTCTGTGCCAGTGTGGGCTCGTGACTTTTCCTAGTCATGAGAGAACTCGTGCCTCTATCACCTGGACTTTTTAAATAGCTGGAAAATACGGTTGGATACCTACCCGTATCCTCATTGCACACAAGCTCATGATGACCGCACAAGCATCAGAGAAATATGGCATCATTAGCTCTCCTTCGTCAATAACCCGTATGTCCGAGGACAACGATGAATTTCTTGCAAGTACTCTTCCAATTTTTCTTCTTCAGCCTCAATCAGTGTTAAAATCGTTAATGAGTAACAGGTCACCTTCGAAGATAATGACACACGAGATCCTATGAACTTCTCATACAAAAAAAAATGGACGATCACATTGGTGGCGTGTGCTTTCACCGGGATAGTCGGTAATCCAATCTACATCATAGAGCGATCAGAGAATTGACAGAATCTTATGTCTCTAGCTGCAGCGGCGTCCTCTTTTTCTATGGGCTACCAGTCGATGATGCAGGACCTGAACTGCACTCAGTTTCAGGCCACCGTTGGATTGAGCATGTGGTCAATCGGATTTGGCACGGTTCCTCTCATCACTTCGTCCTTCACAGAAGAATTCGGTCGCCTGAATATATATATTGTCTCGTCATTTGGATTCCTGCTTACGGAAATTATGATTGCCCTGTAAGTTCATTCATTTTTTACGGACGTGACGCTGATTGATAGACTAACTATTGTAGCTCACCAAACATACAGACCGTCATGCTTGGACGTCTTCTCGGGGGCGCATTCGGCTCAACAGGTTCAACCTTGGTGGGTGGTTCGGTCGCCGACGTATGGAAGCCACATGAGTTGAGCAATTTGAGATTTTTACCTGTTTGATCGCTACAGCTATCTTCACAGGCGTGGACGACCCATGGCGTTTTTCGCTCTTGTTGCCGTGGCTGGAACGGGCCTTGGGCCCGTAATTGCCGGTGTAATAGAGGCAAGTCCTCGCCTTGGCTGGAGGTGGATTCAGTGGATTCATGCTATGTTAGTCCCTTGAAACACATCACGCATATTGCATTGACTGGAGTTTCCTACAGCTTTACAGGGGCTTATTTCATTTTGGTTGTGTTGCTCATGGAAGAAACGCGCGCTACCATAGTTTTAACTCGCCTGGCAAGGAAGAAGCGAAAAGAGACAGGAGATTATAGATACCAAGCGAAAGCAGAGATTGAAAAACAAAGCTTGATAACTTTGATCAAGATTTCGTGCACACGACCGATATGTCAGCAAATTTTACCGATGATCTACACGGATCAGCTGACATTTTTCTCTTTTCAGATCTCTTATTGACGGAGCCTGTCGTCCAGAGTTTCAGCGTAGGATCTGCGGCTGCTTGTTGTAGACAGAGCTAAACAGGATAATTTCTTTCACGCAGTTGTGGATTGGCTTTACGTGGGGCGTTGTCTATACCCTTGTCGAGTACGCCGTTCCATGTTGTTGTGCTTACCATCTAACCCATGTATAGGTCTGTCTCCACTGAGTTCCAGGCGATCTACGGGTTTGACGTGCAGAACACAGGATTGATTTTCAGCACCCTCGTGTGAGTCGACGGGATCTAGAACTCGTGATGATGATTTACCATTATCCGGCTTAGATTTGGGAGCTTCATTGGATACTTTGCCAACATCTATCAGGAAAAGTTATACCAGTAAGCATGTGCTAGCTACATTGCACATCTACGGATCATGGACCTGTTCAAATTAGGAAATATTATCCTCGGAAACGTCAGGAAGCGCGTCTTTATCTCCCTTGTGTTGCAGCAACCCTCATACCAATCGGGATATTCATCTATGCTTGGACAGCAAGACCGGAAGTACATTGGATAGCGCCAGCAATCGGTCTCACTGTTTGTCCTACGCATCTCCTTCACAGATGCGAGACTGACATTTCTCAAGATATTCATGGCGGGCGGGTTTGTGATTTACATGGTGGTCTTTCTGTATCTCGCAGATTGGTGAAAACATTTTGACCTGTGCGATTGAATGAAACTTATCAATCTCATAGCTATGGGACATACGCGTCGTCAGCTATTGCAGGTCAGAGCATGTGTCGTGAGTTCGCCCTTTCCGCAATTCTCGAATGCTTCTAACACTATGAATCGCCAGGAAATTTGGCTGCATCGATCTTTCCTCTTTTCACGACACAAATGTTTGCTCGCTTGACGGATAAATGGGGTCTGACCCTGTTCGGATGCATAGGTGCTGCGCTAGTGCCCATACCATGGGTAAGATAGCACTAGCTACCTGTCAGTCCATCATTAAATGAAGGCCAGGTACTTTTCTTTTATGGGTCTAGGATTCGTGCTCGAAGCAAGGTGTCACGAAAAATTCTGGAGGAAGAAGAGTTGCAAAACAATATGGAGAAGTGACTAGACACCGCGGAGGAGCGAGAATGAAATATAATGCCATTGGTATCGAAAAATATTAGAGCAAAGCGTGCCAGCGCTTTGAAAGTAGACTATATAGATTCGCTTGTACTTGGATCTGACTGTGTAACTTGGAGATCTTGGACGGGTAGTGAGGACTGAGTTAGTGGTGCCCGCGGTACAACTGGTCCTGCACCTTCCCATCCTGGTACCGGCAAGCGCCCCTTGGCAAACTCCACCCGCTGGAAATACGTTGGTGACAGGAACCCTTCGTTTCCCTCTGTCAGGACGACGCCATTGGCGGACAAGTAGAACAGAACACCCGCATCAAGGGCTTTCTGCAGATCAACGAAAATCAAAATTTGCGAGGAGTTGCGCATCCCTATTATAGAACGTGAACCGGATAACGCAAGCAGATGAGGTGTCACCTACCGCTCATGACATTATCTCCCGGAATGCCTTGGGCAAGATGAATGTGATTTCGCTTCATTTTGGATAGGCCTTGCGTAGCTGACAGATGTGTTAGAAGGACAAACCATCTCATAGACGTAAATTTACCTATGAGCTCCCAGGCACTAAGTGTCGTGCCATGAACAGCCATTGGCACATCTAATGCAGACGTAATAGGCTGCATGTCTAGCGTGACAGTCTGCAATGGTATTTAAACCAACCATTCGTTTGACTATAAGTTATTCACCTGCAAGGAATGCCCCTGATTTGCTCTAATCCACCATATGTCAGACGGAGAGTCAGATGACCGAGGCTCTGCTAGAAGGTGAAATCGTTGCTTTTGGTCTTTGTCAACGATCTCTTGCAGCTGAGAGAAGTTGATGTCTCTGAACATAGGATTCGAGAGCTATCCGAAATGATCAATGGTACAAAACGTCAACAAGATTCATACAACTCACCACATCCGAGACTTTGGCATACCCGTCATCTCTCATGTCTAATCCTGCATTTTTTGCCCCATGTCGTAGTAGCCAGCTCAGGCTCTTGGATACACGTACCCGTGGATCATCGCGAGGGTGTCCCCTAAGCTTTGGGGATGGACCCTTCTTTCTACTCTTGTCCGCCTGTTTCAGCTCTTGTGTGATATCCATATATCGTATCCTGTGGTATGATTGTGTTCGTTGCGCCAAATTATTAACCAATAAAAGTTGTCTGTTTAGAGAGAAGACGGTTCGCATTCAAGCAGATACCAGTCCGGTAAATAAATCCCAAATGAAGTCACTGACTTGAGTCACGCGCCGCGCGTGCCTGCACGCCAAGGTCTACACGTTAGGCGCCTGCACTCAAACCCCGTGCCAACGAAATGGTGATTTCAGTTTTAGCAACTTGATGTAACCGCATGGAGACGGCTTTCGTGAAGAGACCAATGTCTGCAAGCAACCCTCGCCCATCGTCGTATCTGGCCGGCCTAAAATCCTATATTTCCAAACAGAACCTTCGCACAGTTATATCTGCTCGTCGAGCGCCCAGACCAGAAGAGAGTGGTTATGTTGATGGGCGGGCGACGACGCTGAGTTGGAGTCAGTGGGCGGGTCAGAAAATCAGACGGGGTGGACCAGATGTAATAACCACGGACGAAGTGACTCTATTTCCTGGCTGGGCATCTTTGTGTCTTGCGAGTGAACATGAAGATGAAAGTAAGCAACTCTCTTGCTGTGCATGCTTCACTCGGTTCAAAGGCTTACTTTTTGTAGATGCATTTGACTTACTTGTTTATGTCTCGGGTTATGCGACGACACGCAGGCCGCCAGAGTGTCTTACCCGCTCTCAGCGTGCGTTTCTAAGACTGGCTAGAGGTAAGCTCATTCGAAATTATGTTATATCGTTAAACTGAGGTCATGATCAGGTTATGCATCTCTACCCAAACTACCGGGTCAACAGTCGCCCCTCAAAGGATCATCTATGATAGAAATCGATGGCATCAGGTTACCTCCCCGTCCAGGCGACATAGCAGATGACTTCGAGATGGAACTAGACAAAGAATTCGAACACATGAGGGACTTACAAAAGGCTCAACTTACCGAAGAAACCTATGAGTCCGAGTCTGACCCTCAATCGACACCACGTCCAAGTTGTGAAACATCAGCGTCGTTTGTGAGCGCTCCACTGCAAAAACAGCACACAAACCTCGAGGCACGTCTGCGACCATTTTGGTCATCCGTATTATCATCCCGCACAATCCAAATATCCATTTTTGCTGTACCTACTATCTCAGGCGACATCGATTCGAAACGTGACGCTCTCGAGGATGGTCCGCTCTACACTGAACACCTAGTCACTGGACCAGACGGCGCCTTTGCAAACCCCTTCAAGATTCCCTGGCAAGAATTATGCAGGCATCCTATAGCACAGCACAGACTATCCGATAGATCGGACATAAAACATGAGCTGCTCATTTCTGCAAAGCTGTTACCCGAGCCCGCGCCCACACCCGCATACCTGTTCCACACAGACGTTCCAAGGAACATTTCGGTGGTCGTTCCAATCACATCTTCACCTATCCGTGTAATAACAGACATAGACGATACAGTCAAGCTCTCAAATATCACGAGCGGCGCTCGTGCCGTCTTCCGCAATGTTTTTGTCAAGGACCTCGAGGAGACGACTATTCCAGAGATGGGGACATGGTACCAGTCAATGTGGGAACGAGGCGTTTGCTTCCATTACGTCGTGAGTGCCATGCCACATTTTATAGTATACTCATGTTCATGTTCATAATCCCCGCAGTCTAATTCTCCATTTGAACTGCTCCCAGTCATCAAAGAATTTTTGCAGATATCCGACCTCCCGCGGGGATCTATTGCCCTTAAATCTTATAATGGTAGATCCTTCTTCAATGCCCTTCTTTCTGATCCTGCCACCCGCAAGCGTGCAAACGTGGTTGAAGTTCTTGATGGTTTTCCTGACTCGAAGTTCATCCTGATTGGGGATTCAGGCGAGCAAGATCTGGAACTGTATGCATCTATTGCTATGGAGCGTCCGCAGCAGATTCTGGCTGTGTACATCCGAGATGTACATGACACAGGGCTTGCAGATGCTACAGGTAGTTTGGCGAGTTTCATGTCCGTGAAGGCTTCTGGGCCAGCCAAGAACATGAGCTTGCCAGCACAAACCTTTGCTACTCGTCCACACCCCCTTCGTTCGATGTCTGACACGGACACTTTGAAAGAGTCGGGGCCATACATCGCAAAACCGGGACCGTCCGTGAAGAAGAGACCCACCTCCAAATTTACCTTGCCCCCTCAATCATTTTCCTCATTTGATAATCCCGAAAATGCAGATTCCAAAACCAAACCAAGGATGTCTGTTGATTCCATAAGCTCGGCTGGGTCGAGTTCCAGCTCTTTGTCTTTGCGCAACTTCAGACGGGCGACGGGTCAGACTACGCTACCTATGACGGAGGCGGAGAGGAAACGTCTCGAGCTGCAGAACCGCGTAAACAAAGCGAAATTAATGATGAGGCCTGACATCGTTCTGCGGGTGTTCAGGCTCCCAGAGGAGTGTATAGAGACTGAGCGACTTCTAGAGCCACTGAAAGATAAGATCCTAAGGAGGAATATGGCCTAACTGTAATTTATGCATCGAGCTTTCATGTATGGGTAATAATGATCCACGGGTATATGGATACAGTCTGTATGTAGACTACGAGGAAGTGACGAGCACCGACTTTTCTTCTGTATTTTGCTGGTTACGCGATGTCAATTGCTTGTCTAACTCAAGCATGTATCCGCTGAGCTCCTGAAGCAAGATGTGAGACACAGGTCAACCTGGGCATGGGAGTGGCTTACAGTGTTATTAGGCTCAAACTGAAGGCCGAGAGAGATGGCATCTATAGCCTCTTCTATGCGGCCCAGCGCGACGAGTGCTTTTGCTTTTCTAAAATGACCTTTCGGCCATTGTCTCCGGACGGAAATGACGGTCTCGGCGTCAACAAGTGCGCCGAGATAGTCACCAAGGTCAAGAAGAGCCGCTGAGCGGTTGGATACTACAGTCGAGAGCTCTTCTCGTAGTATTGCGGCACTTTCCCAAGCTGGTCTCTGCACGGCTATGCTCGCTGCCATATTGTACTTTGAGAGCGCTTCTCTAGTCTTCTTGAGTTTGTATAGGTTCTGTGCAAACAGTCAACCGAATATAGACAAATAAACTCGGAAGACATACATTGCCCTCATCCTTCATATTTGCCACTGCCTGCGAGAGTTTTTGCTGCACAACGGTTGGAGGAGGTGGACAGCGCAAGGTAGGGTTCGTAACAAGAATCTTCGAAACGCGATTGAGAGCAGTAAAGTCTACGTTACACTGCTTGCACTTTTCTAGCTTGTGCGTGTTGCAGAAAGCGAATGCAGTACTCGGACCTCCTACTGCTAAGTCTACAGGCTTAAAATCGGCATCGATGCGAGCCTGCATGTTTGGGTCCGGTTGTGGAGCAGGCATAACCTGCTGAGCAGGTTGCGGAGGGTGTGGGTGTGGGTGAGCATGCGAGTGTTGACCTGCTGAAGGTTGTTGAACTTGTTGAGACATTTTAAGTTGTGTGCTCGGCGGAAGTAACGATCTATAGAGCTACGTTGACTTGGTGAGTAGCAGTGCATGAGAATAATTAACCATTCATGGTGTTCTATTAGTCAGCATCTGGGAGCTCCGGAATTTTTTATCAAAATTGTGGTTGCTCAGCTTTCTTTCTTCATCCACCAACATCGGTCCTTCTGTAGAACATTCAACGACAGAAAAAAGAACGGTCAAGTTCATCATTTCGACTTAATATGACCAATGGAATTGTAAACGGCAACGAAAGTCTAGAGACTCAGTTTGGTATGCGCTCACTCATATTATCTTTGTCCCCTTCTCATCAAACTAATATCTTTAATTCAGCTTCTCTCGGCATAAATGGAACGAAATCTGCATACGTTCCACCTCACATGAGAAATGCGCAGCGCGCTACACCACCCCCGCAACAGCCAAACGGGTACGTAATTTTCTTTCGATTTCGCATCCTGTGTCAATCAAGCGCTCGTACCCAGGACCGGCTGGAACGAGCCCCAAGCTTCTCCTCGCCGTGCATTTGAACCCCTCCGAGGTGGTCCTCCCGACAAAGGTAGCAAAGATGTCGCTCTTGCATTCAGCAGTCCTACCCGTGGAGGTAGCAGTGCAAGTGATTGGGCAGGTCGCCCAACTAGCAACGGATGGACTGCCAGAGAACCCCGTGGAGATAGCCAACAGCGTGATTCTGCCGGATTCGGTGCCTGGCGCAATGGTGTTCATGTCGTGGGCCCTCGCAATCCTCGCATGGAGAAGGAGCTTTTCGGAGATCCGACTGATCCATCCAAGCAACACACCGGCATCAATTTCGAGAAGTATGATGACATTCCTGTCGAGGCTACAGGCGCTGGAGTCCCAGACCCCGTTACAGCTTTCACGAACCCCCCACTAGACCCTGTTCTCTTGGAGAACATCGCATTCGCTCGTTACACCACTCCGACTCCCGTTCAAAAGTACTCCATCCCTATTGTCGCTGGTAACAGAGATTTAATGGCCTGTGCTCAGGTGTGTATTTTTCTTTGGGTAATTTGTAGCCGCTGACGTCGCACTCTAGACTGGTTCAGGCAAGACAGGAGGCTTCCTATTTCCTATTTTTTCCGCCTCTTTCGCTTCTGGACCTCGTGCCCCACCACCTGAGACCCCATCAATGGGGTACTCACGCTCACGTAAAGCCTACCCTACTGCCCTTATTCTTGCTCCCACCCGCGAGCTTGTCAGTCAAATTCACGAAGAAGCACGCAAATTTGCATACCGCTCATGGGTTCGCCCGGCAGTGGTGTATGGTGGTGCCGACATTAATCAGCAGCTGCGTCTGATCGAGCGTGGCTGTGATCTTCTTAGTGCTACTCCTGGACGGCTTGTCGACCTCATTGAGCGTGGTCGGATCAGTTTAGCAAACATTCGCTACCTTGTCCTTGATGAGGCTGATCGCATGCTTGATATGGGTTTCGAGCCTCAGATTCGTAGGATCGTCCAAGGCGAGGACATGCCTGGCGTAGAAGATCGCCAGACACTTATGTTTAGTGCCACATTCCCACGTGATATCCAAATGCTCGCACGAGACTTCCTGAAGGACTACATATTCCTTTCTGTCGGCCGTGTCGGTTCAACCTCTGAGAACATCACCCAAAAGATCGAGTACGTGGAGGACAATGACAAGCGTTCCGTTTTGCTTGATCTCCTCGCGTCTGATCCTCCTGGCGGGTTGACCCTCGTCTTCGTGGAGACCAAGCGCATGGCCGACATGTTGTCTGATTTCCTCATGTCAAATCGCCTCCCTGCCACGTCTATTCATGGTGATCGCTCCCAGCGTGAGCGTGAGATGGCTTTGCAGACCTTCCGCACCGGACGTACTCCAATTTTAGTAGCTACTGCTGTCGCAGCCCGTGGTCTTGATATTCCTAACGTCACCCATGTGATCAACTACGACCTACCTTCGGACATTGATGACTACGTCCACCGCATTGGTCGTACTGGTCGTGCCGGAAACACCGGTGTCTCCACTGCATTCTTCAATCGCGGAAACAAAAACATTGTCCGCGATCTTCTCGAACTTCTCCGTGAGGCTAATCAGGAGATTCCTTCGTGGTTGGAGAGTGTCGTACATGAGACGACCTTTGGATCAAGTTTCCGTGGCGGTCGTGGCCGAGGTGGAGGTGGAAGTGGAAGTGGAGGTGGAGGTGGCAGTGCTGGAACTCGTGGTCGTGGTGGCAACCGCGATTACAGACAGTCTGGCTATGGCGGTGCCGGCAACTATGGTGGAAGCTTCGGACGTGGTAACATGAGCTACGGCAATGCCCCTTCATATGGCGGCGGTGGAGGTTATGGTTCCGGCGGAGGTTATAATAGTAATGGAGCAAGCGGTGGTGGATCCGGCTGGTGGTAAATATACTGTCGCCACGCCCAGAATCCACTCGCCTTCCACTCAAGTGTATCAAGTTCTTCTCGGCCTGCAACTTCCATCGGATTTCCTCGATTCGCCTCGATTTCACACTCATGAAAATGTCCCTGGTAACAACAAACTCCTTGCCCTATGCACTCAAACATCCATCTCGCTGTGTGTTTCGCTCTCTTTTCCTCTCTCACGCACGGACTCCTTGCGCTGCTCTTTCAACCTGGTTTGTCTCGTTGCTCCTGCTCATCATGAAGACTATACGGCCTATCTTACATTCGTCGTCTGTGTTTCTATTGTCTCGGTGCGGTATGTCTACTCCTAATTCTTTCCCCCAAAGCGCCACCCCCCTCTCCGCATTATAGATAGACGTTAAACGGCGGGCCGTAGACATGAGCAGCATACATCATTTGTCAGTCGTCGTTTCGCGATATCCACTCATTTATTGGCATTGCGACGCGCGGTCGGACATTATTTGATATCCTCACGAGACAATTTTTACTGTTAGAGCATCGCATATCCTGTACCGTAGTCTTTCCTGTCTTATTTTATCAATTCCTAGATGCCTTCCCATTGCAGGCTGTTTTACTCTCAAGCTCTGGTGAGACTCCGGAGGGTGCGAAAATGGATCGGCTGTCGTGGACACCGACCTGTAGCAGTTGGTCTCCACGTCATCACAAGGGCCAGCGCCGGAAGCCGTACGTATTTGAGACGTTCCCTCCTTCGCTCTTTTTGCTTTAGACGCTACAGTTTTCCAGCTTCTTCCAATTATCTTTTTTCATTGAAATTCTGCCACAAAATGTATCGAGGATCGTCTCCCGCATCCGATGAGCCGGAATTTCAGCCGTTGAGGAGGCTTAAACCGTTACCCAAACGTAGACGTACCTCAGACGCGCCCATTCCAGCAGCAGACGTCACCCATCCCATGGCCGACATTCTCGACACAGAATCTCTCGCAGAAAAACTCCTTGCTCATGCTGACTCCTTTTCTCTGCAGTCTTACTACGCCTCTGTGTTCGGTGGTATCCGTAATGGAGACACCCTTGATCTGAGCGCGGCGTATCAACTCGGGAAAATGGGAAGGTCGGAGGAGGACCAGAGTGAGGGTGACTATACAGATCATCTGCAGCAGCCTGGGAATACGAAGAAGAGGAAGGTGCCAGCTAACATGTCAGGCGCGGCGCAAGGGCGGGAGGCAGAGCCACAGTTGGGTGCAGAGGATGAGATTTTGGACAACTTGGCTCTATTGAATGGTCGGGCTAACAACGGCCTTGACCTTTCTGCCCTGCCACCATCGGTGACCCCCACCCACAGGAAGGGTAAGATCACCCCATCAACGCTGGCAGGTCTCCAGCACAAGGAGCTACTCAAGCATCGAAAGCGCCAGCTTGCAGCCGTCCTGGGAGCCCTTTCCCTTGGCGATACACTTGCCCTTGATCAAGCATTATCGACACACTTGCCCTTTGCGGGTTCGATGATCAGATCTGGTTCTAATCCGCCCAAAGTACGGCTCTCGCGTCGACTTGGTCCGCGTCTTGCTCGCGCGGCAAAAGCTCATGCAAGTACAGCCTCATTGCCCCCTCAGAAGAAGCCTTCATTTCCAAGCGCTCAATTCGCGTTCACGTTTTCCAGTGCAAGTGAGTCGCAGTCCAGTTATCAAAGTGATGTCAGAACCTGATCAGAACTGGTTTAATTTCAGCATCTGATCGCCTCGTTGCGACAAAACAGGAGGTGCTCGCACTTAGAAATCGGTTCGAAAATGAACTCGCACGTCAAGCGGCTAAAGTTACCAAAGCAGCTACTGATGCTAAACAAGCAGCACTTACGGCAAGCAAAGGAGCTAAGTCAAAGCGGGGAGAGAAAACGCAGCAGCGGGCACCTAAAGGCACAGCTGAAAGTGGGGATCAGTCAGCGGAGTTTCTGGAAATGCCAGGGGGAAAAGGCAAGGGAAGCAAAAAGAAAAAGCGAAATGCACTTGCTATTGCATCAAATCCGCATCACCGCAAAAATTACGTTCCTTCCAGGCTTCCTTCATCTGGGCAGGCTAATATGGTTCAGGCGAATGTCAATGCCCAGAACATGCTTGGGCCACTTCCACTTCGCTTCCTCTCGGCACAAATACCGCCTCGCAGACGCAAGAAGGCAAACACGGTTACTCCCACTGCGCAAATAGTCAATCCTGCAGATGAATGGATCTGCCCACGTTGCGAATATTCCCTTTTCTATGGAGAGGGGTTAGAGCACCGTCAAGCGGTGAAGAACCGAAAACAGATCCTTCGTAGAAGAAGACGTGCGCAGGAGCGTGCTGCAGGCGGACTGAACGCCTCCAAGACACCTGCAAATTTAGCATCATCTGATGAAGAAGACGATTACGACAACGATTATGAGCCATCTCCTGCGCAATCCCCCGTCATCGTGAAGGAGTCTAATTGGAAAGAAGGCCCGGATATTGGCAGGTCTAGAGGGCAGGATTTCATACAAACTGGATAGCGTATTTACTGATCCACTTCCGCTCTTTCCGTCTCATTTTGCATACGCCATCGCTAGTCATGGAAGGCATCGCATTACTTACTGACATGTTATCACAAGCCGCATCTTTATCTAATGGACGGACATTTGGAATTTATTGGTAGTCGCGTTGGCAAATATGAGGCAATTTCAATGGATTACCTATAGGGAGAACCATGACTGTGATTTGGCAGGCCGGTGACAAGACGGCTTCCACGGGGCAGCCGCGTGCAGTGAGGCGTCCTGATGGAAGTCTCGCCGATCGGTGTAAGCGTCACCGTTTAAAGCATGAAGCTGAGAGTATGTTTCAAATGCAACTTTTTCTCCTACTTCCACTGTCTGCTTAGCATTTGCTATCTTCTTATATCGCACTCGTTCTGGGACTCAGTTTGCTGGCCTTGAAGGTCACCGCTCACCGGTGAGTACTACTCAGTGTTAACACAGGTTACCGCGGCACTTTTTCGCGAGATTGATCATCACGTTTGTTCACGTAAACTAGATCCATCACATCTTGACGAACAAGCTTTGTCCACAAACTTCAGGCGAAACGTGGGTTTCTGATCAAAACTTGTGAGGCCATTTTCGACCTGTCCGTGATTGAGCAACGAATGCGGACAGCCATGTGTCGCTTCACGCGATGATCATTGTCCGACTCTGTGTCCTAAATGACATCTTGCTGTCGCTCCTTCTTGTTTATTTGGCGCGGCACCGCGATTTCGCTCACCCCACTGCATTCATCCAACTTGTCATTGATTGACTTCTGACGATCTATCTTTCATTTCGGGGATATAGCCTCGAGGCTCCTAACACGCGCTACGCACTTTAATCGCAACAGCGTCGAAGAATTACCTCTTTCACGTTCTCTTCTGCAAGTGCCCAGCTTTAAAAACATCGGCGATTCCTCCTCCCTTCCAACAACTCTTGGAATGTCCGCAGATCATCAACGATATATTTATTCTAATCCTCAAGGAGGATCGACAACCTCTTATGAGTATCAAACATATCCTACACAAGCTTACGTGTCGGCACCACCTCCTCAGGCTCCTCCCCGGCCGATACGTTCTCCCATCACTCAGTTTCATTCGCAACACCACCAAACAACTTTTGCGGCATCGTCTTCATATACACAACAAGCGCCCTATGCGCCTGCTCCATCATACTCTCTTCCTCAGTCGCAGCCTCAATGGCAGCCTGAAACCTGGTCCCCTCAATTTGGGACCTTTCAACCTACATCCATCACGGCAGATGTGACGTATACCCCAAATGCAGCCCGCCCGGAGCCAGTCTCTCAGACCACCCATGCAGAGGCACGATCGTATGCCGCTGGTCCATCCAATCCACCACTTGTTGAGAATCGCCGCCCAGAGGAACGCTATCCCCCTGCCCCTGGGTCGGCTCATGCATCGCCTATTCAAAAGAGCAAGAGGCGGGACAAGGAGTCACCAGTCCTGGCTCCAAGTCCAATTATCAATCCTAGTTTGGATTTTGGGAAGGTACGTCCTACAGTCATTCCTCTGCGGTCAATATCTGACTTGTTAGCAGATGGTAGAGTCCTACGGTATGATACTCGAGGGTACCAAATCCCTGGCGTCCGCGGGAGTTCCTGCGCGGCTCCCACCGCCTGAAACCATGGAACGTATGATCCAGTCCGCGAACTACGGAAGACAAATGTTACAATCAGCAGTTGCGCAGTCAAACCCTGACACGAGGCCATCTACTGGCGGTAGCGACAAGGAAACTCCGGCTATAAAGCGGCAGGTGAATCGTCTGCCATGGGGAATATACTAAAATGTTGATGCTTCCTTTTCTGTACTCAGAAGGCCGAGGAACATGCTCAGGAAGGACAAACTTGCCTTGGTTGCAACGCAACCTCGACCCCTGAGTGGAGGCGTGGCCCCCTAGGTTAGCGCGGTTTCATTTGTAAGCCACATGCTTCGAGCTTATATTGGTTTAGGCCCTCGAACCTTGTGCAACGCATGTGGCCTCGTGTATGCTAAACTTGTACGTCAGCATAAACCCTCTGATTCTTGTTATCATGTTTTATTTCAGCTGAAAAAACGGGCACGAGGGGAACGGTCCCGCGGGGGCAATAGCAAAGATCCAGGATCTCACAACACCATGGAGGACTCTGTTATTGCGTCCAGTGGTGGAAGTGATGACGACGATTCTTATGGGTCACAAGACCGCGACCTAGGTGATCATATACGGAGAGTGTGAAGTTGGGGCCCGTGATGCTCTAATCTGTCCAGCCTGCTTCTCACCCGTCTTCCTTACTATTTTTATCAACGGCTGGACCTTTCAATGACATTACAATAGTTTTTTCCGGGTTCGAGGGGCTCCTCAGTACGCGTCAGGGTTGGTATTGGCTCCACTTTGCAGTGTCTTTTATGGTGATAAGGTTACAGATTCGTCAATCTCATTTCTCAGCGTACCTCTTAGTAATTCGCATCACGGCGTTTAGTTAGGTTAATCGGTCGAAGCGAAGGAAGTAAGAATCTGTCGTTCGACATCACAGTTTTTGGTCCACGTTTTGTGCACCTATCGGTGCCTCTTTCAACAGACAAATGAATTTTAGAAGGCTCCGCTGCTTCACTTGACTGCGAGTTGTGCATCTTAGATATTTTATTAGCTGGACTCTCATTGGAATTCCAGCGGTGATCACATACCGGAAATACATCACCAGTAGCGCTTCACTGGCACCTATTGGCACCTCCTACTGCCTCCCAGATAGTAGAGACGATATGACAAAGTTTTTGTGGCAGACTTCCAGCACTGTAAGGAATCAATTGACCGACCGATGACCATCGATCAAGGCCGCGACCCTTTGTTGGCTCATCAGAGTCATCACACGTAGTAAGACATTCAGATAGCTTGCTTGATCAACCTACTTTCATGCACAAAAAAAGAAAGGAAAAAAAACACCATTTTCTCATACATTCCCATATTTTATTTTGTCATCATATGGTCCGTCAGGACAACAGATTAATGCTGTTTGTTTCTAACAAGTACTTTTGCCTACTACTACTAGCTCGTACATCACGTGCATCACACTTTGTCTGGCACAAATCTTGATGCCCCATGAACTCGAATGAATGCCATCTGACAAGCAGTCAATGAGAGAGTTGTCAGGCCGTGATAAGAGTTTCTGTAACGCTCCCAGCATCCAGCGGCTCTGGAGCTTTATGCACAGGTTGTATTTTGTGCCCTCCAAATGCCGAGCGGACTACGAAATCGGTCAATGTGGGGTGCACGAACTGGTGGCAACATGCCGTCAGTGGTGCTTAGTGGGGAACAGAAGAATTAATATTCTGTACTTACTTATCATGGGTGCCTCGTGCATAAATGAAGAAAACGTGGCCATAGTATGGTACAGCCGATACTCACATGACATCACTAAACTGACGCGCTGGGTCAAAATTACCTCGTTGGCCTGGAAGTCCTTAATATGATGACGACCTTCGCGGGCGATAACACTGCTTGCTTGCTGGACGTATAATGATCATGCAGGGTTGCACCAAAAGTTTTTTTAGATACGCGGGCTGTTTTCTCTCATGTCAGTGAGGATTATTCGCTCCACTATTCGCCGTCGTGACATACCTTCGCTATGATTGCTGTCCACGCGTTAATCCTCGAGCGTGATATATTCGCTGCCGCCTGGGCGCAGAAGGTTGTGCTGGAAAATTTAATAACATGAATATGATAAATGCACAGGGGGGCTGCAACGGAAAATATCAGCAACCAGTGAATATCATAATCAGAACAGTGATCGTTAATGCATGCGACCTGAGGATGGTTTCGAGCATTAAACAGCTACTGACAGCGATGCGTGCACGGTGACAGTCAGTGACTGCCATCAACGGGCTACTCCTCGGTGTTTCATTATTCTCGTAATGCGGTGGTACTGTCCATTGGACTGGCCAGGGTGTCGGATCCGCAGTATTAGACGGCGCAGCTATGCCCCGTGAGTCTGTTTCACTCGAGAGGTACACGTAGCATGTTGGATGATGATGCCGCGATAACAGGCATCATATCGAGGGACAAGTTCAGATGTCCCAGAGGACGCACCGTTGAGCGGGGCATCGCGGAGTTTGTCGAGTCCCCTGAGGACTCGACGGATCAGTCGGGTTGTCCAAGGATGCTTCCATTGGAGTTCAGCATAAGGGCTACGCCAAATTCGTGAGTGATAGCCATTATGATCATCACCCTTTTCTCGGATGCATCTTGGCGTCCCTCAGACCCCACATGCGGGTAACCGCAAGCCAGCATCCAGAAGGAGGACAGTGGTGAAAGGGATTAACGACAGGCTGGAATAATGCGACTGAGAATTTAGTAACAGCATGCGAAACCTGATCAAAGAGCATGCTCCATACCGGTTTGCGGGGAACGCAGTGCATACATTCGGCCGAGTCCGGTGGCATAATCTGTTCGGCGAATAATTAGAGAACATTGATGAAGTATTGTACGAGTGCCAGCCTTCTGATCCAGTCGAGGATAGCCCACGATTTCCCTCGATTCAAACTCTTCAAATACTTGCACTGTCTCAGGGAGCAATACCTTTCAGACACAGTACCAGTGTCAACAGAGGAGGGAGTAGAAAAGAGCCCATCCATTAATAAGTTTATCTTTTCAACTTTTGGGGTCCTATACGTGAGCAGCCCCAGGTCCCGATACCCCCCGCACGATATGGCACCGCCTCGTGGAGTTATTAGTATGTAGCTCCCGATTTCAAACCTCCTCCGGATCTGGTCGACGGGGACCGTTACCCAGTGAAGACGATGAGAAAATTCCCCGACAGCATCGATGAGATCGACGAGAATGAGCGGTCATCGACCTGTATACAATCGAAAACTCATGACGAGAATGTGTCCAAATAGGGTCTACGGTCTCAAAGGATTCCACTCTGAGGCAAAAAAGATCGATTAACGCTATAAGGTCAAGGCGATGTGAGATCACAACTCACATGCACGAATTAAGCCGGGTATCGAGATACCACCAGGTGATTGCCGAGGAGGCAATGCGAATTACAGTTGGGCGTTCTCTAGATGCTGAATCCTGTGCGAGGAAAAAGGAAATCTGAAACAAAGCAATCGCGTGTGAGTACGAGAAGTACGGCTCGCAATGATTTAAATTAAGTATTGTTGGTAAATAAACCTGAGCAGCCGCAAATTGAATATCATTTACGTACTTATCCACTGCCACTTTCATTAAGAAAAGGATAAAGAATGTTTGAGTAAATGAATATGAATATGTAAAACTTACCGGCAGAGAAGCCGTGTTAATTACACAACTAGGGCCGTGACCCTTGTGTGAGTGAGGGTCTGGCACCATACGTACGATATTGACGTGCTTGTCTCCCAGCTGATACAATTGGGTTGGCTGAAGGATAAGTTCAGAAAAATACATGTTTCGCATACCGCATTCTTTGTCGTGGATTCATTCAAGGTACAAGGACCTTGCATAATTGCGAGATGTCCTTTGTATTTTGCTAACTGTTATAGACTAATTAGTCTAGTCGAAGCATGGTGTTAACAAGGATGCATGCTGGGGTTCAAAACAAAGGCGTGTCAAACCCTGGGCCTTAACGTTCAATCGGCTTGCGGAAGGCGGTATCCCAGACCAGCGTTCGGAACTATGCGTGACGGATGTGTATATCACATATTACAAATTTAAATTAGCACTCACTGTTGACAACCAATCACAGACCGTGCCCAACGTTCTTCTTGTGCATCATTTGCTTCACTCACCCCTAGTAAGAAGCACACGCCTACTCAACTCTTTGCATGCATCACAAAGAACGCATCGAAAATAAAAGGACCTAGAAGTTGGTATGGCTGGATAAAGGGTTTTGTTGGTTATGCGCTAAGGAGCCAGCGGCTGCCGCCGAATTCCAGGCTCCGTTGGCAAGAGACGTACCATGACTGGATCCGAACTATGCACGAATGTGAAATTCGCCTCATCGGCAGTCATCGCCGATTGCAGCGGACTCTTGTCGCCGAGCCGTAGCACCCAGTAAGACAACGTCCAGTGAGTACTTCTGGCATGACAGAAAAGAGCAGTCCTGCCTAAAAAAAAGCTCGTGCACTTAATATCTAATTGTCACAAAAACCCAATCAGAATTTTTTTTCACGACTACTTATACTTCTTCGATTCTGTTATCTTCGTCGTCGTCGTCATCATCATCTTGGTCCTCCAACACGTACCACATCGCACCCATCGACCGTTTCTACGCTTTCGTCGCCTTTCAAAAGCTGGACGAGGCGCTCAATGTGCTCAGATACCTGAATAGTCTGTGAGAAACTTTGATCAAAGGGCTAAGTGTAAGCAGAAACAGACCTTGTCGACGGTCTCTTCCATGTGTGCCCCTCTGACAATCTCATACACTCCATGATCCCTGAGGTAGTCTCGGCCCCATCGTGTGGTGCATAGAAGCAGTAGTGTTTCAACATGCGTCAAGCGCAAGACAGGATCTGGATCTCGCTTCTTCGTGGATGGAAGGAACTGAAGTGCAGATGGCAATTTTTCTTGGTCCTGGAAGGCACGACATCAGCAGGTTTGGGCTGTCTACCACTGCGATCGTACTTCTAGATCAAGTTCCTCTGGGCCGGCTAGCGGTAGCAAAATGTAGGGCAGTGCATCGATACCCGGGGCAGACAATGTCGACGGAGGAACGACAACAGTTTTAGTGTCAGGAGATAATATTGCTCGGTGAACTTGTGAAGAAAAAACACAGTTCCTGTGATCGAGGCATTAGATACGCTCAATGTCAAAGCAGGGAAAATGTCCTACTTCAATGTCGAGGCCACACCACCACGTCGTATTGTGTCTTGATGTTCAGTGAAAGCGACTATTTTAGCGAGAGGATACTCATTAGTACTATTGGGGTTCAAAGGATCTGTTGGTCGTGAAGTGATGAAAAACGTGCGACCAGCCGGAGACTAGTCATTATGGCTTTAGTGTCAAGATATAATTGATTCTAGAGAAACTGACTGTGCTGATATTGGCAAAGACACTGGCAAGGAAGTGCAGCTCTCCCTTCCGTTTTCTGGAAGCTCTATCTCCGGAAGGATCCATCAATGCACCTTCTACGAATGCATCAATAAGGAGCGGTAAGGCGAGGATATCCTGTGGTTCTCCTGGTGGATAAGGCACTGGCGCAAAACAGGTTCCAGAACGGGCCAGAGTTGGGAAAAAAGAACTCGATGAAGATGGTGTTTTTAATATGGGTACATTTAAGGCTAAAAGAGCTGCGCATGGTGAAGATGAGGCAGTTAGATTGGAAAGCAGCATGGATGCCAGATCCGCAAGTATGGAATCTGCGTTCTACGAAGCGGTAAGACATTGCGAAACAAACATGACGTAGAGTACAAACCAAGATATATGATACCAAGAAAGTGAGAAAGGCTGGTTCCGATAAAAATGGTACTAGCAATGGTGAATCGGAGAGATTGACCAATGCACGGAAAGCATCGTGCGCGACCGCCTGTGACTATCATCGCTTGATCACAACTGAAATGGGTATACATACGAGTTGATCCCGACATAAAAGCTTAAGATCACGGATGATATCCGTTTCCTTCGGTTTCTGTAAGCCTGTTCCCCCGAGGCCATGGTAAAAAATGTTTCTATGCGGAGATCCTTCCGGTGTTTGCCCGAGCAGATTTGACAAGGCTATTTGTCGGACTTGTGGATTCTTATCCCTCAAAAATGGGATGAGCTGCAAGTAAGTCAACACTTTGATTTAGTTGTCCATGAAGACACGAACCTCCTTGAGTTGTGCCTCCATTGTACAACATCCATTATTACTATGATTCCCACGAGTGCTTAATGGATTGTGGACGATTACGTAAATGTCCTTGAACAGAAGTTTGGACTACTTAGGTTGGACCTGTCATCAGAGACGGTGCCATTGAAGCCATTAGCGAGCGCGTGAGTAGTCTGCAATGTCTTGTTACAACATTACGCGCTCGGCGGAACAATTACTAGACTTGCATGAAGACGCTGCACCATCTTTCTCAGTCCATCTCTATCCCGACCACTGGACACTCAACAACGGATCCAAATTCCTGTATAATAATCCTATCGCAGTGCGTTACTGAATTTAAGATGCAGAAATTGTGCTAACCATCAATAGTCAATACTTGATGACGTTAGAGCGCACCGTATACCGGTTGACTACCTTGAACTTTTCGACTCTGCACGCGTGCCATTCTATGATGGTGAGTAGCCGGTCATCCGTACAAGGTCCTTAATTCATGATTTTGTTAGGCTGCATGCTTGTAGAGCTACTAGACTACCGCCCAAAGAAAGCGAAGGACCCGCCTCTCGAGAAACCTGAACGGAGCCGTGTTGCTCTGCACCCGAATGATGAGACTCTCTGGGCGAATCTATGTCTCATGAATCAACGTTCAGGCAATAAGTTCACAGACACGGAAGTACTTGAACTTGAAGCACAGATACTAGTATGTTATATTCGTGACATTCTCTGCCATATCTCATCCTCGTCGTTGTAGCTACAAACAGCACCTCCCCTATGTCTTGACCCAGACCCACACTTAACCCGTATCGCGAATCATACCCTCAGAGTTTCTACGCCAAGTATACCCATTTCCTTGAAACGCAAAGCAGCTACTATTACGCCCGAGGAAGATGAGTCCGACAAGACTCGTCGGGCCAAGATCATGCAGTTCATGAACCAGAGACAAAATCGTTCTCACGCCCCAAGGTATTTCGTACTGTTCCAAAGTATCTTCTTCTTACTCACCTTCACTTAGTTATCGGATATTGGATGCAATCCGTCGCGTCAAGGAAGTTCGCATGGCGGTTGGATTGGAAACACAGCCTTATCTCAAGGCCCAATTGGCACAAGCTGCCGCTCAGGCTCAAGCACAAACTCAGACTCAACCTCAACCTCAAGTAAATGCCCAGGGCCAAAATCAAGCACAGAGCCAAAATCAAACACAAGGCCAAATACCAGTTCCTGTGCCTACGCCGCAACCCCAACCCGCTCAATTACAACCTACTCCCGTCTTAGCTGTGCCCGCACCGGCGCCAACACCAGCTCCCCAGCCAGTTGCTGACCAGAAACCCAAGCCAACAAAGAAGAAAGCCGATGCGACGCAGGCTTTTCAAATCACCCCCGAGGTGTCACGCTCTTCCGCTACTCCTGCCCCACACCCCACGGTAAACCAGCTTCAATCACAACCGCGGCACGCTACCTCTCCATCACCCCGTGTAAGCGCGCCTTCGCCGCTCCCATCTGTACAGTCACCTGCACAACGGTTCACACAATCACCACGCCCTTCACCATCGCAAGCGCCGCACTCCTCACCTCTCGCAGCTGGCTCACAACTCCCCCCAACAACACACCGCCCTCAGCCCGCCCCTCAATTCTTCGCAATTGCTTCACCGCAAGGTTCCCAACCCAAAGCTGCTACGCCCCAGGTGGCTTATCCATCTCAGTCGACGCCTTCCCCTGCACAAGCCGGGCAACAGGTTGGTGCAACTCAGCTGACTGCTGGGCAACATGTGATGCAGCAGCATCCTCAAGCTCAAGGTCACGCTCAAGGGCAGATGTATCAGCTTCAACAGATGCAACAGATGCAACTGCACCAACAAGCCCGATTGGCTCAGCAGGCTCAGGCGCAGGCCCAAGCTCAGGCGCAGGCGCAGGCTCAAGCTCATGCTCAGGCCCAAGCTCATGCTCAAGCCCAAGCTCATGCTCAGGCCCAAGCTCACCCCCATGCCCAGGCTCAAGTTCAAGTTCACCACGCACAACCTCATCAGGCCCACCAGGTACAGGTGCAGGCACAGGTACAGGCTCAAAACCAGCCACAAGCTCACGTGCAAGCCGGACGTATGACACCGCAGAATTCACAATCACGAAGCCCTTTGCCGGGACATCCTGCGGTTCGAAACAGCCCGATGCTCCAGAACCAAGCCAGAGGTTCACCCATGCTCCAAAATCAGGCCAGAGGCTCGCCCATGCCCAATTCTAATCCGCTCCCACCCCAACCTGCACAAGCTGCACAGCACCCGGGCATGCCACAGCAGTATAACTTTGCAACAATGCCGTACAGACCGCCTGGGCAGGACCAACAGCAGCAGCACCCAATGATGTACCAGATGTATCCATATATGAGCTATCCCATGCCTGGAGGACGATTGCAGCCGAACTATCCTCCATGGGGTGTTGGACGGGGAATGCCAAATCAGGCCCAGGTGAATGGGCAAGCAGCAGCAGGGATGCAGCAGCAGATGCAGATGCAAATGCAAATGGCAAAGCCTACACAGGGAGCAGGACGGTAGTATGATACTTGTATTGTTATTTGTGTTTCTAACAGTGTACTACTGCGGTGTTGTGTGGATTGCTTGTATGTATGGAAGGCGGACTACAGTAGGCTTATTCGCGAGTAAGATAACATCTATGATACATTTTTATTCTGATCAATGATCATCTGGATTTCGAATTCAATTACAATGCCGTGCATGCAATTGTGGACAACATGTCATACGGAAGATATTGGGGGGATTTTTCCTGTCAAAATCATGAATGAAACCGCGTGAAATTCAACATTTCCAGTGTCCTGACATCCATCATGTCATGGATAGATCTAGCCACATCCACGACTTGTGTGCACTCCCCACCATGCTACGCTAACAAAAGTGCGCCAAAACGCTGTCCATGGCGAGTGATCAACGTTGTTTCCAGAGCTGCGCCAGCACTAGTACTGTTAGTCTATTTGAAGTAGGCAACAGAGCGCGGATGACAACTGCCAGGTCGAAGTCTGAGTCTCCATCAAACACAACAGTGCTTCGTGGATCTTATAGAGAAGATGAGCCGGTTGATTTGAAGTTTCACCCGCGAGGGTTGAGGTTGACCATATTCGCGTTTGCGCATGAGTAGTTTTGGGCTTGTGCGAGTCGGGTGCATCATCATAGCGTCGAAGTGAGGCGCTGCATGCTTCACTTCGTATACAAGATATGACGAAGGGTTGGGTACGATGTCCTGAGCATCGATAGTATCAGCATGTTTACAAATGATGGACATCATCAGCACCTTTTCCGCGTTGTGAAGAGCTTCAGCATGAAGGTTTCATTCCAAATCTCCCTTACTGCGACACACAGAGGAACTCGCACGAAAAGTTCAGCCTGATCCTGCTGAATAAATTTCAACTTAAAATTTCTCGCAACTAGTCTCCTAGCCCTTTGAGTGCGCAGTGCAGTTTTTCTTCTTGAGGAGTAAAAGACCCCAAAGAGTAAGTCTTTGTTCAAGTTCATCTGAAAACTTCAAAGTACTCACTAGTGAACCATTCGAACCAAACTGCAGGTTCGTCGATCACGCTCATCATATATTGGTAAAATACGACGGCTTCGGTCACCCGATATGTGCGAAGGAACGTTGGCAATTCGCCATAGAGAGTCGAAGTCCCAGCTGAAGAACTGTTCAGTACATCATCTCCAATGTAGGGTCAACAAGTGTTTTCCTAGAGAATAAGTTAGTAGTATTGTCGTTGAGTCTATCAGCGACTTCGCTGTGCTCTTTTCACCCTCCGCTACTATCCTTTCTTCCTTGCCTTGCTCAAGTATAACTGTGATAGACTGGAGCCAAACCTTTCATCGGTCATCTCTACTGACAGTATTGCGAGAAATTGCAACAGATTCGACACCTATAATATATTCGAGTGCCTGTCTCTTTGTGGACCAAGACCACAGCTGCACGACCCTGTCGTTCGAGGTGATGATGAAGTACCTATCAGAGGATATGGTGTGTCGATTGAACGAGTGTGACCGGTGCAAAGTTCAACAGGCTGGTCTCCATACAACGAGTTTTAAGTTTTGAGTGTTTTATTGTCTAATGAGACAGAGACAAGTTGTTGGCCATCAGGTGACCACGTAACTTGCATCCGAGAGACAGTAATCTGGAGAAGGAGCTCGATGTTATCCGTGCGCCACACCGGATGGCCAGAGAGTAATCGAAGCACATCCAGGCATGCGCGTCTCAAGCGACGGTTTCATAGTCGACTTCAACATCTGCACGGTGGTTCCAGATAGGATGTTAACAATTTTTCCCTCTCCACTTGTCTTGAGGAGAGAGGTGGTGTCACGGTGAACCTGTCTATGCAAAAGAACCTAAGGTGTTGATTGTCGAGTCACGAGTGAGAGTGTCTAAAAAAGACCTTGGACCACCAGCGACAGAATGTTTAACTGATTCGAATAGCACCAAGGATTCCACGCCCAGTCCATTCAACATTGGGATGTGACCAGTGGCAGTGATTGAACGCGCTTTGTCATCGCGGCGGTGAGTAAACGTGGGACGCTCGCACGAAGAGCACTTTCAGCGCCACATAAAGAAACATTAGTTAGACTGACGACGATGCATCGATGAATGCCAGCTGGTCGCTTTGAAGATGCCAGCTATCGATTCATACTGGTAACTATCCAAGTACGCTTGGCTGCACACGTGACGCGACTGGTTTGGGTAGGATTCCAACGCGTGACGTCAGCACTTCAACAGAATATTCCACACCTCTGGCATTAATTGTAGATAATATACATCCACTTGAAGGCACATCCACAGTTCAAGTTGTACAATTAAATGCGCCAATCTCCCAACAGCATGTTTTCCAAATAATGTCAAATAAAATAACGTCCTACACACGGTATGATTACAGGGTACCCTTACAAATTTGAGGTTTATTGGGGGCAGACCCTTATCGAATTTCAAAATGACACTCGGCATCGCGGCACACCTTCCTAATACGTGAAATTCAAGTATCATTTTTGCCCACCCACTATGGTAACCTTCGTAGATAAAATAAGACGAGATCGATATTTTCTGATCGATGTTGGACAAAGTTAGTCTCCAGTTTATATACCACCATCCATCGCAATGACCCAACCTATCGGTATGATAAAACTTACATCCAACTAGATATCATCTAACAGCCCACAAAAGCTCTGTTGTCAGTCTACGACAAGACTGATCTCCTTGATCTTGCACAGGGACTTCGCAGTGCTGGAGTCCGTCTGCTCGGTTCTGGAGGGACCGCGAAGAAGATCAGGGAGGCTGGAATACCCATCGAGTGAGTGCCGCTTGCTTTCTTCACTTATCTTCATTGATCTCCGGCGTTCTAGGGATGTTGCTGACATCACCAAGGCGCCTGAGATGCTCGGAGGTAGGGTGAAGACGCTTCATCCTGCCATCCACGGTGGTACGATATTTACCTTGTATATCAAGTGCGCAACGTTTGACTGACGCACCAAAAGGTATCCTCGCGCGCTCTATCCCTGCTGATGAGCAAGACCTCAAGGCACAAAATATCTCCCCCATCTCCATCGTTGTCTGCAACCTCTACCCTTTCGCATCCACCATTTCTAAACCAAGCTGCACATTCGCAGATGCCATAGAAGAGATCGACATCGGCGGTGTCACCCTGCTTCGCGCAGCTGCCAAGAACCACGAGCGTGTCTCCGTTCTCTCGGATCCTACTGACTACCACGCGTTCTTGCAGGCGTTCCAGCAGGGACAGGGCGATGTTGGACAGGTGCTCCGCAACAGGCTTGCACTGAAGGCGTTTGAGATGACTGCAAAGTATGATGACGCGATTAGCGGGTATTTCCGCGAACAGTATGCATCGACGCCCGAGAGCGGACCAGTCCAGCGCATGGTGCTTAGATACGGTGCTAACCCTCATCAAAAACCAGCGCAGACCTTCGTGGCTGAGGGCGAATTGCCATTCAAAGGTGAGATTTGTGATTTTATCTGATGGCTGTTTTGTTGATTTTGGATGGTCTAGTCCTCAGCGGATCCCCAGGTTACATCAATCTTTTAGATGCCCTCAATTCTTACGCGCTCGTAAAGGAGCTTCAAGAGGCCTTGAACCTCCCTGCTGCTGCTTCCTTCAAACACGTCTCCCCTGCCGGTGCAGCTGTGGGTTTGGAACTTGATGAAACCGAGAAGCACGTGTACGGCGTCGAAGATCTCAAAGAGCCCCTGACGCCTTTAGCATGTGCATATGCTCGCGCTCGAGGTGTGTTATTTGATGAAATCAAACTCTGTATGTGACCAACGATCTTGTTTTAGGTGCCGACCGCATGTCATCGTTCGGAGACTTCATTGCACTCTCTGCGCCATGTGACCTTGCCACAGCGCGTATCATCTCCAGGGAAGTATCCGACGGCATCATTGCACCAGGCTACAGCCCCGAGGCGCTGGAAGTTCTCAAAAAGAAAAAGGCAGGAAAGTATTGCGTCTTAGAGGTACGTTCGCTCGATTACACAGCTCGATTACGTTTGCTAACGCTACCAAAAGATGGACCCGTCATACAAGCCCTCAGATATCGAGACACGCCAAGTATATGGCGTCAGCCTCCAGCAGCGCCGAAACGACGTCAAAATTGACGCCGGGCTATTCGAAAACCTTGTCACCAAGAACAAAGACGTATGTCCTTACTCTTTTTGTAACACACAAATCGTAACTGTTCCATAGGTCCCAACGCAAGCACTGACGGACCTCATCGTCGCGACCCTCGCGGTCAAGTACACACAGTCTAACAGTGTCTCGTACGCCAAAAACGGCGCTATCATCGGCTTGGGCGCCGGACAGCAGTCGCGCATCCACTGCACACGGCTCGCAGGATCCAAAGCGGACAACTGGTGGTTACGACATCACCCGCGCGTCCTCGCACTCCCATTCAAAAAAGGCGTCAAGCGCGCTGAGAAAGCGAACGCGATCGACCTCTTTGTGAGCGGGGAGGTACTCGAGGGCGGTGAGCGTGCCCAGTGGGAGGGGCAATTCGAGGAGGTGCCCGCGCCGCTCAGCGAGTCGGAGAAGAAGGAGTGGGCTGGGAAGTTAGATGAGGTTGCATGTTCGAGTGACGCGTTTTTCCCATTTGCGGATAACGTGCACCGGGCTAGGAAGAGTGGAGTAAGGTACCTCGCTGCGCCTAGCGGAAGTGTGATGGACGAAGAGTGTATCAAGGCCGCGGATGAGCATGAGATGGTATTCGCGCACACCTCTCTCAGGCTTTTCCACCACTAAGAATCAGGGCTTCCGTAGAAAAATGTAACAGCAGTAAAATATCCTATATTATCATTGTATCTGAGATTGAATTGTACCTCCTGCAACACCACGAACACGCAGCTCCATAAAGGACTCTGCACTAGCCAGGGGCGATCCTTCCTTCCCAGCCTTGACCAGTGGATTGCTCGAATAATAGACCCATGTGTGCATCTAGGAAAGTACTCGCGCCTGTATCCCGGAGCAAACTTTCCATCGCCAAAAATCGCATCGGCCTTTGTTTGAGCTTCTGCACAAAATAACCTATCATGCTCGCATGAGTTGATCAGGAGAGGCGCTACTGATTTAGAAAAGTATGTCTACAAGAACGAGTTCAGCAGGACAGTGCTACGAGGATGATGTGAGTTACCTCGAGGTCGTCGGGGAGATTCAAAAGCGAGAGGTGGGAGACGACGGCACATTGGGTAATGTTGTTGAATGCGAGGTTAAGAGTGTGACGACCTGCAGTGCACATCAGGTCAAGAGGAAACAATGACTGCGTAGAAAACGATGACCCGTGGCCCCAAACTTGGTAACACCTTCCTTTGAGGGCAACGATGACCTTGTCGAGTGACGGGCGGGTGACCTTGGCGGTAGCGGCGAGCCATCCCCAGAAGTCCAATGATTTATCCTAGGAAGTGGACATGGGTCAGAGCTCGGGACTTGTTGATGGAGGCATCAGCCAAGAATAAACTGACCTACAACTTGAAGGGCCTATCAGGAATACCAAAATAGTCGATCGCGACAACCTGTATTGTAACATCAATATCGTATCCTGAACTTATACGTACTATGGTTTGTGCAAACCTTGAAGCCGTTTCTGACAAGTCATCAGCGAGGAGCTGTTGTGGGGTTTTTACCCCTTTTAGTAAATGTGGGGTAGCATGTCACCAGGATGGGGGTACCTGAGCATTGATAGACATACCGAAGGCATCCGGTAGGAGGATGACTTTGTCCTTGGCATAATCGATAGTCACGTAGCAAGTGACACCAGCAATGTGTTCCTAACGAAGCCACTGGTGAACAATGCGACGTGGCAAGTTGGAAAAGTACATACCTAAATGCTCATCATGATGTACGCCTGTTCAATGTCAGTGCTCAAAGTTAATGTAGAGGATGATATACAACGCACCTTGGATACAGTCATTGCAGAAATTCATACTTTGGGGTGATTAGCAGAGGGTTGAGAGTGATATTTCGTTATATATACAAAGTTGTCCATGCTGATAAAATCAACTGATGATGCGGGAGTGCATATTCTGAGCATTCAAACTCTGTTCTCGAACTGGGAAGTGACACCTCACATGACGAGCACCTATTTCACCTGCAAGACGCGCGTAGATGCTCTGATATTGCTGGCATGGCTAACGACGTGGCTACAACTGCGGTAAGTCGTATGACGCATTTAGTTGAGATCGGATATTGGGTTTGAATCGAACTGTACCACACAGAGACTCCATAACGTTGCAACGACCGAACCTTCTCACAGGTGCTCCCGGAAGAACTCCACAGCAGCCTTGAACGATCCCTCCTTCCCAGCTTTGATCAGCGGGTCCTTAATATCCCCACGTACAGCAAACCCATGCGTGCAACCAGGGAAATACTCGCGCTTGTATCCTGGAGCAAATTTCCCATCGCCAAAGATTTCATCAGCTTGTGTTTGTGCTTCGGCAGGGAACTTCTCATCCACTTCGCAAGAGTTTATCAGGAGAGGCGCTTTTGATTTGGTAAAGTACGCCTGGAAAGAGTGAGTTTAGAGGGAGAGGCATCACGCCCGGCAGTATGCGTTACCTCGAGGTCGTCGGGGACCTTCAAGAGTGAGGGGTGGGAGACAACGGAGCACTGAATGACGTTGTCGAATGCAAGGTCAAAAGTGTAACGACCTGACATATACTGTTAGGCAGAGAAACAAGTAGTTGCATCGGGAGACGTACCGCCGAAACAGTAACCAGTGGCCCCGAACTTGGTGACACCTCTCTCTTTGAGCACAGCAATGACCTTATCAAGAGGTGGGCGTGTCTGCTCGGTGCCATGTTTAGCGAACCACGCCTTGACGTCAAACGAGGCAGACTGTGAGTGGACATGAGATTAGAGCTTGAGATGCGAAGGAACTTGGTCAAAACCAACGTTCATGACATCAATGGGAAGACCATCGCCGTTAAAGTAGTCAACCGCGACGACCTACATTGTATTATGAAATTAGTTTCGCAGAAGTGTATACTACGTGCTTGGGTGCAAACCTTGAAGCCGTTGATTACAAAGTCATCAGCGAGGAGCTGTATCCATTTTGGTCAACATGTACCATGGTAGCACGAAGGGACATACCTTGGCATTGTTGCTCTCGATACCGAAGACATCTGGAAGGAAGAGGATAACTTTGTCCTTGGGATAGTCAACAGTGGGGGTGGCGACGTAGCAAGAAACACCATCGATAATTTCGAGCGTTCCTAGTGAAGACACTGATGAACAATGCAACGTGGCGGGTTGGAAAATTATTTACCTTGAGGTTCACCCTCATGGCGTACGCCTGCTTGCAATTAATACTCGGTAATGATTGTGAGAATATAAAACTCATCAGTGAACCCGTGAGGAAAGTAGATAGCAATAAATAACAATATATAGTACATAATTGCAAGAACTAGCATAATTTTGCTATCGACAATCACATTGTTATGTTTGACCTTATAGAGGAAAGACGCGTCCCTGATTATCGTATAAAATGTTATGAAATGCCATAACGAAAGGGAGGTTCACAACTCCGAAGCATCAAATAATTGACGTGAAAATATAAAGCTTTACAATGCTTTATCTAATTGCAAAATTTACATGATATCTGCGAGAATGATACTACCTGGAGTAAGTTAGACAGAACTACCAAAAGCGCCAGCATGACAGATTGCCTACAACAACCTGCCATTTTGTCACCAGTACCAAATTATTCTCATCCTCAGCACTCGTTTTGTGAAGCAAATTAATTTTATTTATATTTAAATACTACATATGTAGTTACAGGACAAAAAGAAAAGAGGAAAAGATAGCGGAGAGATGAATGAAAGGAGGGACCAAGGTCAGCAAGGAACCACGAAAAAAGGCCAGCAAGGAGCCACGAGGAAAGGAAAGGACCACCATGAACGGCCAGAGGAAGGAACCATGAGGGAAGGACGGACCACCACAAACGGCCAGGAAGGAACCACGAGGAAAGGAAGGGCCACGAGGAAAGGAAGGGCCACCACGAACGGCCAGGAAGGAACCATGAGGAAAGGCCAGGGAGGAACCACCACGAACGGCCAGGGAGGAACCACCACGAACGGCCAGGCAGGAACCACCACGAACGGCCAAGGAGGTACCACAGGGAAAAGGCCAGGGAGGGACCACCACAAATGGGAGGAATGAAGATGCTGAGTCGAGAGGTGGTGGTAGTAGCGGTGAAAGAAGGATTGAAAGGAACTTGCGTGTAAATTTCCGTCCTGCGCAAACAATGACAAATCAATTTCAACCACTTGCGCTGGTCACATGATTTGAGGTTGTCCGAAAATTCTAAGGTAAAATTTGAGGCTGAGGTGATAGTCACATGCATGATTTTGGATGACATTGTAATTCACGCAATATTTGAACCGATCTATATAGTTTTGTAAGTCAAAAATAAATGAGGTAATATGATGTTGCTCAACAAACGGTACCTAATTACACTATCATACCTCGCTGGTTGAAGCTCTCATAAGAATATAAATTAGGTTACAAGTGCTAACGGTTCTTTCCACGATAAAGTCTTATATCACTTGGTAGTTTAAAACATAAATGAGGGAACATGGTATGAGTCAACAAATATAACTTAACCATGCTATTGCATATTGATTGCTGCAACGGCGCAATGTTGTAATCTTGTTGCGAACTCCTCATGGTAAAATGAATTTTCAGAGATTCATGGCTATGTACCGATAACTAATATTTATTGCTGTATACATAGGTATATTCAGCCGTAGCAAAATGATATCATCTTATACTTCCCACGGCTACAAAATCAAGGACTCATGAATTCACTGATGCTGCACCTTGAATACAGTCTTTGCAGAAACTCATATTTAGGTGTGGTTAGGAGAGGTTTAAGAGTCATTGGACGATATCTTATATACAGCTCATAGGAAACCGAACACCTATGTCATTGGTGAAATTTTGAAACATGGGCCAGCCGCCTGAGCCCAAAGCAAGGCAGACAAGTTGTGATGATGATGATGCCAGAGGATGCCAGCTACAAACCTTCATGATGGTCTAGGTGCTGACTAAGCTGCGGAAAGCTGGCATGCTCACACGGCCAGCAACGTGGTATGACCGCATATGTCATGCGACAGTCTTAGTTTCGTGCTTTGCATATTGAATTTTTATTCGGATCGAATCGTACACACACAAATCTCATGATAGACAGACTGCTCACAGGTGCTCCAAGAAGAACTCCACGGCAGCCTTGAACGAGCCCTCTTTCCCAGCTTTGATCAGCGGGTCGCTCATATCCCCACGTACAGCAAACCCGTGCGTGCAACCAGGGAAATACTCGCGCTTGTATCCTGGGGCGAATTTCCCAGCACCAAAGATTTCATCGGCTTGTGTTTGTGCCTCGATAGGGAACATCTGATCAACTTCGCAGGAGTTGATCAGGAGAGGCGCTTGTGATTTGGAAAAGTACGTCTAAAATAATGGGTTCAGAGGGGAAAGCATTATGCGCGACAATATGCGTTACCTTGAGGTCCTCAGGCACCTTCAAGAGTGAGGGGTGAGAGACCACGGCGCACTGGATGACGTTGTCGAATGCAAGGTCAAAAGTGTAACGACCTGACAGTAATCATCAAATAAAGGAAGGGATAGCCGAGTGGGAAACATACCGCCGAAGCAGTAGCCAGTTGCGCCAAACTTGGTGACGCCTTCCGCTTTGAGTGTAGCGATGACCTTATCAAGGGGTGGGCGGGTCTGGTCTGCGCCGTGCTTGGAGAGCCATGCCATGAAATCATACGAAGCCTGTGAGTGGGTACGGGATCAGGGCTTGCGATGCAGAGGAAATCGGGCAGAACTAACGTTCATAGCATCAGGAGGAATTCTATCGCCGTTAAGGTAGTCGATTGCAACGACCTATATGATGATGTCATGCCCACGTCTGTGCATACTATGGGCCTTGGATGCAAACCTTAAAGCCGTTTCTTGCAAAGTCATCTGCAAGGAGCTGGTGTGGGACCCCTTATCAGTCTAAGTAAGAGGAGTGGTATACGAATGACATACCTGGTTATTGCTGAGCTCGATACCAAAAACATCTGGTAGGAAGAGGATGACTTTATCCTTGGGATAGTCAACAGTAGGGGTGGCGACGTAGCAAGCGACACCGCCGATGGTCTTGAACGTTCCTAGTGAAGGCACTGATAAGAAAGTAGGGCGTAGCAAGATAGAAAGGTTCTTACCCTGAGAGTCACCCTCGTGGCGAACGCCTGTTGGTAATCAAAATCAGCAATCAGTGATCACGATCGTGGATTGGCTATGAACGCACCTTGGATGCAGTGTTTGCACAAACTCATGTTTGAAGTTGGATGTGGTTTGAGGGCTTGAGAAATGTTCTCCTGATATCGACAGTTACTTATATATGGCTCATGATAGGAATATGATAGATGACGCACATGTCAATTGGGCTGACATATTCATATGCTTAGCAACCAATCCCAGGGACACGCAACACGACTGGCATCCTCGGTGAGCGCTCGGCAGCTGACCCAGCTGACTAGCACACGTCCGTGATATCCGTACAAATTTTCATGCTGGTATGACACAGTGGGAACGTTTTGGGAGTTCTTAGTACAAGATAATGCATAAGATTCCTGCACGCCGGACCGGCTGCTCAGTGTACCAGAAGCCAGCAAGTACTAAGAAAAGCGAACATGGAGGAGACCGGCGTCGACTGACTGACCATGACGTGCATGGCTCGGCCGCGTGACTTATATAAATTGATCGGTTACAATGAATTTCTTTTTATAGCGAACCCAACACTAACCTCCTCCCGGCCTGAGAAGCTTCTGGTCCGCAAAGTTTGTCGAGCTCGTTGTGATTCTCGGTGACGCTGAACATCAAACATTTGACAAAATCCATTCGGGTACAATGCCGCCACAGCCAGGAATGTTCGCCCTGCCATATGCATCAACCCACAAGGCGCGCACAGACGTTATTCAGCCAGACAACATGTCCATGACAATTTCTTATTCGAATATGCAGCCCCCTCAGGGTCCTAATCCTCATTATCATAATGGTCATCCAACTGCAGGTCCATCTCGCGTGCAGGGTATGTCTTTTCTTCTTGCCTTCTAAAGTAATATACGTACTGACCTGCATGCGAACAAAGACGATCCAAAACGAGAGAAAAAGAGGAAGGATATATCAGGCAAAGTAGGAAAAGAGATGCTAGACCGCAGAGACGAGTATGTTCCTCCCAACCACTTTTCTCATCTCCGCTCAACTTTATGTTAGAGGACGACACTTCACTGAAAATATATCTGCACTCCACAGCGCCTCAATGCAGCTCGCATCCCGTCCAGAGACTCATCCTCTTTATAACCTCCGCTTGTATCCTGTTTCTCTTGAGCGCTCCGCCTTGCTCGCCCAGCATGCGTTCGAAGAAAAGCATACCTTGGAATCAATACAGATTGCCTACGATGAGGAACGTGAAAGAGTTGAGGAAGAATGGCGTAAGGGCCGTGATCGTATACGAGAAAGGCTCCTCGAAGGTATAGAAGAGCGCAGACGGCGTGCAAGAGAGGAAAAGGAAGGCGAGGGAACCGTAAACGGTACGTTGCTCTCTTTCTCATCTCAATATCCTCTGATTTTCATTCACCACATCAATCAGACGCAACGTTAGACGCTCAGTCTCGGTCCCATATCACTCGGAAACTGCGAAATAAAGTCGGCACTTCTCCTCCTCCAACACCCCTCGCACTTCGAGGAGAGAACCACGTCAATGGCTCGCTTGGAAGTAACACGCCCATCACAACCGGCCCTTTCACTAACCCCCACTCCCTCTCCGTTGACGAGCTACCTTCTCCTTTCCCTTTTCCCCTCACAGCCGTGACCCTCACTAATCCGTCTTCCGGTGCCGGTGGTAGCTCCGGCAATAATGGCTCTAGGCGTCGTACCAAAGGTGCAGGGCTTCACTCAAGCATGGTCGGCGTTGGTGGCCTAGGCAAGAGCATAGCAATGCTAGGCCCCAGCAAAGAAGCAGACATAGAGGCAGATTTGATGGAAATTCGGAGGGGCAGCAAACGGCGTAGAGCAGCGGCCGTGTCTTCTGGCAAGGTTTCGTAGGCGCATGTTCTCTTTGATTTTGAAATTGTACCATATCTTATCATCGGAAGTCGGAAGTCGGAGACTTCTGTTTACCCGTAGGGCCGTAAGCGGACCGTGGGTCCCGGGTTGCCCTTTGAGTTTGATCCCGTAGTGTTTCACTTTGTGCACATGGACGAGTCTGAGATCCCCCCTCCTGCTAAACGCGTGTTTCCACCGTTGTATGTATCAACCGGTGATGCGTCCATCGACAGGCTGGCATTCTTCCACGTGCTAGAAAGATTAAAGGTACAGATGCACATCACTCCGAGATGTACGATCCCTGCACTCATGCACATTCGAGTAGACTCAAAAGCGCACAGGATGGATCGATAACAAGGAACATATTCATACCCTCCAAAGATACTGCTAAATCACTCACACCATTCAATCTTGCAGATACCAAATGCAGAGAGGTTCGTGATGCATACCCTCCCTTGGCATGGCATGACTCACTCACTCGCGATTCCGATAGTATATCAGATCACATGTATCGCATGGCTGTACTCGCCATGTGTACATCTGACAGCGCGCTTGATGTTTCAAAGTGCGTTGTTTCCATCGTAGATCAGTTGTGGTTTATGGTGATGTTTGAAGATGCGTTATGATGGCTATCGTGCATGATCTTGCTGAAGCACAAGGTAAAACTGTAGCATATGGTTTCTTGTATTGCAAGAATCAGCACTGATGATATGACAGTGGGAGACATCACACCTCGAGAAGGTATCTCGAAACAGGAGAAACAGCGCTTAGAGGCGGTTAGCCATCCATACCTTGCAGTACCCCGAGTCGTATATCTGACTCGAAAATACCTTTTACCGTATAGGAAGCGATGCATAATTTCGTGCATGATATGCTCCATGGTTCTCCAGCAGCACTACGGATTGAAGCTCTCTGGAACGTGAGTCCTGCATCGCTCGACCTGAATGAACTTTAACGTCAGGCTTTGTGCAGGAATATGAGGAGGGGGAAACGGACGAAGCGAAGTTCGTCAAAGGCCTGTCTTTGCTATTCCTCCTGCCGTGCTTTGATTTATTTTCGACGTATCTGTAGACCTTGATAGACTGGAGATGGCTCTGCAAGGTATGTAGCTGCGTCGTCATCGGGTTATGTCCGTGTTATATTCATGTACTTGCGCAGCACGCGAATACGAAATGGCGCATGCGCTGGATCTTCAGCCGTTTTTCGATTCCAGTTTGCCTCACTTGCGTCATCCGGAGGTCAAACGTTGGGGTGAGAATTTGGCACAGAGCCGTTCGCAGTCGCGCTAGCTGGAACTAGTCGATATGATCGTTGAACGCATGTTTATCTTGCCGATTACATCATTCGCGGAGCGCCTGTAACTGCATTATGCAATGAATTTGTGAAGGAATGACGTTCCTTGCGTATAATGTTTCAAGACGGAAGTTTGGACGGCAGCGTTTCTTCCTGTCTGGGATGTTTATGTGATTTTATATCGACTCGGATATCCCCCGAGCTCTCAGCTGACTCCATGTGCGTTTGTATGATTGCCTATACTTATCAGCCTAGGTTCCCGTTATGTATCTGTATCACCGCAAATGACCGCACCCAAAGTTACGAGCAAAACTTTCAGTTGACATCAGGATGCTGAAGCAAAACACAGATGAGTATGAGCTTGGTTTGTGTGGCTCTTGTATCTACTATATCGAATTCTAATCTTCATGCAGGTCATTATACTAGGGGTCCATTACCCAGCGACAGGGATGGCATAAAGAGTGAACTCGGGGCAATGCCTTGGAATGTATGATGCAATATCACAGAAAAGTATGCGGCACGCCTGCTTTGTACCAGATCCTTAGGTTCCAAGTCAATTCCAAGCTAATAGATTCATTTCTGTGCCATGGTGTATGGTTCGCAACATCATTAGTCGCTCTGCAACACATTCGATAATTACAGTGTAAATCCATACTTATCACTCGTACTATGTTTGGTCTCATCAACCGTAATTGCAGGTGGATTGTGAAAACTAGTTCACCTGAGCTATTGATCTCTTGGAAAGTGGCGTGATGATAAACGCGATCCAGGACCAGGTATGAGATCGTCGAAAGGATTCATTCATACAGTTACACTATCTCTAGCGTCCTAATGTCCATCAAGTACCTAATCAAAGCCATGTCTTTAACCTGTGCAATGATATCATGATCGGATGCAATCCTCTTGGATTCTCCGTCGCGCTGCCGCGCTAGCAACAATGCAAAAAAGGTTGTCCAAGGCGAACGATCAATCGCAATGCTCGCGAATGAGATTCCGAATAAATCGGCTCAGTTTGTGCAGGGAGTGAATCGTGCGACGGAGACTTGGGCATGGTCTCAAGTTCCACGCTGTGTGCATCGTCTGCAGAGTCATACAACTCCAGGAGATTGCGGCTCCATGGACGAACAAGCAAGATTGTCTGCCAGGCAGGCGGCGGCCTTGCGCGCGAGAACGGGATCAACTTGTCTGCCGTGGCAATCTGCAGGTCATGAAGCCCATTTGATTCGAGGTCATATGTATATGTGGGATCCTGGTCTCGACTTTGCTTTCGCATAGCATCTGTGACTAGAAATATGATGCAAGGCAAATGCAACCGACGGTACGCAAAACGGGGAGCGCTCAGGTAATCAACTGTCTGATACAATATCGAAGCCATGTCTAGAGCCACGACACCTCGCAGCGAGGAGACCAATGACTGAATCTCATCTTCAAATAGAGATGGCAGTTTGCATGGTGGAGTTTCGTATGAAGTGATGTCGGCTGGTAGACAGCTATTGAATTCCGATGGTTCTCCGACCCAGTCCGGGGCAGTAATATCGCCCGACTGAGCTATGATTTCTTGCAGGAACCGCCCGAGTGCGTTCTGCTTCTTCTCGCCATACATGACAGGTAGTGTGATACCGAAGATGCCGAATAGGGACTATGCGATGTCTTCTTGCATTGTGGTAATACGTGTCGACGCCCGCTGAAGTTTCTCTCGGGCGCATCTCATCCCGGGACGGAAGGCCACGACGGCTCGTCGATCTATGCCCGTCGCGTATTCTAACTCCTGCATGATCGCAACAGAATCCTTGTGGTTTTGAGTGCGATTGCCGAGATAAGGAGTCCAATCCTTCTGGTAAAATAAAATGACATTGGGAGCGAGGAATTCCTGAACCGTCCATCCGCGTGTGTTCCAAGTGCTCTTCGTCAACGCGCCAGATTTGGACGAAGGTGGAACACCCGAGAGGTATACGACTGTGAGCGCGGAGTGGTGATACCAGATGAACATGGAGTTGACCGATTCTTGGAGCTCAACGTTGTTACTCTTGTCAATACGGCATGTATCGCTCCATGCCCAGCGATACCCCAAATCACGAACAGTTTTGCAAAAGGACTGCAATTTCATGATGCCGCCAACCAGATCCAACTCAGACGACCTTGCCTTGGATATCCTGCAGCAGCGGCTCCTTCTCTTCCCACCTGTGCGACAGCATGGCATATTGGAAGTACGTCATCACCACTTCTTTGATGAATTTCGGTCGGAAATCTGAATGCGTGGTTGTTGATGATACAAGCTCCTTGCACTCTTTGCTTATTTTGAAGATGCGTATCTGCGTCTCTCGATCGCATAAGAGACCGGTGGTAGTGTCGAGTACACGCAGCGAGGCATCATCAAGTTGAGCATCGATGACCTTTCGAATAGCATGGACCACTTCGAATGGACTGAGATACTGCCGGCGTAACTCTGCAGAAACAGTTAAAGCATGTTGATGTATGAGTTTTCTGAGGCTTACTTCGTGTCTCAGTGTCGGGAGCATTATCTAATTTTGAGAGCATGATTCTGAAGGCCTGTATCGCTTCATCGTAGCGTTGTGCACCATGAAGGGCTGCGTGCTTCAAACTGTATCCGAGATAGGACGAAGAGTTGAGTTCGGTGACCTGTGTCACCACAATGAGTATAGTTTAAAAACGATAAATGCCATCGCACCTTCTGCGCATCGAGAAGTGCTTCTGTCCATAGCATTTTCCCCAACCTTGCTTTTCTGCGCTTTACGAAGACGGCAATCAGATGCGGAATTCGAGTTTATCGCTACCGAGTAAAGGTCGATAGCCCTGTCATAATCGCCTGCAGCGAGGGCAGTATTTCCGTTGGCAAGAAAGAAGGCATTGCATTCCTGCTTGAAAGCTGAGTGAAATGTAAGTGAGGATCATAACCTCGGGAGACATCACTGAAAAATTGCCGGTGGACCAGTCAAGGCACTTGGCCTTTGTCGTTTCGTCAATGTTGTCCATCATAGGTTTGTGTGATTCGAGAGCTTCATCGACTTTGCCTGAGGAAAGAAAAGCCTGGCACCGTTTCTGGTGTGCAGTGAGCCACAACGATTTGAGATCCCAGGCAGCTGAACAAGGGACTCAGTTATGAAAAGCGGATCAAATGTATTAGCGTACCACCACCAAATCCTCGTAAATTTCATGAATGTCCGATTTCGACGATAAAGCGCCGGAGTCGAGCAGTGAGATGGTCGGCGGCTTCGTTGTGATGTGCGCCATCCGAGGCTTTAAGTCATGTGAGTATTGCAGATATCAGTGTCGATGCAGATGACCTAGCGTAGCTGCATGATACCTACTTCCACGATATGACATGCGCGAGTGTCGGCATTCGGACAGCCGGTAGTGAGTTCTTTGAGGAGTAGGTTTGCCTCTTCATGTCGATCTGCGTTGAAGAGTGCAATGGCCTGAAATACGCGATGAAGCGGAGAGTATGAGGGAAAAATATAACATACTTTGATCAAGAGCAGGAAATAGAGGATCTCTGAATCTTGGTCCGTATACATTGATGCAACATCAAATGCTGCCCTCGCATCTGGGACAAGGCCTTTTCCGCAGAGGGCAATACCTTTGGAGATATAGCCTGTCAACGAGGGCTGAATACTGATGGACTACGTCACCGCCGAGTTAGTCTTTCATAAGGGGGCGACGGTGGATCAGTGAATCTCAATTGAATTGCGTCCTAAAAGGCGCGGTCTCAGTCGTGTCTTCGGGCTATAATGAATGAATGACGGATGTGAGAAGTGCGGTTGTTCGGATTGGTGTTGATATCCTGGGTGAGTAGTTCTTCGGCGGTAGATAAGTCTCCATTGACACATGCATTACGGGCGGTCGTGATCGCTAGGATCTGCACGAAACATGCTCGAATTGTGGTATGAGTCAAAGGCAAAAACACGCCTTTGAGTGATGGGCGTAAGGTGTACGGTTGTTCGCATCGATGTTGGTATCTTGCGTGATCAATTCTTCGTCAGTAGATAAGCCTCCATTTATGCATGCATCGCGGGCCATTGTGATGGCGATAGGCTGTAAGAAATATGCTCAATTTGTGGTATATGAGTCAGGGACGGAAACATGCCTTTGAATTGGGTACTGCCCATTCTGCGATCATCTTATCGTAATTTCCGCTGAGGATGTGATTGCCGTCCACGGAAAAAGTGATGCATACCGACGGAAATGTGGGCTGGAATATGGCAACAGTTTGTCGATCTGAAAGCCGCCAGAGACGGACGTGGTCACAAGACCCGGAGGCGATGAGTGTGCCAGCAGGATGAATGGCAATGTCATTGATATCGTTATGGTGGCCCGTCCAAGGATCATCGACCTGCTTCCAGGTTGTTGTATCCCATTCGCGTATGCCAGGATCATCACCTCCTGTGAGAAGGCATGTGCTATCGGGCATCCATGCGAGTGACAAGTTCCATGATGTGTGGCTATTGAAGCTGAAGGATGTGACGCGTTTCCTCGTGTCTGAATTGTAAATTTGAATATCGTCTTTTGTTGCGATGGCAAGATGTTCTCCAGAGGGTGAATACCGTACGCAGCGGACACAACCGCCACACTTGATATCTGGATCTCCTTGCGGCTGCCAGGTTGTTGTATTCCACAATTTCGTCGTCTTGTCATTTGAACCAGTGGCCAGCAGTGTTCCATCGGGAGAAAAATCCAGCGAGGTAATATAACTGGTCCATTGGAGTGGGCTTCAATGTTGGTGAGTGATTCTCTAGTTTGTCCGTGCTATATGATGACCTCGCCATTCAGATCACCGCTTGCTATCAATTGCCCATCTCGTGATACTGTCAATGCCTGCATCCAATCGCGATGCCCCTCCATCTTCTTCAACATAACACCTGTCTTTATGTCCCACATACAAAGAGTCTTATCCTCCGAGCCCGTAATCATCCGTCGTTTATCGGGAAAACTGCGACTGCTCTTACGTGTTTTTCATGGCCTTTGAACTCTCGCAGGGGTGTAGTGATTGAGATGAGCTCCGACATTTCACTGAAGGTGATGGTGTTGAGTACGGTCGAGATGGGTTGTGGAGGGATCGTGTGACACCTTTCTGTAAGCTGCAGAGGTGTGTATTATGTGTTTTATGGTGCTAGTCAGTGCGTTAATCTGCTTCGTTTCAATAGACGCCCAAGATACTTCAGTCTGTTCGCTTCCACGCCTCCATTACCGTTGCCTCGACCGATTTCGAGGATAAGTATGATTGATATCGCCTCTAATATGTTCCAGCAGGCCGAGCCAACACAGACTCGACCTATATCTGACGATTTGGTGATCAAGAATGACTTGGAATACGAGGAAACCAAACTTGCTCTATTTTTTGTGGACCACGAAGATACACATCAGTGAATCGATGATTCCTTGATATTGTAGCCGTGAGAACTATAGAAAGATACAATTCTGCTCCTGCTAAATAATATCATATATACTGCGAGAAATTTGACTTGTGGATGCATAGCCATGGATACCTGTAAATGCAGAGTAACACAAGCAGTCCACGACGATGCTGTGAGATTGCGCCATTGCAGGGGATGGGGGTTGATAGTTTGCTTGTGCCAATTATTTCAAGCATTGTCGTTTTGCCTTATTTATTTGTTGAATTACGTTTCTATTCAAGACATTATCGTGATAAGTAGCTTTGGCACTGCTCATCCAATGTATAATGCTATTCAAGTCCATTGCAAAGTTGTGACACGGCGCTACCGCAACACATGAGGTGTAGTAGCACACTTCTCTCAACGTCGTTTACTATTTTCTTTTTTCTTCTAAATTAAGAGGTCATCCAAGGTCATCCATGACCTTCTTGTGGGAAGTACGTTTAGCACCGGTCAGCAAATGTATATTAGTATTAGACTTGGTATCAAAATTGTGATGTGCCGCCGTCACTGCATGAAAGGGATGGCAGCACATGTATCTCAACCTTGTTGACGGTTCTTGTATCTTCTTATCTATGCTTTGAATTGAAACCCCATCCAAGACTTTGTCCTGGAATATCCCTTTGGCACTGTCTTCGTCACAAAATTGTGACAATTGCTGCAAGGCAACGAAGTTGTTGATGCTCTTCTGATTTATGTTTCACATTTAAGGCATTATTCAAGACCTTCAACCCATGCAAAGTGTCCTTTGGGACTGGTCAGCAAATGTAAATTAGCATTAAACTTGGTAACAGAATAATGGCAGGGCAGCGCTCCTCCGAGTCAGTCAACCTTGTTGAAGTTTGAGCCTCACCGGACACCCTTTCCAAGCACACGGTGACCGACTTCAAGTTAGGTGACAACAGCAAAGTTTGACTCCGAGCCTTGAATAGGGCTTGACAGCTCAGGATGAGAGAATATTAAACATGATTAGCAAAAGAAAAAAGTGGGGTGAAATGAATGTTTCGGAACGCCAACTGAACTATCAGATTTAGAAAGACAGATCATAGTCGTCTTCCTCAACCTCAACCTCGTCTACCTCCCAGTCATCCAGATAGTCATCGCCCAACTGCTCATCATCATCGCACTCGGTTGTATCCTGGTCTTCATCTTCATGATCTCCTAGGTCCTCTTCTTCATCGCCGTCTTCATCTCTATCCCTTTCATCATCAACCTCGCAGGAATGAATATCTCCCTCCCGGTCTTCATCTTTGGCTGAATCCAGACTGTCCGTGTTCACGTTGGCACAATCTCTTACTGTTTCCCGCACGACCTTGGGGTGCCCAATTCCGTAGTGCGTGTAACGCATGAACATATCTCGGTCGACGAATCTGAGTGGTCCATGATTTGAGTATGGATAGTAGGACGGGTGGGTAGTTGGACTTACATGCCGACGTAGTAAGCTTCCCAGTCATCTACCTTGCCGCATCCACATGCAAATGTCTCTCCATGACGAAGGGAGGAGGTACCACGCCCGGAATTAAATGCCGGAATTAAATGCGCACTTCATATGACCTGACTAGGATTCAAAAACCCGAACGCATCACGATCAGCCTCTTCCACGAATGCTACCTTCGGAAGTCGAGCGCAGCTCATCCCTGACTGGTGCTCCGTCAACGGTGCGAGCCACTTAACATAGAGAACCTTGAGTTGTTGCTTTTTCGTCGGACCATCAACGTTCAGCCATACTTCCATATGATAGATGCCTAGGACCCGGGCGTACCAGTAGGGATGCTTGGGCCTCGTTTCTCCAGACAATACCATGATGTCACCGTGCGTGCGAGGATTGATTGTGTCGTACTCTTGTCGGAGGTCATAGGTCGTGTAGCGGACCTGTGATGATGAATAGTCATTATAGATACTAACAAAACACTAAAGGTGCGCTTACCTGCATCGTTTGGACCGAGTATAGCCTATTGTCTGAGATAATGACTGAATTGCGCTCCTCATCTGTGAACGCATGGTCACAATAACTGATGTCCAAGTTTCGAAGTCGATATAGTGCATGGTCCTTGAGTTTCGGTACGAACCCCTGCGAGTCATGGTGAGCAAAATGCATAAGAACTGGAGGTCGACACCTACCGTTAAAGCTGGATCATCATCATGACTTCGAAGAAAACGGAAGATGTATAGTGAATTGTTACGGCTGACTGTGGGTATGTAATGATGATCTTTGAACCCTGCAGGTGACTCGTCCAGTGGCTGCTCGACGTTAGTGTAGGAATCACGGCCTGTCTCTGCCGTTCGCCGAAGGACCCGACGGCGATGCTCATGCTTAGCTAGTTGTGCCGGGGTGTCTAGTTTACTAGTCAACGGATAGTAGGCTTTGAGTGCTCTATGCGCTAACTCTCCCTGGCCATAAAGCAAGTTGACATAAAAAGGTGTGAATAGCTAAGATCCACATACTATTTGTGATGTAAAGGAGTCTACAGTCCCGAAGAGCCGGATCATCTGTAGATAATCCCCCATGGCATGAAACTTGTAAGTATTCAGATTAAATTTCTTGGCCTTTCGGCCGCCACTCCCTGGATCTAGGGAGTCGAAACCTGAGCATTGACGCGCGGCATTGCGCTCACGAGCAGATTTTTCCTTGGGTAACTCCACGGTGGTGAAAGTAGCGCAGGTAAAGTCCCAGAACTTGCGTAGCTGACGTGAGAGGCGCTGGAAGGTCTCATCCAAAACGGATAAGGTAGTTTCTGAATGTATCCTCAGTTTTGCGAGGGCATGCCATTGCGCAAACCTGATCAAGAGTGACTGTACAACCTCATCATGGCCTGCTGGGAAAAGGCCTTCGAAGACTGGCATAGCGCACTGTAATAGACATCAGCGATGGGCATTGGCAACTTAGTCAGTTAGACACACCTGTAAGATATCCTCGAAGTCTCGAGCCGCAAGTCTTTTCATTTCAGAGGCATTATTGGTGAATCGCCGTATGACTCCATTGCCATATGAAGGAACTTGGCGAAATCTGCGTTGATCACTTTTAAATCAGTAATTAGGACAGTGTAAGTGAATGGACCTGTTATCAAGAGTTGCGACCAAGCAGTCCCCCCCAGGAAGCGCATAGAGTAGATGGATGAGATGTGTGAACAGTGCCTTCCACGTACCTAGCTCGCATTCATGTATAAAATCGACCACAAGCATGCGAAATGTATCAAACCCTAGGGGTCCGAGTTTCGCTGCAAATGCATTCTGATTTACAGTCAGGTACTAATCAGGGGCCATATATTTCAAAGGCACTCACCACGGTTGGGACCCAGGACCCGTCTCCCAGAGTCCTTTGCACCTTTGAACCATCAACGGTGTTTCCAAACTCATATATGAACGTGCGAGCTCGAGTTACCCCTGCCAGGCAGTAAGTCCTAAGGTTGTCGATGCGGTCGCGCATATCTCCAAACAAGCCCAGGAGATGGAATGAGGCTTTTGGCATGAGGCAGCGTGGACATGGGCAAGAGCCCATGTCTTTGATGGTTGCTATCAAAACCCTGAACTTTCCATTAGTATTTTAATGAGAAACGGAATAAGAACACACTTTTCTGGATAATCAGCTGAGTATGTAAATATACGTGGAAATACCCTTCTCAACACGCCATCTGGGCACCGCAGGACGATTCCATGGCGATATGCATTAAGGAACTCTGCATCCAGTAACTGTTTCCAACACGAGTGAAACAATTCTCGTCGACAGTGAGCTTGAAGAGCCACTATGGCACTTTTCGATATTCGAGGTAAGTTGCTGAGGATGTCCTTGATACCATCTGGAAGCTATAAATCCAACATAAGAAAGATATATAAAGTGGGAGACTGATAGCTTACTGAAGGTAAGAATCTGACAAGATGGCAAGCACCAGATTTCGGTGCCGAGCGTGCATATTTCATTAAATTGCCAAAGTACAAGTACAAGGGCCAAGCCTTAGCCGTCCTGAAGTTTGCAAGGTGTGTCGCGTCAGAAAAGAACATAAGTCCAGCAATAACTCGTTCTAGTGAGCAGCCAGGTTCTTTGGGCTGCCTCTGCAGGTCGTCCTGAGCTTGAAGCCACGAGTCGGAGGTATATAACTCGTCAAATACCCATTCCTGATGATCGTCCAGGGGGTCCTTCCATAGACGCTTGAAGGGGAGAAGATGAAATGCATTCGCTTGAACGTCAGCGAATGCAGAGCGAATCACTCCTACGAGTGGTCGATAATGAAATCCGCGAACGCTGAATGACCTGGACTCGACCACCGACTTTGCAGGTATATCAAGGGTGATGTCTGTGTCTTGCCAGTCGTCCGGAAAAGTAGCAGTCTCGTTTCCTCTGCTAAGGTCCAATGCACGCAAACTTCTCCTCACCGAAAATCTATTAAGCTCCCTGGGATTAAAGTCCTCCGCCTGAATGACGTCTTTGACGAGCCGTGATACTTCAGCCTCCGATTTGTGAAGACTCCCAGAATTCATCCAGGTCATGAGGCGATATATAGTCATGTTGGGGAATGGATAAGGTGGTTCGGGATGTTGATCAGGCATATGAGTACCGTGAGCGTCGGAAATGATTGGACAGGATTTAGCAAGTAGTGAAGAGGAAACAAATTTGTCGGGCTCGAATGAGGGTCGTCTGGGATATTCTCGAGAGAGGCCTATGGCATTGAACACTGTTTGCAGGGAGTCGCACAGGGTCAGAAACACTCTTTGAATTCTACCCTGACGTCGATCTTGACTTTCTGTCACAGGTGGATGATTCCCACATGACTCTGATGGGTTGGCATCTTCGTCTGAAAGTAAAATGTCCTCGAAATGTCTTGGGATTGGTCTAAGCCTGGTGCGTTGTGAAGGTTCATTGTCACGGACTGCTAGAGAACCATGAGTACTGAGGGAAAAGATATAGAACATTAAAACTGTGCATACCTGGGACATGACGGTCACGTTCACCATGATCTTCCATTGCAACGTCCAAAACATCCAAGTCTTGATATGTAAAAGTTGGAGTACTCGGGCTAGGGCGAGTAGTACCAGGTATTTCAATAAGCTTAGGGACCGTGCTAAATGCCTGTTCGCAACGAGCTATGGGCTTCAAACGGTGGTTCTTTACAAATTGGACTGGTCCGAGCTATGATGTGTTGGAGAGTTAGGTGGGTCAAATCATGATGATTTTTGAGTCAGATCATTACTACTAGTCACTGAGACAAATAACTTATGCCGCGAGTACTACTGGCACTGATGGGATTTTGCAACGCTTGAATAGACTCTCTTGCACGGTGCCGCCGTTTCTCCGTAGCTAAGGTGCTCGCCTTCTGGTAATACCTGCACCTCGACCTATGTTTGCTGAGTCCGCGTGAATCAGTTTCCTTCTGCTAAGAACAATGCGGTGCACTACAGGACACCATGAAAAGGACGAGGATGGTGAATAGAATCCACGGTGGTAGATGAAAGCGCATTGAGCTACTTTCGACGTACTAGTTGGCTCAGAAGTTAGATCATCAGAGTGTGAATGAACTTGTAGCCGGTCAGCAACCGCCTCATTGGAATGACTTCACCCAACTATTAATATTTTCCGATCCTTATTCGTCTTACCTTCACTGCGCTTCCCACCCCTCCGCAATATGTCCCACAAGACCCATCCAAACCTTGCTCAATGCCAATGAAGAGTGGGCACAAAGCGTAGTAAGGGACATACCCGACTTTTTTGCTAGCCACCTGCCAGAATCCCAAGGCATGTCCGTCGCCCTGTTTTTAGCCACATTTTCGAAGTTCATTTCAGATCCTTTGAAGTTTGGATTGGCTGCTCTGACTCACGAGTACCGGAATCGATCATCACAGCATCTGAGCCTGGTGATATCTTTGTGCACAGAAACGTTGCAAAGTACGTGTAAACAAAATTCATTCAAATCCGTGTTATACTCATATCCCGTCCCTGCAGCCAATTCCACCTCCATGATGACAGCGCCCTCTCAGTCCTCTCATTTGCTGTCAAAGAAGTTGGCGTTGAACACGGCGAGTTTCTTATTACTCTCATGATGAGGTCGATCCTCTCTCTAATGAGTACACGCCTCCAACAGTCGTTCTCATCGGTCACACCAACTGTGGAGGTGCCATGGCTTGCATGGAAGCAGCCAAAGTTGCTGCCACTAACCCTGGCGCATCCACCCCACTCACGCACTGGTTGAGCCCCTTACCACACTCATTTGATCTCTCGATCTTTCTGCATGATCTGCGAATGAGGCCCTGAACAAGGTCGTCAAGGCCAATATCATCAAGCAGGTCGACAATATCTGCAAGTCGGAGCCTAACACCACTGCCTGGGCAGACCCGCATGTGAAGAAAGTTACTGTGTACGGATGGATATACGATCTTGCTGAGGGACGCATCAAGGAGCTCGTCGTTCGCGACTAACAGGCATGACAAACACAGATTACGCCTTGTTTATCTTTTATACCAGCACAATCCCCAAGGCTTTGCACCAAATTCATGGTTTTCGATGCATTCTTTGCTAGATTTTCTTGAAGTTGCTCTACACGTCGAAGGTGTGTCTAGGATTATGCATGTCTCTTAGTACGCCCACACTAGTACTGCAGGTGCACAATGCATAGATTTTGGAACCGCGCCTTCGGAGCTCAATGATTGCGATCTCATTGCTGAGTATCGTGACCAAATTATGGCCAAAATTCGGAGGTGCTTAGAGTGAGAAGCATCTTGATTGATCTGACTTGGACTCCAGGGCAGTGATGAGTCTCGCGTGCCACTTGAGTATTGCATTGAAGCTTTATTGCCAGATAGGCATTCAAGCAATTTCTGAAAGTCTCGCTGCAGAGCCAGAAGGCAATGTTTGGTCCAACACACTTGTCTGACGCTCGAAATTGATGCGCAGGATCTGGGTCCAGCTATACCGCTGATGCGGCACAATCCCCTGATCTGATACAATTGATCGCTTAGCCGACATCTGCGCAAATCAACATCCTCGATTGCATAGATAGGCTACACTATCTACAATATATTCTAATATACAAGAAACATAGTGCATTGCATATCCTGATTTCAGCATAAGCATAAAGTACTTAAAAAGTCAAACACCGCATACGCGGAGAGCAGCACATGGACCACTATGCAAGTATACGGATGTACCGTAACATTCGTGCACGCGACGAGACTGTCGCATGACAACCACCAGCTCACTCTGAAGAAAAGGGATAGCCTGAAGACACCGACAGGCTGCCAAGATGCAACAAGAAGTGCAAGGGAGCTGGCCTAGCTAGCTGCGGCGTCGCCAGCCATGAACTAGTTCTACACATACCAGCTCGCGCAGTCATGGTGCGCGCGCATAGGATCCGTGGCAGTAGAATAACTCGCTGAAGGTACAACAATTCAGATGGTGAGTCTGAACAATGTTGGGTCTATGCAGAACCTAGCTGCTATTCGACCCTAAAGGGTTTCTGGACCAGGCTCAAGGCTCAGAGGAGAGGAAATATCATAAAAACTACTGAGGACTCTGACTCATACTGGTAACTGGTGAAAAGATTGATTGCTTATGTAAGCTACAAAAGTGCCAACATAAGGTAAGGTAAAAACAGTCTCTACAAGCCCAGCCAGAAATGAATCCCTACATCGCGCCATCTAGAACACAGTCACGCCCGATTGTGTCCCCGCATACCGGCTCTTCACGTTGTCGAGGTCTGTCGTACCTGTCCTGGCTCTTGTAATCATATCCACTCATGCTGGCCATGTCAGAAGCACCAGCAGCAGAGGAGAAGGAGCCACGCCTCTGTAAACGGTCTGACTGCGAGAATGCCATGGCAGAACCGCCAATGCTTGCGGTGCTTGGCGGTCCAGCATCCTGAGAGATGATGGAACTGGCATAGCTACTGTACGTGCTGCGCTTCCCAACACCTCCGGAGCCGCGGGGTATACCAGGACCAAATCCACCAGCCGCTGCAAACATAGGGAGTCCAGAAGAATAAGTGGCTTGGGAGCGTAGAGACTGCACGTCAGACAGGATGTATCCGAGAGCATCATGAGTGCGGTAGAGACTAGTATCGAAGCGACTTGGTGTTCCAGATCTGCCTGCACCTCCAGTGCTGGGGATGTAGTCCCGTGCATTTGTCTCGTGGCGACGAAATTGGTCCATGGACTTGACGAGGGAGCGGCGAGGTTTACTGAATTGGATCATGCTCGCCTGTAAGTTATTCAGCAGGCCCTCGACAAGGGTGTTACGTTCCTTGTAGTGCGTAAGAAGGTAGTGCCACAGTGGGTGCTGTAAGGTTCAATCAACGGACTGCAGGATCAACCACCAAGGCGACTTACCTTGCTGAGAACCTTTGGGTTTCCAAGGATAACGACTCCATACTTTGCACGAGTCAAAGCCACATTCAAGTGATGAGGGTCATTTAAGAAACCGATGCCCTGGTGTTCATTGCTTCTAACGCAGCTCAAAATGATATAATCCTTCTCTCATCCTTGGAAGGCATCGACACTGGCCACCTCGATATCCTTATATAGCTCTTTCTTGAGAGACCCGTTGAACTGCATATAGTTGACAATGTAGGAACATTGGCCCTCGTAGGGTGTGACAACGCCGATTTGGTTAGGTACGACACCTGACTCAAAGAACTTGGTCACGATCTTCTCAATGTTGGATGCTTCCGTCCTGAGATCAGTGATAAGCGGCTGCAACTGGAATACGAGGACATTAGAAGTACCTATTGAGGAACGAAGTTCCACTGGAGGATATTTCCTCCTGGCCAAGGTTCTGGTAAAAGAACATCAGAGTGTCCGGGGCAGGCCAAGGGAAATCAACATTCTTGCGAAGACGCTCTGGAGCAGTGACACCATTCTGTAGCATGCCTTTATAGAACATGTTCGTGGGGAACTCGGATAAACAAGGGTGCATGCGGTACTGCACTTGCAGACGAATAGATCTATTGCTGAGTACAACCAGACGTTCGAAGAGCGATTGTGTCAGACCAGCACGTGCCACTTTCTTGTTCATGATAACCGGACCAAGCTGCTGATGATCGCCGACGAGGACAACCTGCTTGCATTCAAGCACCAGAGGGATCATACATTTTGATTTAAGGTTAGCCAATTACTGATTCATCAAAGGATATAAGCTCCGCACCTGGCTCAGCACCTTGCGTAGCTTCGTCGATCAACACCGTCCTGAACTTGAGTTTGTTGAGGCGAGGGTCACCAGCACCCACGCACATGCAGCAGATAACATCCGCAGCACCCAAAATCTCCTTCTCGCACTGCCTGATCAATGTCTTGTACTTCCTCTCATCATTGGAGCTCAATTCTCCTTGTTCGTTCTTCAGCATGATCAACTTCTGCAACTCCACGTGAGTTGTATTATTTGCCACTTGTTGGTGCAGTGTCAAGAACGCGACACCAGAGTCTAGAGCTTTATGAGATTTGGCAGTCAGACGCACGACCTTTAAACCGGTGGCGTGAATCTTTTCAGTGAGCTGGTTGACAGCCACGTTCGACGGCGCACAGATGAGAACCTGACCTGGATTCATCTTGGCAAGATGATAGACGATGGAAGCAGAAGTTACGGTCTTTCCAGTACCAGGAGGGTCCTGGATCAAACTAATGGGCTTCTGCAGAACACCCTTGACTGCATACAACTTTTGAGAGTGGTTAAGCTCGGGAAGACCTGGCGCAGAGAATCGCTTAGGCATCTGCGTGCGGAGAACCTGGGGAGCAAGATCATGTCCGAGAAGCTTTTGATACTGGCGAGGGGCTCAGCAACTTCAATAGGATAGAGGGACAAACATACAATGTAGCCACTAACACTCTTCTCATCGACTGCAAATGTCTTCATTGCCAACTGCATCCTATCAAAGCTGGTGGATTTCCAGACAAAATCTGCCGCAAAATTATGCGTGCAATCGGTAGGTACACCTTCGGTCCGTCGTAATTCAAGCCTGATTTCGTCGGAAATGTCTAGAAAATGAGCATGAGCGCAACACTTTGTCTCGTGACATAAAGCTTACTGTTTGGAATCTTGATGATGTGTCCTACCCCGTCCCAAGCCTTGTGCAGTTCGCCCTGGTACCTCAACTGTAATTCATCACCCACAGCAAGTCTGACTTCACCGCTCTCGAACTTGGGCAAGCAAAACCACGCAACTCTCTTCTGGTTCAAACCAACATCCCATCGGACAGTTATATCAGTCTGAGTCTGACTCTCCTTCATATAAGTGTGAAAAACAGGCACAGAAGCAAGGCTCGTTTCTCGTGTGGCTGCATGCTGCATGTGAGCTCTTTGAGCGTAGGTGGATAATGAATCGATACAGAGTATGATGTCGGCTCCACAGACACGATGGACGAGATGATAGAGCAGATGGTGAAGTCCTGGAGGTGATGGCTTGTGTAAGATAGGGCGCGTTGAGGCCCGCATGGCTTGCACTGTCCCGACTCCACAGCGCACTGTGACAAGAAGCCAAGTCTTTTCAGTATAGGAAATCCCCAATAATGGCCCCGCAAGAAGCCAGCCTTTTTGTCAACCTCGACAGAGAGCATTGAGACTCTTCCATAATTAACATCCAACCCACAAGGACATTGAAGGTCCCGTCTCCTCTTATTTAGCGAAGGCACGCTGAGGCCATCATGCAGTGATCAATACGTTTAGTACCTATTGAAGGGGTTGGTAAATGTACGATGACAGAGCACAATTGTCTAACCTGTAGTGCGAAGCTTTGATTTGACCTTGGACAGGGATGTCAAGATACTCGGACTGCTCGGTACTGAGCTCAGTCAACTTGACATTGAGTTGAGCAAGGTGAGCACGAGCAACCTCCTCGTCCAGCTCCTTGGGCAGCATGTGAACACCGAGAGGGAATTTCCCTGGGGTGGTCCAAAGAGCAATCTGGGCCAACACCTGGTTCGCGAAGGAACAGGACATGACGAAGGACGGGTGGCCGGTGGCACAACTGGTAATTCATCATAGGTTAATTACAGGATAGAAATCGAATTTGAAATCAACCAACCCCAAGTTTACGAGACGACCCTCAGCGAGGAGGATGATGTGACGACCAGAAGGTATTGTGAAGCGGTCAACCTGAGGCTTTACATTGACAGCCTGCTTGGCATTGGCCTTCAACCATGCAACATCGATCCCAACATTGAAGTGATTGATGCTATCAAAGAGTGAGTTCGCATCACCAAAGTAATAGATACTGTACGCACTTGCAAACAATAGCATCCTCAGGCATGACCGAGAAGTGCTTGCCAGTGATGATATCATGGTTACCAGTGGTAGTGACAAAGATGTTTGAACGCGGAGTGGCATCCTCCATATCGTCACCTCATAACCAGCAATCGCAGCTTGCAGGGCGTTGATGGGGTCAATTTCCGTAACGAGAATGCGCGCGCCGTATGAACGCAGTGATTCAGCACACTACACGATCAACCATCAACGACAGCCGGGGGAAAGCGAAAAAAGACTACTCACTCCCTTTCCGACATCACCGTAACCAGCAACAATGGCAACCTTGCCAGCAAGCATGACATCAGTGGCACAATTGTTACCATCGACAAGAGATTCCCGGCATCCATAGTAGTTGTCGAACTTGAACTTCGTGACAGAGTCGTTGACGTTGATGGCTGGGACCTTCAACCTGCCTTCATGGAAAGCCTTGTACAGGTGGTGGGCACCCGTGGTAGTCTCCTCAGAAATACCTTTGATGTCTTTATTCCGGCAAAGTCAGTGGTGTGTTGTAACATGGATAAAAAAATACTCACCCTTCAGGTATTGCAAGAATTTTTCGTGGACAAGGGTGGTAAGATCACAACCGTCGTCAAGAATCATGTTCAATGACTTGCCACCAGGGAAGGCAGTAAGACTCTATTCAATACACCATTGGTACTCCTCCTCAGTCTATCCCTTCCAAGCGAAGACAGGAACTCCAGTTGCAGCGATACTATGAAGTCATGATTAGGATGCTGATATCATGGAAAAAGATATACTCACGCAGCGGCAGCATGGTCCTGGGTCGAAAAGATATTCTACCAATGGGAGTGAGTGCCTCGCGATGATCACATAACCATAGGCACCTACGCAAGATGACCAGGTGACTTCAGCGCCGAGAGCAGTCAATGTCTCGATCAAAACGCAGTTTGAATGGTCCTGCAGAACATAAGGACTTCCACAATGATTAGTCGTTGTTCGAACTCACATGTGCAAGCATCCAGCCACACGAGCGCCAGAAAGAGGCTTAGAGGGTCACACGTATTGTACAAATCATACTAATATACAAGCCACCGAAGTTCAAGGTGGGGTTAGGGTTATTCCATATAAGGCGATCCGTTCTGGAGCAGATCGCCTTATACGGAATAACCCTAACCCCCTCACCATGGCCGCTTGAATGTGCGAATTTCAGTCAACAGTCACTTGTAGATTCACATTTTGTTTGGACATGCTTATATTGAAGTATTATTTGCACACAGTGTTTGGGGTCTCTCAACTGCATGTGACCAAAGTCGCTGGCAAAACAAGCACACCGTACTGTCACAATTTCGAAGTAGAGCTACTACTACACGGTGGAGTTCGCCGCGTACAAGAAAACCAGTAGGTCACTACCGTAGGTGTCCTAGTCAATACAGTACTTAATGTACTAGTAGTCAACGATGGTCTACTAGCACAGAATAAGTGAATTCTCTTCTCCTTCTGCCAACCTAGGTGCTAAATTTGAATGGAACTGTGGGATATCATGAGACGCATATGATCAGGCCATGGGTATTGCTGACATTTGCAAAGCGATTAGTTTGGCAAAACATTACTGGTCATACTGAACATCTCACCTCAGGCACTGCTGACCAGAGTCTCCGCCCCTCCGAGTATGCTGTCCAAGCATTTGTGAAAGCGACACTCAACACCTTGTGTGTCTAAGTCACCAAAGGACAACCCCCATTCAGCACCAATTTCCTCCAAATGATCAAGTTGCACATTTGCAATCTGGCAGGCCATTAGATCATGTGTATATGCAGCAACGGTGAAGTTTGCGTCATTTTCTAGCTGGTTCACATCGCGTCTGACCAAAACGCGTTCGAAATAAGAAGCCTCCACCACGCTGTCAACATATTGTTGGGCATAATCCTTCAGAATAGACTGAAGAACTATAGCGTGTCGTTCAGCTGATTCTAGTTCCCAAATGGCTGCAAGAGCGCGCAAACGCTTGCTTTCAGTGTCAGCTCATTTTGCCATGACAACGGAGTGGACGGTCGAGTCTGGCATGCACTTCATGCCTTGTTTGAAGATATCTTTGCCCTGTTATTATGTTCATAAGTTTGATCTGATTTGTGATATTGGCCCTGGAGTAAAAAACGTACTTGATGGACATCTATTAGGCTGATATCAGCTTCATTGCGCTTCAGAATATTCTTCGTCATGAAACGGTGCTCTAGTGCGGTAGGGGTATCACCCCCCGGACAACGGGGCTGGAACTTTGGGACAGCACGACTTGTATAAAGCGACAAATGTTGCATTACAGGAGGAAAATCCTCTGGGAGGGATGAATTTGAATGAATAGCAGCAGTGTCATTGGGGGATGGGGTTGCAAAACATAATTGATTGGGGTCTATTGTCATATTGGAGTGATAATTGCAAGGGTGCTTGACATCAGGCCCAGCCTCAGGCTGCGACTGCCACAGTGTGGGTCGTTCAGTGGAAGAGTGAGATTGACTGGTACCAGGTGACCCCAACATCGTCTCAAAATGACCAGGACTGCCAGAAACTTTGGGATAAGCAGAATTAACAGGGGAGGATGTCATGTTCATTGCAGGCTGGTACAAGGCTTCGGTGAGAGGACCTTTGATTTGAATCGATACCAACTAGTACTAGTATTGGTTCACCGGTATTAGTGTGTGAGTGTCAGCGGAGTTTTAACGACTAGAAGTGCTCCCAACGAGTCGCTACCAGCTTGAAGTAATTTGGCACTTACCCTTTATCCGACCCAGCCTTTGTTTTGACATTGCCTTCGAGTTCTCACATAAAAAGGGACATAACATATAAGGTATCAGTAAATAGTACCAGAATTGGTATCCCTGTACCATACCTTTGATTTGACATTGCCTCGAAGTTCTCACATAAAAAGGGACACAACATATAAGGTAACAGTAAACAGTACCAGATTCAGTATCCCTGTACACAATGTATAAGGTATCAGTAGACAGTACTAGATTCGGTATCCCTGTACCATACCTTCAATGCCGCGACTTTGATCCTTGTGCCACGATAAAATGATGCTGTAGTATGCTGGAGTAACTTTTCGAGTACGCCGCAGGTCGACGTAATATGTACGAATCGATTGATCACTGATAACATTTCTAATTGTGGGATTTGAACACACAGAACATATCAAGAAGCTACTGTATCGAGGGCGTGCAAGGTAAATAAGTGACATGGCAGGCTAGAAAGAGTTCAGATATGATTTTCCTTATCCGTGTCATCAACTCGCGCCTTCCTTTTCCCTTTAACCTTCCTTCTTGCCCTGGCACGTTCTTCCTTCATGTGAGCTTTACAAACGCGACCATGAAATGTAAATGCGGCACCCTCCGACATGCCCACCTTCTCCACATAAAATTGACTACCAAAATGTGCTGCTGTCGGCAAATACAATATGCCATGCTCTCGGAGTGAATTCTCATACTGCAGGAAGTCCATGGCAGGATAGCGAGAATGAATGCTCGTAAGGACACTGTGAATCTCTTGCTGCGGTTCGTCACCATCGGTTTCTTCATCACTCTCAATATAGAGGGCAAATGTTCTCTTGAGTGGTTGAGGAGCCATCGTAGGGCACTTACTATCTTCTTGTTCGGGGAGTGTACCATTAGAAGCCCGTGTATCATTGACGGATGAGAGATGGATATGAGTATGGATGATGGGCGAGATGGGCTCGGTGGGCACACGCTGAAGCGATGCATTGCTTTCCTTGTGTCTTGCGGAAGTCGTCAAAATGGGGTGTGCTGGGTAAAGTAAGGCAGGCGTTGTCTGGCTCTCGAGCATCATACTAAAATTCATCGGAGTAACCAAGAGTTGCTTGGAGGCATATAAAAGTATATGTACCAGACATTTAGCCCATTCTTGGAGGTCTTGGGTACATAGCGAATAATGCGGAATGTTTGGCTGTGATGTATCCACCCAGCAGAATGTGTTCTCCGAGTCTCCGAGTCGATGCTCGGAGCAGCGCAACCTGTTCTTGACGTTCTCGAGTTCCTTCATGTATGGTAGAAGTGGCCCGTTGGATATCAGGTTTTGTTCGCCTGCGGAACACCAACGCGCTTCTTGTTTTGTCGACTTTCCTTTGAATACGGCCATCTGCAGCAATTTACTATCATCTTGTGCAGAGAATCAACAAATTACTTACGGTATTAAGTATTTCAATTGCAACTGTCTTCTTAAGTTTCCGTCCAGACATTTGCTCCGCCCTCACAGTTTTGAATGCACTGGTGATATCTTGGGAGTTTAAAAGTCGGTGTGGCGCATCCGTACGGCGAGTCGTCAACAATCGCCAGCCTAAGTGTTCATACTCCTTTGGAAGGTCCATCATGGCCCTTATGGAATCGAACATATCCATCGGATGATCAGATTCCCTGTAGAAATGTTCTACATATGTCATAGATTTACTCGCATCAGCAGTATTCAAAGGAATGCGAAATTCAACTAGTAGTGACGGTGTCAGTAACTGAGTCACTCGAGACCATCATCAGAATTACCTTTCTCATTGAGAGATTGTTGGTTTACTGGTTGTCCTTCCGCAGCTTCTGGGGAATGCCATAACTGAACTGCACGAGTGCAATGGATCTTGCTGTCGTCGAGATTGGGCACTTTGTGACGCACACCAAGGAGATTGGCTGCAGTTTGAAGATGAGTGTGCTGGCGGACAGATTTTGACATGTGAGGACTATATAGACTTACTAATACTTTGCCCGCCCACCCTTTATATTCAAATTCCTGTCAGACTGCCATGATTACAGCTCTAGGCGATCTGTAACCGAATCAGGAGGCTCGCTATGATTGCCTAGAATGACTTAAGTCGTAGTGTTACTTGATATCCGCTTTTAGGTCTCACCAGAGAGGACTAGCATTGCAGAAATTTTTGCTAAGTAACGGTACCGTAGTGACGGTAAGAGCTTGCAATCAAGGTCAGAAAGTGGAGAACTTACCAAAGCCTGACAGTGACAGTGACAGTGACACCGTTTCACCTGTGCTAGCAGAAGTGACTCGCATTGAATGCACATGGGTCATCGCATCGTGACGGTGTCAGGCTGGAATTCACTTGAGTGTTTGTTACGACTAACTCATTCAGAGACTCGGAGCACTTACGGTACTAGTAAGGGTGATAACGGTACCGCACTAAATGATCATCCCCTTGAAGACAGTGCTATTGCAATTGGGAAGGTAGGCGAGAACAGACCCCGAGGCTTGGCGTGTACACGTCTTTCCGAAGTACATTCTACGGAACAAGTTCTATTGCCTTTTAAGACGAATGGACGATTTCCTAAAAAAGACTTGAAGCATAATACCGTTGTAGAGACTCGTGCATCTCATAGTGTGATATGGCGCTTTACACTAGGGAGTATACAGCACCAACTCGCAGCATCACTCTGTGTACCATCCACAGTGATTCCTATATGACGCGCAGCTTTCCCGCGCAACGCGCGCCATGCGCGCACCATTCCCGCGCTTCACGATGTATACGCGCGCGCGCGTTCCCGCGCTTGCGCGCCCTATAGCGCCAGCCATCCAGATGCATCCATCCACTGTCCACCAAGCTCCCTAGTGCGTATATTTCCATTTCCTTTATTAGCATAGTGTTCCATCTTTATTTTTATCATGTTTTCTCACTCATATATATATTTACATACCTACTCGGTAGCGCTTCGGCTCCGCATGACCGCGCTTAGGCGCGCTATATAAGTGCCAGCAGTACATACTATTATTTACCTTACTTTTCCCTGGAACTTACTAGTTATCACCCACTATTTACTTAGCAGTACATAGTAGAAGTCTATTGGTCTACACTTTGCATCTATCTTTTCTTATATTGCTTTATATCATCACTTAAGCTTAGTCTCTTTTATTTCCGCTTACGCGCGCGCGCTTTCCCGCGCTTCGCGCTAATACGCGCGCGCGTTCCCGCGCCTTCGTACCTTGCGCGCACTTGCGCTTTCTCACGCTTCGCTGAAGCGCGTACCTCTAGATCTTCGCAGCACTCGCTTCCCCTAGGGTCGAACGCACTTGTCTCCTCAAGAATAGCAGACTAGGTAACGCGCGACCTCACAACGTTTTATAGATACAGTTAGGAGCATCCTTGTTCCTCATTGTATAGTTGTTTCTACAACTGGAGCCCACCGCGAGGGGAGCAGTCAGCAAGATCTACTTTTGCGCATCTTCGCACTTCACGCTATTTTAACGCATAAAGGTCAATCTCTTTGCATATTCAAAAGCTAACCAATTTCTAGTCACGCATTCTCGCGCCTTGTGCGCGCGCTTTCCCACCCCTGTGCGCCTTGCGCGCGCACCTTTCACGCGCTTCAATGCCCTTCAGAATGCCCATCCGTGGCACAGCAAACGCGCCCAAGTTCGATGGCACTACAGACAACCTTGCCGAGTTTATTGACACCTATGAGCAGCTCGCTGATGATGCAGGACTCCAAGGACTCGACCGCATCAAAGGTATTATCCGCTACCTTGAGCGCGACGATCGAGAACTATGGGGCGGAATGCCCGAGGCGCAAGTAAGCGATTACGACGCCTTCTTAGATGAGGTGAAGGTAATGTATCCTGGATGGGACGGTAAAAGGCGCTACGCGCTCGCAGACTTGCGCGCCATCGCGCGCGAATACGCTAACAAACCAATGCCCTCTTGCACAGAACTCAGCAATTACCTGCGCGCATTCAGGAAGATTATGCAGCCACTCATGGATGAAGACCGTATTGGAAAGGCCGAACGCGACCGCTTATTCATGGAAGGAATCCCTAGCGATGCTCAGGCGCAAATCCGCTTGCGCCTTATGATCAAGTTCCCCGACCACCACCCATACGACCCATACCCATTCATGGACGTCTTCGCAGCTGCGCAGTTCCTATTACCTGCGCGCGCTTTTCCCGCGCCAAGCGCACCAGTAAGCGCACCAGTTAGCGCGCCTGTGGTAGCGCCAAGCACACCAGTGCAAGCTAAGGTAGCTAAGTACAAAGATCGCTACCACGCGCGTCGCGCAACGCAGGATACGACCATTAGCGCTAATGCAACAGCTGGACTCTTCTATCGCGCACCCTCAGATGTTGTACTTGACAGAAAGCCACCAGTTCCTATTCACGTGCCTCGCGCGCGCGCCTTTCCCGCGCCTACGCGCGATTCACGCGCACCTCAAGCATCAACTGCGCCAGCATGCAAAGCTATATCAGACTGCATTACTTTAGATCACGAACTCGAACGCGCGCTCGCAAAGCGCGCTGCAGGCGCCTCTTCACTATCATCCTCAGCAGCATCATCTCCTTCACAATCCGCATCATCTCCATCACCATCAATCGCATCAGAAGTCAGGGATGACTCTAATCATCTATTGCACACTAACGCGCCAGTTGAAACACGCGCGCCTATTGCTATCGCATCGCGCGTGTCTATCGCTATCGCATCGCGCGCGCCTATTGCTATCACCTCGCCATTAGTCAGGGATGACTCTAATCATCTATTGCACACTAATGCACCGCTAGAAACATGCTCGCCCCTCGCTATCGCAACACTTAAGGAAGAAATCTCGCCAATCATGCCATCACCATCACCGCTACCACCGCTTGCATCATCAGAGGTCAGGGATGACCCCAAACATCCATTGCACCTTGGCGCGCCTATAGAGGAGCCTTCTGCCGCATCAGAGGCTCAAGTCGCACCTTGCATCAACCAGAGTTTGTCTCTGGAAATTCCAGATGTCACTCGCGATCACGCGCACATCGCACTTTTTGCTTCCAGTGACTATCGCATGCCGGTAAAGCATCCGTGCATCACGCCATCTAACCACCAAGCAGAGCATGTCTCAGGCGACCCTGGCGCGACTCAGGCGCACCATATTGCGCCTGAGGACGCGCAATGCGCGCGCCTAGAGGCACGGTATATTTTTCCTCATCTTGTTTCGCATTTTTTGTCTTTTTCATGTTTGAAGCTCTTAAGGAGCTATATGACGCTTCCAAACACTGTAATTTCATTTTCGCACCACCCCTTGTTCACGCGCCATGATCGCGCGCATCACGCAATATGTGCGCGCATTCCTGCGCCTCGTGCTTTCATAATTTTAGCAGAGTTTTCACGCTACCGCATTTCTATCGCTTCTCCCCTTCTAAATCGTATTTCTATCATTCAACACAAGGTATATTCCAATCAGACATCCAGGCGCGACATAGGCGCGCGCCTGACACATACATATGCGCCTAACCCCCCTATCATCACCTTTAACTTCGCACTTCGCACATTTATTCGCATTCTTCGCACTTTTGCTTACCATGTCAATTTCATTCCTGTGCGCCTTGATGCGCACTATTCTCCTTCACCTATGCGCCTATTGCGCCTTGATATACCACCCTTACAGCCCATTGGCGCAACATTTGTGCCTAATACTTCACTATATACATTTCTCACTAACACATTTACAGAGAAGTGGCCGTTCCTCGCGTGTTCGGCCAATATAATCAAATTCGCGCGAAATCGCACCAAGGCGCGCGCATCCTATCAGCTTGTAGGGTGCCCCTACACCCCTTGCAGCGCCTTCCATTGGCGCGCCTTCAACCTGCAGCGCGTTGTGCAGGAATTCATTCTGCCAGTCACAAGCCCACCCAAGCACGCCAGCCTCACACATTCCAACCCTACCTTGGGTAACGCGTTAGCTCGCAAGAGACGCGAAGTGCGCTATTACGCGCACTCGCACGCACTCAAGGAGGAGGATCAAGCGCCTCAGCTGCGCATCAAAGAACAACGTATACCATCGCTGTTTCATAGGATACCATTCGTTTTACCCTGGGTTTCGTCCAGCGCTCTTTCATTTTATTTTCTCTCATTATAACGCCATCCAAAGAACTAATAACTTACTGATATATATGCACATAGGAGTCGCCAAAAACAAGAAAACAACCTTAGATTGTGCCCGCGTAGCTCAATAGTATTATTTTCTCTTCGCACGCATGACGCGGCACCATGCCCTTTTTACCTTAGAACGCGCACATATGCGCGCAGTCTTCCCACGCTCACGCGCACATACGCGCGCAATATTCACGCGCCCATACGCCTCGCGCGCGCACACATGCGCGCTTCCTGCGCCTCGCTCATAGGAAGGTGTAGATGTCGACAGCCGCACGAAGAAGACAAGTCGGATAGGACATCCGCAAAGTTTACCATTTTTTCCTTCGCATTTTCACATATAGTTTTACTCACACTGTTCAAACCTTACCACCTAATATTTAGCGCGCCTAGCAGGACTTGGTTTGGACTTGGATTGGATCGCTCTTGGACCGCACCACTTCGCATCATACGCACAATACAACACATGCGACACTCACGCGCTTTCTCGCGCCTTGCGCGCGCGCACTTTCTCGCGCTTTATGCCATATGCGCGCCACATCCATATCACTCTCACATCATCGCCTCACACCCAGGGAACACTATTCACACCAGAGTCACCCTTGCAATTTGCCATGCTACGCTTCATTCCCGCGCCTTCACGCATAGCGCGCGCACATTCTCGCGCCTTGCGCGTACCATGCGCGCAACTTCCCACGCTTCACGCACATCCACGCAATAATTCCTGCACTTGCGCATTCATCGCCCAACGACCCAAGCATCATACAGGCATCGCGCACACATACTCTCACGCAAAATCCTCACCATGCGCGCGCTGAGTGGGGACACTCAGAATTTAAGTCCCTGGGAGATGTAGAGACTCGTGCATCTCATAGTGTGATATGGCGCTTTACACTAGGGAGTATACAGCACCAACTCGCAGCATCACTCTGTGTACCATCCACAGTGATTCCTATATGACGCGCAGCTTTCCCGCGCAACGCGCGCCATGCGCGCACCATTCCCGCGCTTCACGATGTATACGCGCGCGCGCGTTCCCGCGCTTGCGCGCCCTATAGCGCCAGCCATCCAGATGCATCCATCCACTGTCCACCAAGCTCCCTAGTACGTATATTTCCATTTCCTTTATTAGCATAGTTCCACCTTTATTTTTATCATAGTTTCTCACTCATATATATTTTTACATACCTACTCGGTAGCGCTTCGGCTCCGCATGAGCGCGCTTAGGCGCGCTATATAAGCGCCAGCAGTACATACTATTACAAACCTACTTTTCCTACTTTTCACTTACTAGTTACTACCCACTTACTACTTAGCAGAATATAGTAGAAAGCTATTCCTTTACATTTTGCACTCTTATATCTCTTATCTTGCTTTATATCACTACTTAAGCTTAGTTTCTCATTTCCGCATACGCGCGCGCACTGTCCCGCGCTTCGCGCTAATACGCGCGCGCGTTCCCGCGCCTTTGTACCTTGCGCGCTCCTGCGCTTTCTCGCGCTTCGCTTAAGCGCACACTTCTAGATCCTTGCTGCACTCACTTCCCCTATAGGGTCGAACGCACTTGCTTCTCTAGTAACGCAGACTAGGCAGCGCGCGACCTTACAACTTTTACAGATACAGTCAGGAGCTTCTTTTGTTCCTCATTGTATTGTTGTTTCTACACCGTGTAAGGTATGTAAATAAGGTTTTGGGGGCGCATGTAAACATGGAAGAGGTCAGAATCATTGATCAACCGGCGGACTCAGCGCGGATCCATTAGTCAGTATCTGTGTGAGGGCAGTTAGCTCCATCGCAGACATATCCTCCAGCAGTGAAACAAAGCGATCATGATGAACCCGATGTGTGCTGGTGAGAAATCGGACTGGGACGCATATACCCGTGATGCGTTCTTGCAGCACCCACAGGCAGAGAGTAGCGGTCATTGCTAGTAACGGTTTGTAGTTGAGATTGTCACTGATGTACCTGTGGAATTGATGCTCGCTGTCACGTAGCAAGTATCCCACCAATGCTATGATAGTTGGGTTTGCAAAAGTGACGGTAATATTATCTCCATTGACCTAAGGAGACATGCGACTCATCAGAAAGGGGCCCAACTCTGCGTAACGCACTTACATGTAATGTGCCATAGAGAAATGTGTCATTCTGCACCAGATGATTGGCACGCGATGTGCGCTCGGCGATGTGGGTGCCGTTCACTGCCGTGGCGTAGTTGAAACCAAGACCATATTTGATATAGACGAATGTTTGGACCACCGCCGCCATACTGCCAGATATAGTGGCGAGTTCGGGCTCAAGCCTGGTTCTGAAATATTCCTTGTCATTTTCCAGCTTATCCAGCACCCAATACCGGAGTGTCTCTGTTCCAACCCGAGTCAGTCCAAAATCGACTACTTGAAGTTTTGGAGAACATACCATCAACTTGTTGACTAACTACAGCTCTACATGCAGCATCTACCATGTGATCAATATCGGTAGGTAACAACGACGTCTTGAATGCGGTCAGTTTCATTGAATGGATGCACCGATCCAACATCATTTCAGAGCGGTATGGGATGATTGTGAATTGTGTAGACGATCGTGTTTGTGTCTTAGCGCGTTTAGCGCTCCGGCTGGATGTTTGCTCTTGGGGGACTCGACGGCGGCGGCGGGGTGCAGTGAGGGCTGCATGTTGGGAGATATCGTCGAAAATCTGATGGGATGAGCGGGAAGGACTAGAGAGATTCGGATGGTACGATGTGTTGTCAAACACGGATGGGTTCACAGATAGAACCGGAGCCTCAGGCTGAGGGCCGTCAGGCTGGTCAGGCTGGTGGTTCGGCCCAAGGGGTGGCGAACTTGCGCAGGCAGTTGGGCTGGGGGGAGGCTGCCAGGTAGCAAAAAAGTGCTGTGGACCCGACCGGTAATATAAACGCTGGGGTACGGGGTGGGCAATGACAGGCTCAGGCAGGCCTTGCCTGGAGGGCAACGGCCAGTGCGATTGACCCTGGTCAGCCGCGGTGTAGAAACAACAATACAATGAGGAACAAGGATGCTCCTAACTGTATCTATAAAATGTTGTGAGGTCGCGCATTACCTAGTCTGCTATTCTTGAGGAGACAAGTGCGTTCGACCCTAGGGGAAGCGAGTGCTGCGAAGATCTAGAGGTACGCGCTTCAGCGAAGCGTGAGAAAGCGCAAGTGCGCGCAAGGTACGAAGGCGCGGGAACGCGCGGGAAAGCGCGCGCGCGTAAGCGGAAATAAAAGAGACTAAGCTTAAGTGATGATATAAAGCAATATAAGAAAAGATAGATGCAAAGTGTAGACCAATAGACTTCTACTATGTACTGCTAAGTAAATAGTGGGTGATAACTAGTAAGTTCAAGGGAAAAGTAAGGTAAATAATAGTATGTACTGCTGGCACTTATATAGCGCGCTCATGCGGAGCCGAAGCGCTACCGAGTAGGTATGTAAAAATATATATGAGTGAGAAACTATGATAAAAATAAAGGTGGAACTATGCTAATAAAGGAAATGGAAATATACGCACTAGGGAGCTTGGTGGACAGTGGATGGATGCATCTGGATGGCTGGCGCTATAGGGCGCGCAAGCGCGGGAACGCGCGCGCGCGTATACATCGTGAAGCGCGGGAATGGTGCGCGCATGGCGCGCGTTGCGCGGGAAAGCTGCGCGTCATATAGGAATCACTGTGGATGGTACACAGAGTGATGCTGCGAGTTGGTGCTGTATACTCCCTAGTGTAAAGCGCCATATCACACTATGAGATGCACGAGTCTCTACAGCGGCTAACCCAAAATCAACGCCCTGTGGCGACAGGGGCCATGATTGGTGGTGTATCATGGTGTCTGACCCATGAATACCTTGCCAGTGCTGGTGCGGGGCCCACAATGAGTGGTGGCTTGCGGCGGCCTGAGTCGAACTTATTGAACTTGCCAGATGGGCATGAGGCAGCTGTGGCTGAGGCGGTATCCATGCTGATTGAGTTTGATAAGTCCCATTATCATTGAGTTGATGACTGTAAGTGAAGTCGAAATCCGTGTGAGGACCGGGAGGATCGTGCGTGTTGAATTGCTGGTCGATGTCAGCCTGCAATAGCTGATCACCCCACCCTGACATGATGGGTAGCGAGTAACAATCAAAAGAGAAGTACTCATCTTGAAATATAAACTTTGCAGCGAACTCGAGGTCGGGCACGTGAAGGTCATCGATTGAATTCACTGATCTGCGAGTAACCAAAGGGTAAATTTCATAAATGGCAAACCGAGGTGTAAATACATAATGATCAATATCATTGCATAATCGCCGTGATTACACAATCTGCGCACCCTAATAGTCACGTAGTCACCGCCTCAAGGCTCAGGCCATCAATCAAAAAGATGCTAGCCATCTACCAGATCCAAAAATTTAGGCGTTCAGCTTCAGCGACTGCGACAACATTCCTGGGAATATCGGAGTTTTAGGGTCGTTTTGTTCTTGACTTGCAACTAAACCTGGGAACACTCACGCCAACGACATTGACCCACTCAAGAACAAATCAATGTCGGTTGCAAAAGTCAAGCTAGGAAGATCTTTTGGGTTACGCATGAAGAGCAAGGACGCATTGGAAACGGAGATTACTAAGCTTGGTCGTGGGAAGGCGAAGACGCCCAGCCCTATGAACTTGAAGGCCACACAGAATGCCCAGGACAGACAGCCAAAAGATAAACTCTGCTATAAATGGCACGCTCATGGCAGTTTTTCTGTCTGTAATTGGAGTGAGTTCTTGAACTCTGAAATATGTCATATCATAAATCTCCCAACAGCCGAATGCCTTCTCTCCCTGAGCTTTGCGACTTGCAGGATAATAATCTGCTCAGAAACATGGTAAGCAGGCTCACCGCACTCGAGGATTATACTTATAATGATTCTTTGTGCACTGTTAGTTATGTCCAGGTCAGTATCAACGCTGTTGGTCACCATCACTTTCAATGCTAAGTCAATCTCATCAAGCAGCTCGTCCTGCTTCCCCTGAGCCTTTGAACGTGCTAACATCGCATGACGTTCTGCTACAGTGATATCTAACTCGTACCACGAACACTCGTTGATTGGTCTCCTCACATATGGAGTATTTGTTGTAAGTACATTTTTATCATCCTCCCAGATCATTCTACCCTCTTCATTTGTATGGTCTGAAATACGGAGGTCCATTCTGATTTCGCATCCTCCTAGCTCTGACATATATTGCAGCAATGGCGAGGTTTTTGGACCGCATACTTGGCCAAATCCATCAAGTTTGTGACTATTTCCTCAAAGCAATACCAAAACATGCCAATAAGCCATCAGATGTCATTGAAATTTTATTATATTGTGAGTGTACTGGTACTGTGTAAACTTCCCTGCTGACTATACGTAGAACTCGCATTGAAGATCGCATCGAAGCTATCCAAGAACACTTGGCTGACTTCACCCCCCATCAGTGAGCCAGCTTCACATTTATTCTTGCGCTGTCTGCGCCTACTGATTTTTGAGGTGTCCTTCAACCAGAAGATATCGATGTTGACGGCCTGTTGTGAGTGTACTGGTACTGTGTAAACTTCCCTGCTTACTATACGTAGTAGAACTCACGTTGAAGATCGCATCGAAGCTATCCAAGAACGCTTGGCTGACTTCAACACCCCCCATCAGTGAGCTGGCTTCACATTTATTCTTGCGCTGTCCTGCGTCTACTGATTTTTGGGATGTCCTCGAACCAGAAGATATCGATGTTGACAGCCTGCTTGAGCTAGAAGAAACTGACGTAATGTGATTTTTGGGAGAGCCTTGACGGTGTAGAAACAACAATACAGAGAGGAACAAATAATGCTCCTAGCTGTATCTATAATAGTTGAAGGTCGTGCGTTGCCTAGCCTGCGTTACTTGAGGAGACAAGTGCGTTCGACCCTAAAGGGGAAGCGAGTGCAGCCAAGATCTAGAGGTACGCGCTTCAGCGAAGCGTGAGAAAGCGCAGGTGCGCGCAAGGCGTGGGAACACGCGCGCGTATTAGCGCGAAGCGCGGGAAAGCGCGCGCGTGTATGCGGAAAATGATAAAGACTAGACTCAAGTGATAATATAATGCAAGAAAAGAGAAGGGAGATGCGAAGTATAGACAAATAGACTTCTACTATATTCTGCTAAGTAGTAAGTAGGTGATAACTAGTAATTGGGAGGTGAAAGTAAGGTAAGTAATAGTATGTACTGCTGGCGCTTATATAGCGCGCCTAAGCGCGGTCATGCGGAGCCGAAGCGCTACCGAGTAGGTATGTAAAGATATATATGAGTGAGAATCCATGATAAAAATAAAGGTGGAACTATGCTAATAAAGGAAATGGAAATATATGTACTAGGGAGCTTGGTGGACAGTGGATGGATGCTTCTGGATGGCTGGCGCCATAGGGCGCACAAGCGCAGGAACGCGCGCGCGCATATACATCGCGAAGCGCGGGAATGGTGCGCGCATTGCGCGGGAAAGCTGCGCGTTATATAGAGATAGCTGTGGGTAGTGCACAGAGTGACACTACAAGTTCGTGCTATGTACTTCCTAGTGTAAAGCACCATATCAGACCATGAGATGCACGAGTCTCTACAACGGGTCCTCAACATTGCAACTGGATACCTCAACTTCAACTACTTCGCGTACTAGTAGTCTTAGCGTCCAAATCAGGCAGCGATCTATTTACAGTGTCTCTGGCATTTTCTGGATGGCCGATGCTTATGTAAATCTGGATTATGTACTTGCTGAGTCATATTCATATGGAAAGCCAGAGCACCCTATGGCTGACTTCGACGTGACGGATTTCAATCATGACTCTGAAGTCGATGGTTCGGAGTCACTACTGGTCACCCTGGTGACTCAGGCTCATGTGGTAGATATGTCGCAACTTTCGACTTGCAAGTGCTCGATGAACTTACTATCTGTTACTTCTCCAGTATCCTGCTACCATCGTCTGAACTTTGACATGTCGGCGGCACACTTCCACTTGCAAGTGCTCGATGAACTTACTATCTGTTACTTCTCCAGTATCCTGCTAGTGACCATCATCCGAACTTTGACATGTCGGCAGCACACTTCCATGATCTAGTAGTTTGCCTCAAGTTCCTCGATTTCCACCGGTACCCTTAACTAACCTAAAAAGGCTCGAAAAACTGATCCAGAAATGGCTTGAGACACCTTGCCTGATCGATGTCCTTCAAATGACATTTTCTGGGCGCGACCAAGTAAGGCAAATTTTCTGCTCCTTATTTGAGACTAGTTCATTCAAATCCTCACTATTAGGGCATCGCCGTAAAGTCGGACGGCCATTGTATAAAATGACTTCACAGAATCCTTCATACCACATTCACTTTACTACTTCCTTTCCGTTCATCTCTGGTATGTCGGTATCCGATAACGACCGTCATGCCAACTACCAGAACAGCCCTCCTCTTCCTTCTCATCTCGATGTATTGCTTTGTGTCTCGACGTCACCTCATGCTAGGGCCAAACGAAGAATTGCTGCCCTTGTCGAAGAAGTCGAAAATTTGAAGCAGGACAGAGCGACAAAGCAAAGGTTTGTATGTTGTTAACCTCAGATCCGTTTTAATGCCTTATTGTAGAAAAACCACCTATTATGTTTCACAGGGACGAGCAGTCCGCCAAATGGTTGCCCTGTATACTCCCATAGAGGATCTAATTGCCGAAAACGACCGATGTTGTGAAGATGAAGAAAACGCCCTCGAGTTCACTACAGAGTAAGTGTTTATGTTCATCTTGTCATGCTTGTCATTAAAAAATAGCAGACAAAACTGCCTTCAACGTGGCTACATCGAGCTCGCCAAGGCATTACCGTGGTTCCATGACAAGCTGGCAAAATTTGACCACGAAGAGTCCGAGGAAATGCTCAAAAAGGTCATTCCTAGCATCGCCTTATCATACCTCTCGCTCACTTTCAACGTAGCTCAAGTGGGGCGCGGACTCGGCACGTGGTGACGACACTGGAACTCTCAAAGACCTCGTGGCTTCGTGGGTCAATATCGAGTGTCATCTGCCTTCACTCATTAGAACAGATGATAAGCACCATAGAGGCTTCATGAGCGATGTGTGCGGTAAATTGCTCTGCCCAGCGGAATGGCGCTGGGATGACCCAGTGTAAGTAATAGCCCTTATTATTCAAATGTTGCTCACAAGTCTCCCAGAGTTAGAGCCGGTATTCGTGACCGCACAACTGCTTTTATCGTTTCTGAAAATTCATGGCCATCGTTCATGTATGAAAACTACGAAGCTGACGCCAATAATCTGGAGCGTGGTCTCTTCAAGTCGAAGCTGTTACTTATGGTGAGCGGCCTAGATCATTGTTCCAATTGATTCATAACTCATTGCATTGCAGGGCTTCAAGGCTATATTCACATCCCCCTCCTCAGCCAATGAGGTGGATGGTGATGGTGATGGTGTTGATATCATAGAAAACAACCGATGCGCCCGGAGACATTCAGATCAAGCCAAAGTGAAGACGTGTGTTGCCTCCATCATAGATATGAGGAAGGTGACTCCTCGCACGATTGCATATGCAGTTTGTCAGGTAAGCATCAATACCTGCTTCCAGGTTCGAAGTTGAAATTTAATTCTGCAGATCCGATTCGCACTTTCCAACGTTACCTCTTGGCGCACCGTGGATGGTGATTTCGACTACCAGATTTTCTGGAACAACATTGTGGACTTCTTCGAAAGCCCACCGGGCCCAGCTGCACAAGCCAGGGTGAAGGATCTTCTTGAGTGGTGGACACGGTAAGCCGCTAACAGTGACCTGCCTGAATTGCTAACTCTCTGTATAGAAAAGTCTTTGGAAAAAATCACCGGCAGGACCTGATGCCAGATGTTGTTACTCAAATGTCCGTTAATGCTCTCGCTGCCCAGAGACAGCAGATGGAGGATGCTACATTCGACTCTAACTAGTTGCTTGACACGCTAACTTGTTCATCTACTCTACAATGTCTTTATTCTCTCCATTGTATTCGGTTTAGTCTACACTATATCTTTGGCTAATGTTATCTCAATCTGTATATTTGACAGTGCGTCGTGAGCTGTCAATAAGTCTTTTCTGCTCGTTTAATTGGAAAAAAATGTGCAGTATTGCCCAAAAGTTTTTGTGGATACAGTATTATATATTGCTCTAAATAACCTTCTCATTTGTTCATCAGTTCTCTGACGAAGGCAGGACAAACATAATTCTATAGGAAAGTGAAGAAATACCTAAGATGCTTGTTGAGTGGCAAGTGAGGCATCAGGGTGAAGCATCACTCACCGCTATGAAGTCTTGAGCAGATGTCCTACGTCATAAAGCTTCCCGCAAAGGAGGACAGACGCAAAGCAATCAAGCAGCAACAAAATACATAAGATGCTCGTTAAGTCGTAAGTGAGACATTGAGGTGAGGCATCACTCACCGCTATGAAGACTCAAGCGGATGTTCTACGTCATAAAATGTCCCGCAAAGCAGGACAAACGCAATCCTATGAAAAAGTGAAGAAATACCTAAGACACTTGTTGAGTGGTAAGTGAAGCATCAGGGTGAAGCATCACTCCCAGTGAAAATCGACAAGAATGAGGTAGATAGGTAGCAATAGACGTCTAAGTACAGATTGAGATAGATAGAAATCTAAGAAATTCGAGATGAGAAATTTGCAAAATGAGAAATTAAAATGCAAAGTGCAAAGTTCTCAAACATGCGTTTCATTTTGCAACATATGCTATGCAAATTACAATCAAATTTTGCATATTTGGAAACTTTGATTGCAATTCGTGCATGCTTAGATCAGATTGCATTGACATTCGAAATCGCTAAGTCCGAATCTGCTTAGTATGGACTCCATCCAGGCTGGCGCACACAGATTAGATGACGGCACCACTATCTATGTCTGCGACTGTGATGCCTGTCTTCGTAAGACAGGAGGACGGAATACACAGGTATCGCGAGCTACTTACTTTAGACACAAGCCCATCAGACTCGCCGCATCAATTCTTCTTCCTCCGATCGCTCTTAGCATTGCGCCAGATCTCCCATCACCAGATCTTCGACACACCCCTCCACCAGCTGCATCCTCGTCCAGCAAGAGGCCACAGGAAGATCTCGATGGTGGGGGACCTAGAAATCAGAAAAAGGGACGTTCTGACAGCCCAGAACTAGTGCATACATCTGAGGTAAGTCCGATTGTTTTATTCCAGAGGCTCACTCACATATTTCTAAACAGCCTGACACCCACCCTGATGACGCTCATGAAGGTACGAGTCCTTCTACTCGATCATGATCGAGAATTAAATATTATCTAGATTTTTATCAGTATGATGGCCTCGAGTATGACACCATACCTGAGGCGCTTCCTGACGAGGAGCTTCCTGACGATCGGCTTCCTGATGAGGCCCTTCTAGAAGAGGATCAAAATTCTGACCAACCTCGCGGTTCTCAAGGTGCCGCACAGCCAGACCAACAACCTCCGGTGGCACCTATTGATCATATCGACGATCTCGATCAAAACGGAGAAGAGGGGAACGGATCAGAGGGGAATGGGGCAGAAACACGAACGATGGGCTGGACTGATGAAGACTTAGATGGACTTCACTGCATGGTGCGTCTTCAGGATGCTCAAGATGCCATGGCTTTTATCACTGCCCTTCGAAAAGCTTCTCTGGACGACCCTTTTGCCCGTCTACCTCCTGATGCGCTCGATCGACTTCGAAACCCACCACGTGCACTCCCCGACGTCACAGATCCCGATCTCTTAATGTCCCTTAAGCTTTTTTTTGCCGACACGACGATCAAGGCATACGACCTCATTCGCGCAGCCATTTCTGAATGACACCCCGATGACGACGTGTACAGCCACTACCGTGTCAAGCAGCTCTGCACTGAACTCAGTGGGGTTGTACCCCTTGTGCACGATATGTGTATCAACATGTGCTTGGCATTTACAGGCCCCTTCGTCGATCTTGATCAATGCCCAAGGTGCGGGGAAGATTGTTGGGATCAGAAGAGAAGCACCCCGCAAAAGAAGGTTGCTCGACAGAAATTCGACACATATCCTATTGGTCCCCAATTACAGGCTCTATGGCGGCATCCTGATCACGCCGAAAAGATGCGCTGGCGTGAGCAGCGCACACAGGAAATTTTGGAGGCGTTAGGCATGACAGATGGGATTCCCGACATCTATGAAGATGTCCTTCATGGGAAGCAGTATCTAGACGCCTGCCAATCGGGGAAAATTAAAGAAGGTGATCCCGTACTCATGTTCTCGATCGATGGGGCCCAGCTGTATGAATCCAAGCAGTCGGACTGCTGGATCTATATCTGGGTCCTGTTTGATCACTCCCCGGATAAACGCTATAAAAAGAAGTACGTCCTCCCTGGCGGCATAATTCCTGGCCCCAAAAAACCTAAAAACCTTGACTCGTTCATATTCCCCGGACTCCATCACTTATGCGCGATCCAGGCTGAGGGTCTTCCAATCTGGGATGGCGCACTTCACAGATTATTCACCTCCAATCCTTTCCTTTTTGTCGCAACTGCAGATGGGCCTGGAATGGCATTTCTCACCGGTCTCATCGGACATCACGGCAAAATGAGCTGCAGGCTCTACTGTGGGCTTCCTGGTCGACATAAACTAGGTGCCCCCACTTACTATCCTGTACTTCGCCAGCCGATCGGTAACCACGATCACCCCGATATTCTCATCCATCAATTACCCCCCGCCGGATCATTCGATTATGAGGCAAATCTCCGTCGCATTGTCTCCTGCAGAAACGCTGCAGAATATGAATTTGCGCGCCTGGAAACAGGCATCACAAAGCCTAGCATCTTCTGCAGATTTCATTCTGATCGCATTCTCCCAGTGCCGCACTCATTCGGTTCAGACATTATGCATGTAGCTGCCATCAACGCTGGAGATCTACTGATACCACTCTGGAGAGGGACATTTAGAGCCGACCCAACGGATGATAAAGCCACATGGCGCTGGGCTGTACTCATTAAGGAAACTTGGAGGAAGCATGGATCGAGTATTGCTGACGCGACACCATACTTGCCCAGATCATTTGATCGCCCCCCTCGAAATCCCGCTGAAAAAATTCATAGCGGTTACAAGGCCTGGGAGTGGCTTCTGTATCTCTATGGAATGGGGTCAGCGACACTCTATGGAATCCTTCCAGAACCCTACTGGTCCAATTTTTGTCACCTTGCTCGAGGTTTGCGCCTCATGCAACAATATCATATTTCCCGTTCCGAACTTCTTGATGGCCATCAGCACCTTCTGGACTTCGCCGACGAATTCAAAGAAATCTATTACCAGCACCGCAACGATCGGCTTCATTTCATTCGCCCATGGATTCATTCCCTCACTCATATCGGCCCTGAGACAGTCAACAAAGGCCCTCCCATCTGTTCTTCTCAATGGACTATGGAGAGGACAATCGGTAATCTCGGCCAAGAAATCCGCCTGCATAACTCGTCTGCCTACACCAACCTTTCTCAACGTGCCATCCGACGCTGCCAGATCAATGCCCTCAAGGCCATCATTCCCACGATCAAACCATCAACAAACGCACTTCCTAAAGGATCCTTCGATCTCGGCGAAGGCTATATTTTACTCCGTCGACGAGAAAGAACTGCACACATGGTCCGGCCTTGCGAAGCTCAAGCTATAGTTAGATTCCTGGCCAATGAGCACGTCTTCGCCTTCCCAATGGCCAGGTTGCAAGGTCGGCTTGGAAGGAAAACACCATGACAAAACAGCCAAGGATGGCACGCAATGTTAAGGTATGTTTATTGCATCTACATAGTTCAGCAAACTTATTTTTTACAGTTACACCTCGACGGACAGACAGCAATCGGCGAAGTACATTACTACTTCAACATGACTATACATGATCGTCGCAGGACCTTCGCCATGGTCTTGGTATACAGCGATCCACATCAAGATCTTCTTCATTGTTCCTTTCACACCGTATTCGCATGTCACCACTGCGGGGACAATTCATTGCGACTGATCGAAGTTTGTGCCATTCAATCCGTTGTGGCTATGGTCCCGCATCAGTTTCCGGGTATCAACAGTATACTTTTCTATCTTATAGAGCGACCGGGTTTGGATATCATCACAATGAGTGGTATCAATGAGGAGGACATACCTGACGAGGATTAAGGTGAGTATTCTACTAGTATTTGACAGCATTAACTGACTACATCCCAAGACTAGAAGCTGACAAGGGAAGCTGATCGCATCATTGATCGCATTGATCGCATTGATCGCATTGATCGCATCATTTTGAACATCGTTTGTATAACTTTCACACATTTTTGAGTCGCTCATCTGTACAATGCATTCTAGTATATGAAAATACAATTCATTACTCTATTCTAATGAAGGTCCTTTAAGTCTTGTTTGATTTGACGCACTGTAAGAAAGCTGTTGTCGGCATGCGCACGATCATACCATTTGGCGTCTTCTTCTCGTGAAACATACTTCCAATAACAGGAATCTGGACCAGGGGGACTCGGAGTGTCGAAGAAGCTTTTCTTCTTGATTGGGGTCTTGATCGGTAAGTTTTCGACATCACTCTCCGGCTCGGTGACACTGCTGGGATCGTTTTTGGGAAGACTCTTGATCGAGGGCTGGGGTAAGGGCTGGGGTAAGTCTTCGACATCACTCTCCGGCTCGGTGACACTGCTTGGCTCGTTTTTAGGAAGATTCTTGATCGAGGGCTGGGGTAATTCTTCGATGTCACTCTCAGGCTCAGTGACACTGCTTGGCTCGTATTTTGGTGGGGGAGGGATTGGTGTTGTTTTCGCCAAAACAGATGGCACTTCTGGCTCGCTTTCTGACTCCATGACAGACTCCGTGGTGGATGTAGCTACACTGAAATTAATGAAGTCAAATGCACAAACTTACATTAAAAAACTTAAAACTCA